CACAGTTACGTTTGAACTGTACGCGGAATACAACATCGGACCATTTAGGAATCGGATATGATCGCTTCATGGATCAACATCTTCAGTGACGACCCATGTGCTTCGAAATAGCTACCAACGTCCAACGGCATTCTACCCCAGAGCTTATTCTGCTCCCTAAGATCTCCGAAAGCCGCGACCATCTAAGCATGCCTTGCAGCGGCAACGACGCAGGCAGCTATTCCGTACATATATGTGGGATTAGCAGCGTCGTTACATACGCATGTTTCGGTAACGATGACAGGTGACCCGTGTCTTTGCATATCACAGTTGCTTCTCCCGGTTCACGATAGTTTCAGCAAGCAAGTTGGCTGGCTGGGCTGCTCTTCTGACTTGAGTAGTAGAGGCCGCTTTACACGAATCTCTCAGGGAGTCGGGAGCGTTATTCCGACATTGGCTACGTATCACTCGCCATGGGTCGCCTTGCCCGTTGTGGCCTGATGTGGCTGCTTCTATAAGACATCTAATGGTCTAGATCACCCCCGAAAGCCGAACCAACACGGGGTACGAAGTATACTGGATGTGCTGAGAATACAGAATTGTCCCAGTCAAGGACTATGGAACCCCTGACATGCAACGGTGAAATCTGAAAGCATCTCGGGCTGAGCCGCAACCAGCATTAGCTCGTAATATGAGGTAGGTAATCATATGTAAGTATTTGAATATCAAGAACACTATTCTCAAAATTGACTCACACGCTTGGTTGTAGTTTATAGATTTGTTTGATATTCTCTGGTATAGTAGTATTTGCCAATGAGTCTTGTTTCAACTGAATAATTTGAATAAATGATTACTGGCTCTGCAGCCTATTAAGGTATGCACATCATATGAGATTGTGAACAAGATCAATGGGAATTTCGAATTCCTCTGGGCCACAAATAGAGACGCCCCGTGCGAACAGAATCGTGAATCCAGTAGAAATGTGAGCCTTACCGCGGACATTTGTTCCCGATAATATGTATCTCTGAGCCCATCTTGTAACCTATATCAGCCACATTATAACTCATTTTGCTATTCTCTAAGAACTCGGTTAGAGATGAAGCCGTAAGCTGTTCATAATACGGCGTTTTGGGCGTATAGCTGCAGGACAGTCATGGAGGTATCTATCGTATATCATTATCTCCGGTGGGATTGCCCTAGATGTTAACAGGTCATTTTCACTTCTCCGATGGTATCCTATCAAAGCCTGAGTATTTGCCTAAGATGAGAAGGTCTGCGCATGCTCAACGATAGAGCGGGGGCAGTTCTTCAAAGCCCGTTATGGTTAATAAATCGGCCCCCCTTTTCGACTTGGATCATCGTATAATACTTCCTCTATGGTGATATATTCTCTGGTTGCTTACGTATAGGCAGTCTTCGTCTTCCAATAAATATAACCTTGATATTTGTACACACATCGGCTTAGATAGGTCACAGGGGCTCACATGCGTAGACGTATGACAGAATAATGCTCCGTTGTCGGCTGCCCGCTAGACATCTGTTGATGGATGGGCGCGAGGTGGCTTTATGCGAAGTACATGATTATCCTTAGATAAATTACGCCTTTTTAAATACCGAGTTGGTTCCATAGATCCAGTTGTTAATACTACATGTCACATATCACCGCAGACCTCCCACACGTGTACACTATGAATAAGCGAGGGCATCCTTTCCTCCATATTTACCCTGTGGGCAGCCCTGGCTTATTAGTTGAGTGATATTGTTACACCCAAAGATCCTCGATTTCACCCACGCCGTTGGGCTGGGACTGCGGACAGGGGTCTAGGATGGACGGAATTCTTGCAAATCTCAGTAGCTTCGAAGCTCTTGCGCCATCCTAATATTTCTCGTAATGACATCAAGACGGAAAACCTCTCGGTACTTGTACCTAGGTAGCTAGCCATAACTATGGAGCGATCTAGGAGCTTTTGATGCATGTACCTGTGTATATTCGTTTAAAGCGTTGTAGATCACTTAAATAGATCTTTACGACCCCCAAGATCTCTGGAGTAGTTCGATTTGAAGCCTTCGAGACGCATGTTTGTCACATCTACTTCAAGAAATGCCCAAGTTTGCCTTCCGTCACAATGACAAGGAATGCGCTGTAGTTACATCGACAATATGATTCTGTCATTTTACTGATATGAAGGTAGATATATACTGTGTATACATAATACATGTAAGCGGCAGCTATCAATGCAGATCATGGATTACCCTTCCAGCTCGGTTCCATCCGGTGGGAAGCTGTCAGTTTCTGTACATAGTGGTAACCCTAGCTGCCCTAGCAATCCTGACTTAATATGGCATGAGCTCGAATTTGATCAAGTTTCCAGCGTAAATGGCAAAAAGTAACAGTAACGGCTTAAAAGGCTATGTGCCCTGTAAGAATTCTAGCTTCCCGAGATTAACATGCTTCCTTGTTGCAGCTGCGGCTTCCCGTTAGGGGGCGAGCTGAGCTCTCCCATTGCTTCGTTGCGCTGGGAATCGTTAGTCTATATCATGGGTCGACGTACATACGATATGACTCAGCTCTCATCCTATTCCCCGGGACCAACGCACCGGCAGTGGCTGGTTGCGTTAGGCATAAGCAAATAGCTTTCCCAGGGCGCAGGTCCCATAGGTATCCTGAATGTCGACTAGTATCCGCCTGTGGTACCGGGGAGAAACATGACGCCTCTTGACGCTAGAGGGACCCAACGTGTATGTATTGTTATTCACGTGGCTGACAAGATCACGTAGCATGTTATTGTCGGATCGACACGCCCGTCCACACGCGCTTCTTGCCGAGCTGCAGAACGGTACCTTTTTGACGCCTTCTTGCTTCTTCTGCCACGCTCTGGGCAATAAGTAAAAGACACGGAATGACCTGAAACATAAACGAAAGTAGGATTTATGACATTGCCGAGCCTATCCTCCCTGTGGCGGGACCTTAATTTGACCTGGCCAAGTTTCCATCTCCATAGCTTTGCACGTACCGTCAATGTGATGGCGCCCTTACTCAACCTATTTAACTTTTGTCTTAGTATATCAGCACTCTCGCGTGAGTTACCCAAAGGGGCGCTTTCGAGACTCAGTATGTATATTCTAAGGTTTCGATGAAGGCTACTTAGCCCACTCCGTCGAACATGAGCCACCAGATACACTAATGCTCGCGTGTCACTGGATTCATCTATCTAGGGCATAAAGGGGGTGGACTTACATAGGCTACGCTGCACAACCGCCACTTTTCTGCACGCAATCACATCTAGATCGGCCGATCAGAAAGGGAAAGGAAGCGCTGGCTTCACGCGGGATAACTTCAATGTCTAAGAGGATACCTACGCTGAGGTAGGTGGTGGTTCGGACTGCTTTCCTTCTACGTCTCTGCTGGCTCCGCGACCATAGTCCGCTCGACGGATGCAGCCTCCCTATGTGCCGTCCCCTACACCCGGCGCCGATCCCATCCCGCGCTGCTCGTTGGAACGCCGAGGACGATCAGCAGGGGGGTTTCTCTTTGGCTCTACAGATCAGTTTTCCACATACGTACGAGCGCCCAGCTCACGTGTCGATCCTCTGGCATAAGCCCAGCCAGTTGGGGAGTTCCGTAAGTTGGTAAAACTCGCGTTCGTATCACGGCAAATTTTCTTTGCTGCGTAACCTTACCCTCACCAGCGGCTTCTGTAGCCTTATCTACCTGTGAGCTGCGCCGATCATGTCTTACACATAAATGCAATGTTCGTATATTGCTGGCGAAACTGATGTGGCGACATGCCGGGAGTTATACCGTGCCGTCCTATGTATGCCGGCAGCCTCAGCGATTATGCAATTTTGGGATGTCGGCATAGTGATTAATCTATGGAAAGCTAGCAAGTAAGCATCGCTCCGGAACCCTGGCATTGTATATCTCATGCCGTGCTCACGAAAAAGGGGACGACAGACTCAGCCGACGCAAGCCAGTTGATGGGCTGAGATCCAACTAACGTAGGCATTGGGAGCATATACAAGGTAATAAGCCATAGGGACAACCATTTGAATGCAGCTGTAATATCTATTTGGAAATCTCGATGTGTTTCTCAACCTTATTTCCTTTGGATAAATCCGTCGTATATTGGGCAAATCAAAAGAGCATGTTGAGATGTTGACAATAACTCTGATAGGGTCTTATATCACCCAATAGTTAAGTACAACAGTTAAGATTGAACCACATAGATCCTTTGGACGACTTGGATATCAAACGGGGTTAAAGAGTGCAACTGGATCACGTCAAATATTGCGACAACATGAAGCAACCCATAACTAGCATCTTTGAATGATCTAGATACTGCGTTAAAATAAGGATTCTCATTGATGGTATTACTCGATTACCTGGGCAACTAACTTATTTCAGTCCTCACTTAATCAAATCAACTTCCAATTCCCTACGTATCATCGCAATAGGTAGGTACCTATCATCAAGCATACACTACACCCCTCGGAGAAGCTCCCATGAATCTCATTCAACGTAACAAGGATTCACATCCTTCATTCATAATCTTCGTTGTCCCTAATTCCAGAGTACCTAGACATGTACTAGGTATCCTCGCTTAGCTATGCCTGCTACTAGCGCTGCAATGCCTTGAACTCATGAGCACCTTAGCTTTTATATTGGCATGTAAGCCGCCCCTTGAGCTGAATGGTCGCCTGGACTTCGTCTCATGAGGTGACTTCTGCACGCCGGCTTACTTGCTTCTCGTTTCGGTTGATTAGAAATGTTTCCTGGCTTGCTGTAGCGGTAAGCCCAGACAGAGTGGTTAGGCACACAGAAATAATAAGGGAATGGATTCAAATTGGGAGTAAATCCTCCACCATATTATCTCAGACTCTTGGGTCCTGGCTATAATATAGGGTAAAGGGCGGTAGAAAGAATTACCAATTTCAGCGATTAGCAAGCAGAGCCTCACAACTCGCATAAGGACCTATTTAACCCATCTATACAGGTCAAGCTGACTCTCCAGTTGGGATCCGAGCTTAGAGGTAGGAAACACGACATGTACGGCTTGAGTATATTGATGACTATTTGATTAAACTCTAGATAGTATGTATCGTAACCGATCTACAAACATGATGTAATGACCTTCTACGCGTCTAGCTTCAGCTTTTCTAACACTGTATCGATCTTTTGCAATAGGAGTTGATAGTTTATAGCGTCGGAGGCGAATTCGTCCTCGACGAGCTCTCCATCCAGAGTTCGAACCACACCACCAGAACTAGCCAGTGCTTCCATCATGCCTGCCTTTGCTGGAAGGGCTGCGTCGTTCTCTTTTCCAAGGGATTCATTCCTGGGCGCATCCCCAGAAGCTACGTTCTTCCCCTGGGAGGCTAGCAGTTCTGCTGCTACCGGGTCAACTTCGCCATTTTCGTCCAACATCTCATCCAACCCTGCATCTTCAAACCGTAGTCTGAAGCGCTCAGACAAGTAATACCGAATATCGTCTAGCAACTCGATCGTATCCGTTTCCTCTCTCGTCTTAAGTCTTGCTGCACTTTCTTGGATCAGTTCCATAAATTCCTCCTCGTCGATGTAATCCTCCAGACGATACGCGAGATACCGTGCAGAGAATTCCTCTAACCGCTGAACCCGCAGATCCCAGGCCGCATGTATAACGTCATATACATTTATAGGCTCAACCTCAACTTCCAGAGCATCATCGCCTCCGTGAATATGTGTCCGATCGACCAATACATTGTTGTTCCCGCTCCCTAATGTGCTAATAGCGACCGCGGCTTTGTTCTTTACCTTGTCCAGAAACAGCATATCGGACGCGTAAAGTAGATCCAGGCCCAGCTCCAGAGGGCATTCAACTTTCTCAGTGTACAAGAATGTTAGAATGATCTCAAGAACCTCGGGCAGACAATCAACCTTAATGATATGTAGATGTTCCGATGCTTGAGCCTCGCGAAATGGACCAGAAAACATGGTTTCGAAGTACGGTGAGCGGATGAGCATCGCTTTATGGGCAGGGTATAAGACGGATTTTTTAACCTTCTTTGTGCTGTGCTGTCTTGGTGATCTAGCACCTGGACCAATAGGTATTCCGTTGACCTCTTCTTGTTTTCCGGGGCCTTCGTCTTTCTCGTCTTCATCCCCACCTTCGTCAGCTCGTAGGAGACAGTCCGCAAATATAGAATTATCGTGCGGCCATTTGACTTCGTGGACCTTCCTGGAGTCGACGATCATCTTATGTCCTAGCACCTTCTCTTGGAAAAAGCCTTCAATTTGCCCCTGAGCTCGATTAACTTCATCCTGATGCCTCTGCCGAGCCAATCGCCGGTCGCTGCCAGAGAGAATAGCTTCCCATAGCTTATCAATCTCTAAATGCTTGCTGATCTTGTCAACTCCTGTCAGGACTTCTTCCTCGGTGCTATTACTTCGAGCATCAACTATATCTCTCGGTATATCTCCGAGGTATAGATACCGCAGGACTACCTGGAATGACTCAATCGGTATAGAATGAGGCAGTTTCCATGTTTCCGTCCCAGGTGCCTCCGCAAGTTTTCTCTGAAAGTAAGGTGTCCTAGCGGAAAGGAGGAACTTGTGAAGCTCGAACGACTTTGATAGTGTAATCAGGGTTATATCAGAGGTTTTGGGTATATCTCTAGATAGCAAGGCGCTGATATGGGCTGCCCATGGCTGTAAGGGATCTGTAGATTTTGAGTAGTCGTACTTAAGAAGCAGGTTCCTGATCTTGTCGTTTAGAGCGTTATAGATACATCTTTCTCCCTGAAACGTGTCACGCTCAGCCAGAGCGCCGGACTCGACTAGGGCTCAGGTTAGTGTAGTCTGTAAAAAGGGATTCTGTACCTAAACCCGATACGTACGTAACAACTCAACTAACTCATAATGCCCGCAGAGACTTGCCTAGAATAACTAATCAGCCGCCTGCGTCTACCAAGTGCGATGGGTATATAGATAAACTCTACTCACAACTATGAGTGGAGTATAATCGAACCTGTCTTTGCCGTTAATATTGACTCCAGCAGAAATCAGCTCCTGAGTTCTCTTGAGATCGCCTCGTCGACATGCTTCCAGAAGTTCGTTGAACTCCTTGCTGGTATCAAGTGGATTGTCATCGCGAAGTACACCACTCCTGACTAATTCGAGGTCATCTTTCAGCTTCGCCTCCAGCTCATCCTTTCGCAGAACCATGATTTATTAGTAGCTGGAGTAGATCCAAGATGGTTTACGGTATAAGCTGCTGGTTCTGATTGTGACACCGGCAACGTGGTTTAAAATGTCAGATTACGAAATCCGATAACTCCGACGAAATGATGACTGGCTGGTCAGGCATGGCGATTGTAATTGGCCGCAAATAGATCCGTAAGGTTGTAGTTGTAGATGTCATCTATTAGTTATAGCCATAGAGGAGTGATGATATCACGTGGCTGTTGGTGGGGACCTTGCATAGGTGCATGTACTTGGGTACTATGTAAAAGTCGATGATGGTCCATGCGGGTATCGATAAGGATCTCCAAATTTCTCCAACTGAGAAACAAGTGACAAAAGTCAATTGCCCCACTCAAAGCTAGGCAGTTGCTGTGGTCACGGCTGGTTTGTTGACTAAAAGGGTTAACTGTTCGAACTGGGATTCTCGAGACGCTAACTTTATCCCAATTGTACACTTCTACACATTGACCTAACATTTCCTCGTGCACTTTTCCAACGGAAATTCAATTCAACTTTGTTCAATAACAAACTTTGGAACTCCAGAGTTTCGCAGCATCTGATTTCCCAAGCTTTGCTGCGGCACCGCTACCAACCATTCATCACTCGTCACCCGACACCGGCCATTCTCTCATCTTTCATCTTTTTCATTGCCCACCGTCTCCATCTGCCTTCTACTTGCATCTTGCATCTCGCACCTTGCCTTTTGCTGCTTGTTAACCTCCGCTTTCTACTTTTATCCTCTCCAACTCGTTAGCTACCATTAGCTGCTCCCCTTATTTCTTATCGTCTATGGCATTTCTCTACTCCGTCGAACCTTAAAAAGTTCTTTACACAGCACTCCGTCCATCATGTCGGAGTCAATTAGTGATCAGTACGAGGTACTGGAAAAAATCGGTAAGTCGATAAACATTGTTATGCTCCCAACACGCCCAGTCCCAAACACCGAGTCTCCAACATCAAACACATTACCCTTTACGCTTCGACCGGTGACTGATTTACCCCCCAACAACTATAGGCCATGGCTCCTTTGGAGTCATCCGAAAGGTCAGGCGCAAGACCGATGGAATGATCCTTTGTCGCAAGGAAATTAGTTACCACAAGATGTCGCAGAAGGAACGTGAACAGTTGCACTCCGAATTCCACATTCTCTCGACGCTTCGACACCCTAACATTGTCGGCTATTATCATCGCGAGCACCTTAAGCAGACGCAGGATTTACACTTGTACATGGAATATTGCGGTAACGGTGATCTTGGCCGTGTTATTCGAGACTTGATCCAACGTAAAGAGTACGCCGATGAGCAGTTTGTTTGGGAGATCTTCGCGCAGTTGGTTACCGCTCTGTACCGATGTCACTATGGCGTCAACCCTCCTGCCATTGGACCAAGTGTCGTAGAGGTTATCAACGGAGGAAAGGTTGCTAAGGTGCCCCACGGAAACATGACCATCTTACACAGAGATCTGAAGCCTGAGAATAGTCAGTGACCCGGACAGTCTGAATGCAGTGAATCGTGCTAACATCAAATAGTTTTTCTCGGTGAAGACAACTCCGTCAAGCTTGGCGACTTTGGATTGTCCAAGATGATCCAATCTCATGACTTTGCGTCTACGTACGTCGGTACACCGTTCTACATGTCCCCTGAGATATGTGCCGCAGAGCGATACACGCTCAAGTCCGACATCTGGTCACTGGGTTGTATAATGTACGAACTCTGTGCCAGGGAGCCTCCGTTCAATGCCAAAACCCATTTTCAGCTCGTACAGAAGATCAAGGAGGGAAAGGTTCCCGGGTTGCCTAAGGTCTACTCCGCCGAACTCTGGAGCGTAATTAAGAATTGCCTTAGTGTCAACCCCGACGTACGACCGGATACTGCTACCCTGCTCAATCTTCCGGTTGTTCGACTGATGCGTAAAGAACGTGAGGCAGTTGAACTGAAGAAGAAGTTACAGACACAGAACGACCTATTGACCCACCGCCTTAAGCAGCTTGAAGGCAAGCTAGCAGGCGTCGAGGCGGACAAGGCATATTTCCGACAGGAGACTGATGCCCAGTTACGACGGGAATGGGAAGTCAAGGCTCGATTGGAGATTGATCGCCTTGTGAACGAGGAGATTGAGCAACTTCAACGACGCTTTGAAGCCGAAGTCGACGCACGAGTTCAAGAGGAGCTCCAAAAGAAAAGGGTCTCCTTTGGTCCCATCGAGACGCAAGAGTTTACTTCGTCTCTAGCCAAGTCAGACTACCCTCGTTCTTTTATCACCAGTACCGATGGCGAATTTCCGTCAGTTACGGACATAACTGATTACTCGGTCGACTCGCCGGACGAGCCTCTTAAGAAGAGCCGAATCCTCGGTCGAGCTCAGACTATGTTTGAGCGTAATCTTGGAACACCCGGACAGATGATGGATATAGACATGGCCTCACCCTCCCCGATGGCTATCGCATCTTTGTCCCTGTCGCCACGTCGCAACAATGGAAAGAAGGCACCGACGGCGAATCACACCACTACTATCTTTGACCAGGTTGATGATGAATTGAAGATCGAGTTCATGCCGTCGGATTCAGAGGACGACGATACGCCGATAATTCCGTCGCCTACTCGCCCTCCACGATCCAGCAAGAACCCTTTCGGTCCCCAGCGTCCGGTTCTTACGACCATGAAGACAGCTCCGGTCCACCGTCCCAAGACTCAAAACTCTTTGATCACCACCAAGGCGGCACCCCCTCTATCTCAGCCGCCCCCAGAGTTCCAGTTGCGAGCTCAGCATAGTAACGGGGCTCTGAGAGAAAGGGGTAACTCGCCTAATCGGCGACTTAGCAAGATCCCGTCTGTCGCTAGTCTCGGCACGCAGGGTGCGGAAGTCGGCTTGCAGCGAAAACCTTCTCAAAAGAAGGACCCAGATCAGCCACTGACAAAGGTCGTGGCGAAGAACAACATCAAGGGCCGTACCCTTGTTGAGCTTCAGCAGGCTCGCGCCGGAGGTCGGCCGGTGGAAAATGCGAATGTTAGTCCCAAGCGCAATCCCAAGGACCGAATGTTCGCGGAGCCTGCGGTCTGGGACCCGGAGAAGGATGAGATGCCCAGCCCGTTCCTGGTGCGGAGGAAGCAGCAGCCTATGGCTCGGGTATAGGATATCCCTTCCCCCTTCTGCCGTCGCATGACGAATTGAGTACACGAGTTATGATATACCACGCCCGGCTTGACACATCGTCTGGCCAATTTCCTTTGTCGTACCTAATGGGGTGGTTAGTCCCGGGCAAGGTGGCTATGGGTGTAATTGATGATTTGGTGTGACAAGCATAATCGCGCGTTAAATCATCAGGGCATGGAGCTAAGGCATGGCGTTTGATACTAAAGGAGTCCTAAAGAGTTCTGGCGTATTCGGCATATTGAGACTGGCAAGCAAGACCAGTCACCTTTGTGTATAGTTGATTCGTGCAGTGCCGCAAATTACTCATCTTCCGCCAAGTTCTTGAGTGATTCCGACAGTGGGCTGCCATTTGTGTAATATTTCCTTTGCTTTTCTGTTTCCCTCTGCTAAGCACGATATACATGCGCGTGAGGCGCGCTCAAGTCAGGATCAGGAGTTGGAACAATCCGACCTTATGCACTTGCTTCATAGAGCAGAGTCGCCCATGTTGGAGAGTTCGACGAGGACTGAACCACTATGACTTATACGATTGTACTATAGAGTGCCTAGTTTTTATGCCGAATACATGAATTAATAATAAATAACTTTGTCGTGACCCTAGGGAGGGAGGTTGATGATACGCTCCCTTAACCAACACCTTGACTCCGTGATCGCTAATAAACCCAGGATAGCAGTACTTTTCATGGGAATCGCTGGGCTTAGTTTGAGCCCTTCGCCTCTAACCACCTCCCAATAATTATTACGAATGGTGGTGGTAACCTCTCTAGCACTCCTAGGCTATGTTAAGCCTCTCTTGAGCCATCTCGCCAAAGTATATTTAGTCGCAAAAATAGAGAAATTGGTCGTCTTGGTCTGTAGGCGTGTTGGCTTGTTTACATTGATCTAGCTAACATGTAAGCCCTTCCCTCAGCCACTTTAGGTCGTACAGCAAATTATAGCACTGCAGGTAGACTCACTATCTTGAGTATCACAATCTGAGACTTTGAAGGTGGCACCGCCACCGTTAGCTACGTCGGCGCAATCGTTCTTCTGGTCGTCGCACACTCGGTTGGCTGCGGTATTGAAATCGGTCTGCTTGGTGGTCAGCATGTCATAGTTAGTGGCATGACAATAGCTGCTAGATCGTGGACAAGACAGCCCTGGAGCTTTCTTTGTGGGATTGGCTTCGACCTAGAGAGGGGTAGAAAGAGGAGGAATGAGAAGAATGAGAACATACGAAGGTATCACCATTGGATCTCTGCGAATTTGTAATCTTAAATGGGTTGTTTTTAGCATCGTCGGCGTCATCGTTTGATACTATCTATCAGGATCAACACCAATTAGTTCTCGGGGCGTTCTGACTTAGGCATGTTCTCTCTTCATCGAACTCTAGATATGCGAGGTTCGCGAGACTTCAACTTACTTGCGCCGCAGGTTTGCTTCCTAGTGCAGATGTGAATCGCTACACAGAACATGTTAGTTTGGCCCACGGATTCCTTCAAGTGGAACAATATGTAGGTCATATAAGTACGAACCTGGAAATTTGTTATAGGTTGTTGTCGTGCAAAGAGGTCTAGTTCCAAATCTCGCCGTAGGTCTTCCATAAGGTCACCCGCCATTACCCCAGCTACGAGTGCTGCCAGTAGAGGCAGGCCAACTGCGCCTTGACACTTCATGATGTCGCTAATGTTGTCTTGTCTAGTTTCGTCCAAATATCGAAGGAGCCGATCCTGCCTACCTAATTCATATGACGGATTGGACGTAGGAGCAAATCTGTGTAATTCGAGGGTCGAAATAGAATAGGAATACTATTATGGCACATACACAAATATCTAACAGCCAACTTACGCCAAAGCTTGAATATTCCCGCAACGCACGTATTACACCTGAGGAAAGGAAATGAAACACGGAAAACGTAGGTGATCTGATAATTGGTTCGACAATCGCGGGAGAATCGCAGATGGGCAGATGCGATGCTGAAACGATCCTGAGACGGTCCGAGCTACGATCCCACCTAGACTATTCCTATCTGTCCTCACCACCACGCCAAATGCCAAATTCTTCGCAGTGGAAGAGTCGGTGATATAAAAGCGACACGTGAACCCAATCGGAATTCCAGGAATTGACCTAGGTAAGTATACATACCACATACCTTGGCATGTATGTGAGTAAGATTTGGATCAGATCTAGAAATGGATCAAACTTAAAGTCGACTTTTGACGATCCGACCAATCCATCCCTTTTAACCATTATCCTGGGTCAATTCCCCATTTAAACCAAATCCAATCATAAGTTCACTAGGTACCTATTGTGCTGTCAGTTAGAGATCCGCTAGGGGGCCGTTGAAGTCTAAAAGTTGGAATGACGCCCATTTACGCTTGACGCGCAGATCGTTGAACTTAATGCTAGCCCTACGTCTATCCCGACGTCTTGGAACCCACGCGGAATCTAACCTTAGCATCGCGTCTAGGGAATTGAGTTTGACATGGTTTTCGCTAGATAATTTCATAATTCTGGGACGTCACATATGAGAAAGAATAGCGGATATCAATAGGAGTAACGGCATGGCAATATGTACTTCCGAGAATAGGTACGTGTTCGTATATACTTTGATTGAGAATCGAAGAAGCTGGTATTATGAAGCTGTATACAAATATCCCCTTTCTCTTTCCCATCTTAGCTGCGTAGACTAGGTCATAGAGTTGTCCCTTCCTTGCTCGGCCAAGTCCAACTCGTCGCTCAAATCAGACGCGTAACTAGTCTCGTGGACAAACACCCGCCTTCGCCTTTTTTTCTTAAATGAGTACGTGTTTCGTGAGATAAGGTGGGAAAGTTTTTCTATTCCTTGGGGTGCCGGCTTATGAAATCGGGTCGACATGATGAGTGCTTATGCCATGCGAATACCTCCAAACTCCGGCGCCAGCGCGGTCTAATGCAATGCCGCATGATAAGTAGGAGATAATAATGACGCTGAGAAGTTATATTCCCAAGCTTAGAAGTTGGAAGCAGCGTTCGTTTGCGTCGGCGCATGGTAACTCTCGAGGGTGCTCTGGAACGGGCTGCGGGTGGCGGTACTACCGCTAGGCTCGCTCTTCTCGGCAGTGCCGGGGCCGCCGAATCCATCGCCGTAGCTGACCAATTCCTCGTTCTCCTCGTGGCTCCTTCTCTTGCTGCGAAGTCTCCAGAACAACACACCAGCAGCTGCAAGAACGATCGCACCACCAACGCCGACACAGACACCGATGATCGTCTTTCGGGTAGTCGGGGCCATGGTGGAGGTGTTGGATGTAGAAGCGGCAGCCGTGGGTGTAGACACTACAACACTAGACGAAGAGGTAGTAACTGTTTGTCCTGCCGAATCCGTAGTGGTGATGATGGTTACGAATGTTGAAGTAGAAGGCGCTGCAGTCGTGCTGGGGGCCGCAGAAGTGGTGGTACCATCGCCGCCGGCATTGGTAGTCGTTCCTGCTGCTGTGGATGAGGAAGACGAAGCCTTGTTGGTGGTAGTAGCCGCTGTGGCGGTAGTGGTGGGGTTGTTGTTGGTACTGGTAGGTGTTGCTTGAGTTGACGTCGGGGTTGTGGTGTCTGCCGCGGTAGTGGAAGTTGAGGAAGCCTGGCTCGTGCTGGTTGGACTAGCGGTTGACGAATCGGCTGACGCTGAAGTCGAGGACGTCGCATCGTCAGTGGCCGATGTGGATGCAGCAGCATCGGCCGTCGAAGAGTCGGTGTCGACGGTTGCGATTGAGAGAGGATTGTCTTGTCTCTTCACTCCATGATGACCTAGGCCAGTCTGTCGATTATCTAACCAAGCTACACCAGTGACGGATGACACCGAAAGTGCCACCATCAAAAGGTTCATAAGCCGCGTCGAATACATGATGACCAGTGATGGTCTGTGGTCTAGAGTAATGCTAGAAAATATGTCGATAATAAGGAAAGGTGAGAGTCGAATGGATATAATCTAGCCCTCTCCCCTCCCTTTTCGAGACTCTAGCGAGATAATAGTTCCCGCGACACGTGGATTGGTGATGAACGGGATGGCTAATCTTAAATCTGGAGCACCGTTTTGACAAACCCAAATGTGACTTGAGATGACACGCGACAGGAAATTGCCGGTAATAAAATAAGGTGTCGCGGTAAGATAGGGGGCCTTTAGGACGTTTAGGTAGGAGCGAGCGAGCGCTTAGAGGGTTAAGACGTAAATGAGGTAAAAAGGTAAAAAACCCTCAAGATGGAACGAACGCAATGATGTACTAGGAAAAAGATGCAATATGGTGGTGATGTTTTTGATATCGAATGAGTGAGGTGAGGGAAAGAAACGAATGACCAAGAGTAGGATAGGTAGGATGTAGGATGTGCCCAGGTGAAGAATTCCGACGAAGGCCTGGATTCTGTTGGAAGAGTGATGGCTCCTTGGCCCTTGAGATGATTAACTGGGTTCACTGGCCTAACGGGACGAGGTATGGTTACATTAAGTTCGTATTGTGCACAAAGCTGCTGCTGCTTAAGGGTTCGCGCATAATTTTTTTAATCAAAGACCCAATCACCAGTCAACAAAGGTAGGGGCAAGTGGGGTCTATAATGGACCCACGAACTTGAGTTTCTTAGACAACTAATTCGTGGTACCATGACAGAATTGTACCGATGTACCTATTCCTGCTCTTCCTACCTACTACGTAGATAGGTATTATGATGTACACAAAATTACCACACACTGCACGCATTCAATGTTCAACATGAATCCATTCAGCCATTCTGCACTCATGATGGATACATGTACCCAACTCAATCCATTCATCAGCGATCATCAGTTGCTCATGTATGTACCTATGACTGCGCTTCGCATATGTACGACTCAATATTCTGCACATTTGCCCAGAATTTGAAAGGCTACTATAACTATCTAGGTAGGGCAAGTAGGGCTACCTTCTATTTCTAGGCTTTGATCTTCATAGCAAACCCATCAAAATTCATGCATTGCTTGGAATCTTAAAAGCCTCGATCGCGTTTTCTTATTGGTACCTACCGTATTACGGTACACACTTAGGCTATTGGATGTACATATATGTATGAATTAGGGATAAAATATGTAAGGACCTCCCTTAAAAGTAAGGAGACCGGGCCTGCCGGATTTCGGCTGCGACGCGCAATAATGTACTTTTTCGAAACTTGACTAAAAATAGGGCGTCCCTTTCTTTGCATCTATTTTCCCCTCAAAGCCCTATTTTTTCTACTCTTTGAACACTGAAGGCTAGGTAGGTAAGGGAAGAAAAAAAAAAAAGAAGACGTATAGCTACAATATCCTCTTCGTTAGCTTGGTTCCCTCAACCCGGCGGACACCCGCGAAACAACGGAATCTGGAGCTTTCTTAGTTGTGGGCATACATCACGTTACGTAGGTACACAAGATCGGGCGCATCTACCCCATTCTATCCATTTTCCTCCATCAGACAGCCAGAGACACCCGAAGATCAATAAGATCATCAGGGTCTGGCGGGAAGGGCTTGCAGACTTGGTGGTAACTTTGCCCCGAAGTTCAAGCCGAAAAGCCACACAGCCACAATAAGGGGCCCCGTTTGAATACCACGCAAGTAAGCTGCAAATGATAACGTCAGTAATGTCGATCGAACAACGTTGCATGCTGCTGACCTGTCAGACCAAGAATACTGTCTAGTGACCTTCATAGGCTCTCATAGGCCCGTAAAACTCGATGATCAAGTTTGACCCTAAGAAACAAACAATCGTTGCCATCTGAGACAACTGTATGCCCTATGATCATGGGCCAAACACCCGTGACCGAGTATATTCGCAACACAGGCACACGGGTGGTTGTTTCGAAACACCGTCCCACTTTGGCTAATTTGTCGCCAGGAAATTTTATCTACGCACAGTAATGCCTCTTTTGCCATGGTGCGGCGTGCCGTTGTGCCGCCATATACTCGCTACCTATGGGATTTTCATTGTTTCAATACCTCCGAATGGGACCGGTGCCGTGGCTCGGCTTGCTCAGATATATTCCTTCGTTGGAAGTCCGGCGTAACTCGCTATTCGTGAGCTTAGTCAGAGCGTGCCAATTCTAATATGATCCTGCGCGCTTTGCTGATTCTCCGATTCTCTACGATTTGCATCCTAAGAATGTGGGGGACAAGTTTCGTCTTAAAACACACGAAAAGTATTCAAGAAGTGGCGTGTTCGGACTGGCCTAGATTCGATGGTAGGTATGTGTGTATAACCCGTTTGTAACTCAGCGAATCATTTTTGCGGAATTGGCGAGGTTTTCGGTTAAAGCAAGAAGAAAGATGTTCGTTTATCAATGGATAAGTCATATATAAACATACCGTTTATAATGTCGACTCCAGTTAGAACTGTGAGGTGCTCCTCGATATGTGCCTTCCTAACAAGGGGCTACGAAGAAACAATCGTTACTTATCAATTGAGAAGCATCCGTCACAGCCCTATGAACCTTAAACTTATCTGCTAATGGGAGAGAAGGAATATGTATGTTTCGAGTCGCGCGCAATAGAGAGGCACTCGGCACCCAACGATTTTCAGATATAAAATACTAAATACCTCCCTATATTATGTAGATCAACTTGCGTTCCCATGGGCTTAGAAAACCAATAGAGGGTAGGCAATAAACAAGAACCGAATGACTTAAGGTGTAAGGTTCGTTACTGCGTAGTACAGGGGTATCATTAGATATTCATGCGCAACGTCGATCTGAGCAAATGTTAAGAGCAGCGACGTAGCCTTGTATAAAAATAGACAGCGCCGCGCCGAACTTAAGACAGTCTCAAATGGATAGTGATCACTCAACATTTTCCAGCCTCCCGCGAGGTTAGCCGCGCGACAAGCGACAAAGGGCCGGCCGAAGATAAAGTGGTTCCGGATTCCAGACGCCGGCTGGACGGTCGGAATACCTGTCGGGATAAACGCCACGGATGGCATCCTATCAATTCAATATATATACGATTTCCCCCTCTTTTTTTCTCCTAGTAATTTTCAAAGATTCAAGTCAATTGGGAAATTCTTCGAAACAAGGCGGCTTACTGATGGGAACCGAAACATCATACTCAAATTCGATTTTAATTGGCACTTAGCCCAATGGATGGTACTCATGTGAGAGGCTCTAGGATCAGTAGACATACGTTACCGATTAGTTGCCTATTGATTGCCTAAGTAAGTAGTAATAGGAGAAGGCTCTACGGACTATTAGAGTGAACACCTTAAGGGGCGCGTCCTGTTTGGATGCAATGCCTAGGAACTGCGATTGTCGTATGCTAACCACGTTATCATAATACTGGCTGTTCTGACGATCATAGAACGTGAGATGCTAGATAATGTGAGTAGTATGATTTGGGTGATACTGGTTTGATGGGAAAGGTGTCATAGCCATCAAGTTCGACAGATATTCTAGCGATAAGATCACTGCAATTTGTATTACCTCCTGCCCTGTCCATTCTTTTTACTCAATCACGTCACTGGCCTCCGTGTCCCTTTACGATATCGTATCGGCCTTGGCTTTGTATTACACGTGTAGGTGATGCCGAGGAGGTATCGAAGCGTTTGTAGCACCTTAGGTAGCTGCGGCTGAAAAGTTCAAAGGAATCGGACCTTATGTCATTCTAGACACCCAGTGAAGTGGGGATTAATTGGTATCCTTTTACTCTTCGTGTTACACAACTGCTGGGTTGATGGATTGATGCTTTTAGGGGTTCATTGCCAACGCACACTTCCAATCGCTCTCGGCGCATCAATGTATTTGCGAGGTACCCTCACTGTAATCGACCGCATTCCTTATTCATACGGATAACAGGGCTCTATAAACCTAACAGATCATATTCAAAATATGATTTCCAACTCCTAAGGTTATAAGAGACTGCAATTATCACATGCTTTGGAGTTCTATGAGTTTTAGACTCGCTTCCGTCCGCCTCGTTGTGTCTGGATATAAGTGGGTAAATACCTATAATAAATCATCAAATATAACTGCCGGACACGTGTGTCTCCTACCTTGTGAGAGCGACCAGGCAGCCAGGCAGTCAGATAGATCTATGATCCTCAAGAACATTTGCGCTTATTAGAACAAGATGAACAAAGTTGAAAATAATGCTTGAGCGAGAAGCTTGCGTCATCGTACGACGATTAGGTTCATATCCCCCTCACTTCGTGTATGTAAGTCCGTCTGGTCTTGTATTGTAATCTGATGTGGTATAGGGGATGAAAAAGAAATGGTTTAAAAAAAAGAATTGAAGTTGGAATTTAGCTAACCAACCTTCCTGGTTAGGAATCTTGCTTGGCTGGACCTATGAGCGTTCACCTACTAATTTATGTATGTGCTACACCTGTCAGGTAGGATGGGACTGAATGGATACGTGGAAAGCGCGACGCAGAGTGGCAGGAGTGGATATCCAAGGCGATGGTAAGGCCCATTAAATTATGGACGAGGGGAAGCCACTATGCATAGTGTGCGAGTCCACCCACGCGAATTTGAACCGTTAGAGGCTGATGGGAGTAACATGACGCACGTGCCCACCTCACATAAAATACCCCTATGTTACTTCCATATACATGTACCCCTTATCACGTCAAATTTAGCACTAGACTAAATCTAATAGTAATAGCAATTTCAATGAACAGGCAATCCTGGACAATTTTTTGGACAACTTGGGTTTTTCTCGCAAACCAAAGGGGGTTACCAGCAGGAACAGCTTTCAACCTCCATCGCGTCTTTTACTTTCGAGTCCCGAGTCCATCTAATAATCAATTCCCTCGTGGATTCAGGCCGGAAAGCGACAGGTTTAAGTCGAAGCCGATGGAGAGTTGCGTATTTTTACCATTCTTTTAATTTCTATTTGCCGCTCCTTTTTTTATTATTATTTTATTCTCCCGATAATTTCGGCGATCGGTGAGCTTTCGTTTTATGAACAGCAACGCGTCGCGACAGATACCCACGTTGTCAATCACCGCAACTCGACCCCTTAGTTGGCCCAGGACCGATCCTTATTTATCGTCGGGCAGAACGAAGGAGGGCGCACGTTAAAAGCGAGAGTAATAATTTGGAGATCTAGCAGCAGGCGATCCGTGTCTCGTCTGCGCTGATCTCGTCGTGGTATGTCTCGCTTGGCAACCGGTCTTCCGCCATCTCTCCCTTGAATCGATAGCCAACGAATATACCTTAGGACTAACCTGTATCCATTGGGCCAAGCCCCCTAAAGACGTATTCTTCAAAGTCGTCAACCCCTCCTCGTGCTCCTGCACAGGACGGCACAGGAGCCTCGCCATTTCACTCAACGAGGTCGTCTCCCGTCTCGAGTACTTCGACTGTCGGCGACGGTGAGACATCCCCGGTGCTCCCACCGCTTCCAGCTCCAAAGCTACCGGGAAAGGCTTCCGAATATCTTCGGACGCCACCCTCTAGTCGTAGTAACGAAGGCGACAGGCCGTACGTCACAACCAGCTGGGGTTCACCGTACCCAGACGCCGAAAGTAACCAGTTTCGCCGACTGAGTTTTAGCAGCGAAACTTCGGAAGAATCTCCATTGCATCAGCTTGAGATTAACACTCCTTTCTTACGCCCTGCTCCGTTAATCGCAACAACCGGACCGGAACACCATTCGTCTTCCCTCTCCGGTAGCGCCGCTGTACTTGTAAATCGTGTCCGGCGCCCCCTTCGTGGCATTACAGAAGATTGGATCCGTCAGCATACTACCGACGATTTAAGCTCTGAGCACCGCAACTGGCTCAGCGACGGAACCGACGATAGCGAGCACTCTTCACTGAGGGGCTCTACTTCAGGCGACGACGCGAGTTGGTTTGAGGAGGCTGATCCGAGAACACCGCGAGCTACTGTTGCTAATACTCTTCATCCATCACGAGCCTCTAGCCTAGCGTCCCGGCACCATCCGAGGAAGCGTTCTAGTAACGAAACTCTGAAACAAGCGGTTCTTAACCGACGCGTCGCAAGCAAAGTCGCGATTATGGACGCGCTTGATGTGGAAAGAGGCGGCCAAGATGCTGCTAGCATCCATACCCTAGATTCTCGAGCAGATACTCCTAGGAGTGATCAACCGAGTACGAACGGATCGATCGCCGTTGCGCCCGTCGAACCCCCAGCTACCCCGGCAAAGGCGACCAAGCCAGTTGCCGGGCATACGCCCCGACCGAAGAAGAAAGTGCCGTGGAAAGGAAAGAATATCCTTGTTTGCCTGCCGTGGGATGAAGAGCGAGGTCAACCTGGCATGGCGCCGGTTCCTCTACGTGAAGCAGAAGTGAAGGCAATGTTGCGATCATGGGAACAGCTAGGTTATAATATCCGGGGATTCGATTTGGAAGGAATCCATGTTCCTTCAGACCCGCTCGATAATTACTCTCAGAGCAGAGGTCAATGGCCAGATGAAGGCGATATGACTAGTGAACGTTCCGAGCACAAATATCAGGTCACGCTTCCGGACCTGAATGGTATGTTGTACCCAACGCGCTTCTTCGGCAGGACTGTGCTAATAGATTTATAGCGTGGAAGAATTATGTCAACGAGCTGAACGAGGCTAAGCTTAGGGCGCTTGGTGTGTCTTTCGGCGATGACGAGCCTGCACCTCCCCCGTCTATTTCTCCGGCTGCGTCAAACATGAGCCGACAGAATTCGAATCATTATCCTCCATTGCCATTTTCGCCTCCTATACCAACCTCTTCAGCCAATAGCAATGGGCAACAGCCGTTTCCTTTTCACCCTCCGTTCTTGTCTGGTTCATCTACACAGAGCCCTGCTATACCTTCGGCTGCTTCCCCTGCGTCTTTCAATGGTCAATCATTACCTGGGAAATTCAACCCTCGTGCGTCTATTTCCATCTCACCAAGCGAGCTTCCTTTCCATTTCTCTGGGCCAACTTCGCCTCATGCCTGGTCCCCGCAAATGTTACTGCAGCAACAGCTTGGTCGAAATGGTTCGCCTTCCGTTCTTAACCTGAACTCTCTGGTCTCGCCGAATTCCCCCTTTCAACGTGATGGTGCGTCTCCTCCAATTGGTGTGCACCAGAGACACCAATCTTTGCAATATCCCATTTTGCCCCATCAGTACTTGCATAGACAGGACTCTGCTAGACCATCTCCCCGGTTGCAAGAGTTGCGTGAAGTTGAAGAAGAGACCCAGAGCAATCCGTATGAGGAAGACAAAAGTCCGTCGAAAACTCCGGAGCCTAGTCACTTCATCCGCCACAACGCTAGCGCTAGTCTCCAGAAAGAGATTGACGACGCTGAGTACCACTTGGAAGAGCAATTCCGGTCCCAGTTAGAACACAAAGATTATAGCCCGCATGACGAGGACGAGAAGATGGAAAGGGACGGCCCTGTAGAAGAGGTCGAAGTCTCTTCTACCTCGCATACTCGAGGACCTTCTGTACACTTTGGCAACTTTGGAAATGACTCTGATGAAGGACCGAAGCTTCATCACCCGCAACCTCATACCCGTGGTCACTCGCTTTCTCAGACGCCGTATTTCGACGAGGAGGTGCGGGCCAGTACTGATGAAGGGAGCTTCCGGAAACATAGGCCAGCTAAGCTTGATCTGCAGAACGGTGACAATTCCTACGAGATCGAGACAAACCCAAGTAATTTGGGTACCCCTATTCAATCCTTTGACCTGGTCAATCAATTGCATCAACACTCTTTCTCGGCTGCCAACAATCCTTGGGCAGATGTTCCACGGGCCTCTGAAAGCAAGGCATCTTCGCGACGTACAAGTCATGCCAGCAAATCTTCGCTTTCGAAGTTAAACGCTGGCGCAGCTGAGTTCAAGTTTAATCCTACAAGCAGCTTCACTCCTAGCCAATTCGTTTTTGGTGGCAATCAGAATGCCCAGCCAGCCCCATTCCAGCTTCCATCATTTACACCGAATCCTCAGTCGACGACCTCGAGCCATTTCAGTGTGCCTTCGACATCATCGTCATCTAAGCTCAAGATAAATGCCTCGGCGCCAGCATTCTCTCCCCGTAAGGGTGAATTCAGTTTCTCTGCATCTGGTCCGAAATTCAACCCAGATGCTCCCGCTTTCCAGCCACTGAAATCCTTCTCTTCGTCGGTGACTAGTGCGGGAGCTTCTGGCAACGAAGCAAGTGAAATCCGCCCAACTGGCATTTTCGGCAACATTGATCTGAAACTTTCTGAGGCCACCAAACCGACGAAGAAGTCAAAGGCCATTCCTATCGTTCGTCCAGCTAGTCAACACTCTTCTACCCCTGCCCCAACTACGACTAAGGAACAAGAAAGTCAGCCGGCAGATACCAATCCGACAAAAAAGAAGTTTAGGGAGAACAATGACGATGGCGATGACGTGCCCCTGTTTGCTGAACCCACGCCTGAGCCCGAGGCTGTACCCCACGCACAGCCCAGTCCCGCTGTTCAAGAGACTGAAGCATCTGAAAATGGAGATAGCCTTGAAGAGGAGAACCTCCCTAGTCAGGCTAAGGCCGACGATGATGAGAATATGCATGTAGGTGACACGACATTTGCATCGACTATCCTCTCGGAATCTACGGACGGGAAGTTACAGTCCGAGTCAAATGATACGAAGACGACTACTAGCCCATCGGCGACTTCTCCTGACCAAGATAAGGGCAGCTGGAAGCCTTTTGAATTCAATAATGAGACCGATATTCAGGATTTCAACAATGCTAGACCGTTTGGAGATGAAGAGCCCTTGTTCAAGAAGCAGCATAAGAAGAGCCTTTCCGCAACAGCCAAACCTTTCGTTCCTGGAGCCTTCATGTTCGGCACGAGCAATGCTGCTTCGTTTGACCCTGTTCTGAAGAGCGAACCAGTGCAAATCCCCGAACCGGAAGATGAATTCGAGGATGACCGTGCTGGATCTCCCACTCCTGGACCAGACTTTACGTCTGCCGCCGCTGAGGCTAATAAAGAACCCGAGTCGATGCCTGAGCCACAGGCTGTACCTGTACAACGCGATCCTGTTCCGTTTGCAGTGGGTCTTGGATCGTCACGCTTTGCGTCACCTCCACCTGCTCCGAAGGGCTTGAACGCGTCGAGGTTTGCGGCTACCCCTTCACCACCGCCGAAATCCGCTGGCCTCTCTGCTTCTCGATATGCTGCCACACCATCACCAGTTTCTGATGATAAAGCTCCGGAATCCCCCTCGGAGAATAGCGCCGAGCAAGCCAGTGAGGTATCAGAGTTACACAGCTTCGAACCTTTGCCCGTCAGCCCGCCATCGGATGCTGGTGTTCAGCCTAGAGATGAGGCTACTCATGAACTCACATTCGAGGAGATCGATGCGGTTATGCAGCACCTCAATCAGAAAGACCCCACTATGGGAGTTAATAGGGCTCTGGAGTCTCCGAAATGTCAGCAACCTAGTCCTGAGCATAGCGTCCCTACTGCTGCCGTTACAAAATCGCCACCTGTGCAACTACCAGCCCATGTTCCGTTCCGCAGCGATGCCCCGAGCCCAAGTCCCCGTCACTATCTCGCATTGCCCAAACAAACAGCCACCCCAAGACCGTCGACAGAGCTGGAAGATCCCTTTGTCGACCCTCCACAGAGCGCTTTATCGCAAACATTCGATGGCTTAGTCCACCGACTCAATGTTGGAGACAGCCTTCCGGAAAGCGACTGGGACGATGTCTTCAGTGCCAGCGAACAGGAGAAACTCGAACAACGTGTCCAGTATTTCGATGGCCATGTCAACGACTTGGTTGGTAGTCTCTTGGCTTCTCGGCTTGATCCCCTGGAGAAGACACTCGGTAATATCCACCACGTTTTGGGTAGTCTAGCTCGCAGACCACCTTCAAGTCGACGCGATGTGCGTAGTGTTTCTGCCGAAATCCAAGAAAGTGATGCAGATGATGAGGATGATGAGGGAGAGGCACCGCTCCGTCGGTCAATGAGCCCCAGAAGAGACAAGAAACTGGAACAGATCCGGATCGCTGTAATGGATGCTCTCAACCAACAACAGGCTACGCGTGCTCTCCAAGCCGCTCAACTCGAATCTATTGAACAAAGTAGTGGCAAGGAGGATATGGCTATCTTGAAGGCAATGGAGCAAATGAAGGAGGAGCTCAGTGCAACGTTGCGACTTGACTTTCGTGGCGAAGATCTCCAGAACATTGTTGAAAAGGCAGTTGAGCGCCGCATGCCGCCAACTCCTCAGCCGCTGATCCAGAACGACGAGGAAGCGAACAACAAGCTTTCTGAGATGCAGTCAAAGATGCTGCAGCTCGAGCAACGACTCCGTGCTGAAGAAACCCGAGCTGAGAACGAGCGCTCAAGGGTTCTTGAGCTGGAGCAACGGCTCCGGGATGAGGAAGCCAGAGGCGAGAACGAGATAACGGTTCGACGCAATGCCGAAGATCGTGCTGCTGAGCTGCGGCGACAACTTGAGCAAGCGGAGACGAAGGTTGAAGTTGAGATCATGAACCGTAGCATTTTTGACCAGAGGATCCATGATCTTGAGGATCGACTCAAGCTCCAGGAGGACAAGACCGAGACGGAGATTTCCGGTCGCAGACATGCAGAAGATAGGTTGTCTGAAATCCAGAGACTTCTCCGGATCTCTTCCGAGGAGGAAGACCGTCTTCGAGCTGTCATTGAAGAACGTGACCAAAAGATCAGAAGCGTTGAGCAAGCATCTGGCAAGACCTCCATGCGTCTGGCCCTTCTTGAAGCTGCCCATGCGAACGCGGAACAGACTCAAGTAGAACTCAAGAACCGTCTCAATATCGCGGAAGTTGAACTCCGCGATGCCAGACAGGAAGCCCGACACTGGCGTTCTGAGGCCGAACATGCGAGGGAATCGGCCCACCGACAAGCTGATGACCTTATTCAAGCTGTCAATGAAAGCAAGCATCTTCACAAGCTTATTGACACTCTTGGCGTCCAACTCGAAGAAAACGAACGAATCCGGGATAACTGGCGTGCTAAGTTCGTGTCTCTGCAGGATGACATGGCTCATGCTGCTCGCGAGATCACAGAAGAGAACGCTCGACGCACAAAGAAGGAACAAGCTCTTCTCGCACGCCAAGAAGTGCTCGATGCTAGACTTCAGGCCGAAGCACGGACTCGTGAACGTCTCGAAGCTGAAATTGAGCGGTTGGAGAATGGAGAGCGCGCGGGCCTGCGAGCTGTTGGCGAATGCAGGCGACTCGAGTCTCTACTATCCGAACTCCGAGATAAAAATCACGATTTACAACAAAACGCTCTCCGTTACCAACGAGAGATACAGGAGGCAAGACACTCGGCCGCCGACGAAGTCCAACGCACACAAACGTCTGTGCAATCGGAACTAGAGGCTGCCAATAATCAAGTTAACGTCGTGCGCGAAGAACTCGAGGAAGAGATCAACAAGCTCAGGGCTCAATTGGATCAGGTGAAGATGGATGCCGATACTGCAAGGGCGCACCACGAGATGATGCTCGAGGAAGCCCAAACTACGAAGCAGACCGAGCTCGAAGAAGCCGAGAACAAGAGATGTATTGAGCTAAACGAGTTGACGCGCAAGCACCAGAATGAGGTCGAAGACCTTCAGGCTCGGTATGAACGACAGATCAACAACGTCACCGAGGATGCACAGCGCACAGAGCAGAACCTCTTGGAGCGGCTCAGCCTGTCAACATCTAAGACGGAACATCTACAGGATCGCGTTGCTCATTTGGAGGATAAGGTGCAGATCGCGCAAGAAGCCGCCAAGGCCGCAGCGCAAGCAGCTTCGCAAGCTTCCAAGTCCGTCATCGTGTCCACGACGCCGTATCAGCCAACTCCTGTTGCTCAAACGAAGCAACTCGCAGAGGCTATGCAGCTCCCTGAGAAGGTATCCCCGCAAGCCCTCCGCGAGTCTATCATGGTCCTACAGGAGCAATTGCAGGCTCGTGAGCAACGGATTGAGGAGCTCGAGCAAACTGTCTCCAAGCTTGACCCTGACTCCGCTACTAAGATTTCCAAGCGAGACGATGAAATTACTTGGTTACGCGAGCTCCTGGCCGTAAGACACGGTGATCTCCAGGATATCATCACCGCGCTATCGATGGAGCGCCTAGACAGAGAGGCGGTTAAGGATGCGGCTATCCGTCTGAAGGCCAACCTTCAAATGGAGGAGCAGGAGCGAGAGCGTGCGATGAATGGTGGCTCGGCCATCAATTTGCCGAACATCGCCGCGACGATCCGAGGGGCTGCAACCCCCCGAGTCGCACAAGCAGTTGGGCCTCTCGCTGCCGCTTGGGGTAGTTGGCGAAAGTCGAACCAACCTACGCTTACCAGTCTCTCCAGCGTTTTATCATCGTCGCCTGCGCAGACCAGGAACTCGACCCCGTCGAAGACGAGCGCCTCTTCTCAGAGTGGCTATCTCTCCGGCCTTATGACTCCACCGGCGTCTGGAGTTAGAAATACACCGCCAGTGCAGCCAAGCCAACCGCAACCTACCGCGTTCGGCAATACCGGCCGTCGTTATACTGCTGAGCAGTTTGCCAATCGATCTCGAGACGCTTCGATGACTTCCCGACAAGCGGAGAAGATGCCTTCCGCAAGCACCCCGCCCCGACAGCAAGAACGCCGGCAGCCCGTCACTCCCCCCATGATGCGATCCGGCGCATACGACTCTGACGCGCGCGTCGAGGATTTTGACGACGCCTCCTTTTTCGACGATTGAGGAGGGAATTTTGTGGGACATTACGACTTGACTAGGAGCAAGCTACTTCTACGTCTTTTACTTTCTTTGGGTGGCAATATTACATTTGTCACGGAAATTGGCAAGGCATTTGGAGGAAAAAGTTGACGTTTACATACCGCGTTGTTTGCCTTTTATACCATTTGCCTTTTCCCTGCTGCCACAACGTCTAGATTGATACCCCAATAACCTTTGTCCTTCTTATTTACCTTTTACGGTTACAACATAATGAGAGCTTCACATGCACACACACATTCGTTTGATAAATCAGATTGGCAATGGTCTCAGAGATGATTCGAGAAGATTGATAATCATAAAAAACTATTTCCTTTTTTTTCCTTTGTTCCTTTTGCATAGCCGGCTTAATGGAGACGGGAGAGGATTGTTTTTTTTTCCTCACTCGTTTTCGCTCACGAAGGAAGGGGGGATGGGGGAGCAGAGGGAGAGATATATTATCCATGAGGTTTTTGTTTCTTTGCAACGAACGCTTCACGTCGTTTCTGGGGAGGTTTTTCTTCGAGAGCAAAGGAGTGAGAGTGAGAGTGAGAGACAAAATACGACGATCATTAAGATCGCGGTTAGACAGCTCATAACATAATAATATTTTCATCACACTTATCCAAAAGTCTTTCTACGAGATGGTGCGAACCTGAATTTTGTATTGTAGGTTATGTACCTAGGTGGGTAGGTTAGGTTAAGGTAGGTAGTGCTATGAGAAATAATGATATGGTCTAAAACTCCTAAGGAATGCTGCCTGTTTTTTTGACCTTCGAATAAACAGTTGAGAAGCCCGCGCCGACCCAATGATGGTGTTGATGAGGATGGTGATGATGAAGACGATGATGCCATGTAAGCCGGAAGCAGCCGGTAGGTAGATGGATTAAGGAATGAACATTAAAGTGGGTATGTGAGTGAGTAGGTAGGTGGTATATATATTTCCGCCGCCGCCGCCGCCATCGCTGTTGCTTCCCATGCCGATCACCGCCCGCTCCCGAGAAAAAAAGCCGAATGCCGTGAAATTCGTCTCATTTAAAAATGACTAGGTGAGTAAGGATGGTGAGAGAGAATAAGAGGGGGAAAATTATGGGGTATCAAAAGCGTTGTTTAGACACCGCAGGCGCTTATGTCGACGGGGGTGGAGGTAGCGTCGACGCGGCCGAGAGCGACGGCCTGGCCGTTGGTGAGAGCGTTCATGGCGTCGAGGGCGATGTTGAAGCCGCTGGCGGCGTGGTCGATGGCCAGGACGTTGATGCTCTTTCCGTTGTAGGTCAGCTGGTAGCAGACGCCGCACTGCATTCGTTATTAGTATACCTATTTGACATAGAGAAAAGGAGAGGGCCTGAGACATACGTTAGGAGAGTTCCAGCCGGCGATGGTGTCGGCGCCGCCAATGTAGGTGGTTGGAATCTGGCCCTGGGTTTGCCAGCCGTAGCGCGTGATGAGGCCGTTCGCGCCGTCGGAGCACGAGACGGCGGTCAGAGACCGGGATGCGTCGTCGTAGCCGGTGTCGTAAGAGACGGAGGCGGCCGACGAGGCGGCGACGAAGGAGAGGAGTTGAGCGAGCTTGGAGAACTGCATTTTGGGTGAAGGTGGTTGGAGTTGGTGGTTTTTTTTGGAGTTTAGAATTTGGATGTGAGAAGGTTAGAAGGCGGCGAGGATGGTGATTATCGTAAGAGTTGATTATGAGGTATTAGTATTAGACTTGTAGATGCTGATGAGGATGATCGTGAGAAGACAGTAGGAAGAGGAGCGAATGTTGTCTTTATATATCTAAGTAATTGCCTATTTACCTAAACTAGAAGCTTCGTATATGTTTCTTTGTCCAGTGTTGTCTCGTATATCGCGGTATCCGCTATGGGTGCTGCGCAGAGTAGTGTCTACGATACGTTACCTGCGGTTGAGGAAAAAAGCTACCATACGTGGTGACATTCTGCAGCTTTGGTGGAACTTGGCCAATGAATTGAGATTCGAATGACAACATGTATCCAACTGGCAGGTTAGTTTAAGGTACCTAGCTAGATCAATAGCACGGCTGATCCATGTTCGTTAACAAGATGGTGAGGTGAGGGCATGCCACACAGTCCGGTCAGCATGGTACCTAGTTACTAGTACGAGGAACTAACCGGAGCGAGTCGGTTAACTGCTAAGGGCATGGTGCTGTAGCTAATGCATAAGGAGACTTATGACGGTAGGTCGATAGAATGTACGGTTATCGTACAACATTGGCGGGCCATTAATTCTCGTGTTTGTGTTCTTGGAGAATTATGTGGGGACTTATGACTGCCGATCTCATTCGTATTTGGTGCTGCGGCTTTATGTTCGCTGGGGCCCGGAGCCTGTGACTGGCTCGACTGACTCGGGAGGATGCCATTTTTAGCAATAAAAGGAACGCCCAGCCTTCTCGGCCCTGCAATGTGGGTAGGTCCCGTGCGTTCGGGGTACGCTAACGGTAGTTGAACATTCCGTATCCGTAGAATGAGGAGATCTAGGAGCTTTGAGAGGGCTCGTCGATTCTAGATTCTAGAAATATACCTAGATAGGTTGTTGATCGTCTAGGTACTGGGATTTGGACTGTGTCATCGCGATGCGATCACGATATCTGGGATTTCGAGGTGTAATTCCGCATTATTCAGAGGGAAAGGCATGGGAAAATCGAGGGAACGTACCTAGGTATCTGAGACATTGTTTACTTTGTTTACCTGACAAATAAAATCTCCTAATCCTCTCGTCCAATTCCAAGGCGACCGCCGGATACCTGCTGGATGCACGGCCTAGGGCTGGAGCTGAGATGATCGTGTGCAACCGCAAGTGGTTTTTCCGAAGAGAGATCCGCATCAGCCCTTACTTGCGGCTCGATGTTAGTACGACCTAGCCGCGGTACGTTCGGAAGCTATTTGTCGGTTGGCGAACTTCATCGCCGAGGACAACAATACCAGCAACAATACCACCGCGGCTGCCCGACGGCCGTAATAGCCTATTCTCATGATGCTCAACAGAAGATGGGACGCTTCAGTCGAATCATTTGATTGTGTGCTCTTAACAATAGGTCGGAAGGATCCGTCCCCGCAACATATGCCACATGGCTACTCTCGTTGCGATTCATAGTTGATTGGACATGCGGCTTGTTGGAACATGTTTGTATATCGCTACCGTGGTGGTATTCATCGAGACTAAGCAGAACGCAAATCCCTTGATATGTGTTGAGCTCATCTTCGTCTATTCACGATCCCACCTAAGCCCTAGTTTCTTAGTCTTCTCCAAGTTCACTGCGCTAGGAGCGACGATCTGAACGGACTAGAATTCTGTCAGAAAGCGTACGTCATTGTGTAGCCGGATCATAGCCGCCGGTGTATCCGCGGTCTTGGACATCGACAGTTTCAATTATCGGGTAATATCCAGTCCGACTATACTAATAAGCTAGTAAGCATCTAAATTGGAATGTAACAATGGGCGTTTTTTTGTCATAAACCGGATATCTGTTCAGGTAATTGGACGAATACGAGACTTCAAACGGGGCGGCTCGTAATTGGTAATGGGATGGATGAGACAGACATCTGGACGCGGGGTATAAATTCCTAGGGCGGGCCTGGACTATAAGAATGATCGACTCTCCCCGCAGAGAACGGGCACTCAGTTATTGAGAAGCAGATAAAAGACACCGGAGCCCGGGTTCTCTTCGAACCTGTTGCAGACTTTGCGGGGAATTCTGCCTGCTAGTCTCGCCACAGGCTTTTAATGTCTTTCAACTCCACTCAATGTCGACATGGGGTTCTTCTAGCCATCGTATCTTTTGAAGCCCAACGTACATTATTGCAAAGGAAGCTCTTCGAGTAAATTAAGCAACTGCTGCGTTGACATCGACAGTTTTACCGCTTTTCGCATCACCATCACACTTCCCCCCTGGATGTTATGCCGAAAAGGTCTAGGGATTGTGTAAACGTCTCCTAGCTATAATGGGATTCCTATTTAACAGAGCCATATTTGATAGAGTCTAATATGGCGATGTCCGTGTTGTCGATGATTGGGATTTTCAGTCGTGACGCGCGGCCTATGGTAGAGTTACATGTATTTCCGCAAAGGAGTCTTCATTTGCTGGGGTCTTCTGATGGAAGTGTACTGCGTATGTGCACTCGCGAACAGTCTGTCCAGATCGAGACCTATGGCCTTCCTGGATAACTCCACGATTCCCATATTTGTATAGCGACACGATAGTACGAGGATGTAGGCAGTTATGTGTAAATCGTCTCTCCGCGATTATATTGTTATGTATCCGCTAGTTCGGAAGTAGATTGCTTCTAAATTGTTTGTAGGTGGAACACGATAAAAACCCGCGACACAAGTATTCACAAGGTATTTATGTGCATCGCGTTGTCTCGTACTTGTCCTCTAGCAAATTGACATGATGAATCGATGGATGTTGTAGAGTTGAGATTTTGAGGCTTAACCTTAGCTGAGAATGTAGAATAAATTCCCAGATAGAGTTATTAGTCAGCTACTACGTAGGTACAGGTATGGTGAGCTGACACCCAAGCGCCCCCTTAGCCAATCTTTTTATGGGTCTCTGGATGCCAGACCCCTGCAGATCCCTGTTGAGGATACGTAGCCCCTGCATTTAATTCGTTTCGTTTCGTTTTCTTCCCGTTACATACGATATACGAAACAAATCGAAACAATTCTACGAGAAGCGCCGTCGTCTCCGGTCGGTGGCTGTGCGATCTCTACTAACTTCTCCTTATTTCACCCTTCTGCAACCCTTCACTCTCCTTGTCTCATTCTTGTACTGATAGGCTGGCCTGTTGCGACGATTTCATACTTTATATTTCATACTTCATACTGCTGCATTATCCACAATGTCCACCGTCGAACCAAGCACTCGAAAGAGGGTGCTCAAGGTCATCTTCGTGTCATTACTCCTGGATTTGGTATGTTAAATTACCAGCAATATGCTATCACATAAAGCCCCGAGCTAACTCTTACCGTCCATAGATCTCGTTCACATTTATTCTTCCTCTCTTCCCCAAACTCCTCGAGTTCTACCGAAACAGCGAAGCCGGGCCCGAGTCGCAGTCGACGCTACTTGCGCGGATCCTTGGCGGCCTTAACACCTACAAATCTGCCTTCGCCAAACCGATCGATTCGAGATATGATATTGTTCTACTCGGAGGAGCGTTAGGAAGCTTGTTCTCTCTGCTGCAGGCCATCGCGTCACCTGTCATCGGACTTCTATCCGACAAATATGGCAGGAGAGCGGCGCTTCTTGCCAGCATGGCTGGAAATATCTTATCAGTCCTTCTTTGGGTAATGGCCGTCGATTTCAGAACTTTCCTTGCATCGCGCATCGTCGGTGGGTTGTCAGAGGGTAACGTTCAGCTGGCGACAGCTATCGCGACGGATATTTCAGATGAGAACAGTCGCGGATCAACCATGGCTTTGATAGGCGCCTGCTTCTCCATCGCCTTTACCTTCGGCCCCGCTCTCGGCGCATACTTGAGTTCTATCGCGACAGTAGCCGCTAATCCTTTTGCAACGGCCGCTGCTGTATCTCTAACTCTGATTGTGGTCGAAACGATCTACTTGTACATCGCACTTCCCGAGACGCTACCAAGCAGGACAGGGAAGGGAACAGCGAAAACAAACTCGAAGCCAGCCGCAGTGACGCGTACCAACTCCCACTTCCTGTTGAATCTGGTGCACTTCAGCTTTTTGCTCTTTTTCTCGGGGATGGAATTTTCCCTGCCGTTCATGACGTACGACCTGTTCCAGTATAACTCGGCCCAAAACGGACGGCTGCTGGGCTATGTGGGTCTAATCGCCTCGATCCTTCAGGGCGGAGTTACTCGTCGCTTACCTCCTCTCCTGACCGTGCGGATCGGCGTAAGCGCATGTTTACTTGCTTTCATAATGCTGGGGCGCATCGGCTCAATCGGCTCCCTATACCTTGCTGCCACCTGTTTAGCGACCACATCAGCCACAGTTGTCAGTGGTCTCAACACTCTTAGCAGCTTCGAGGCTAGCGAGGGTGAACGCGGCGGTAAGCTAGGTATTCTTCGTAGCTGGGGCCAGCTAGGTCGAGGATTAGGACCAATTCTGTTTACCAGCATATACTGGTGGGCCGGGAGAGAGGTTGCGTATGGTGTAGGTGCTGCGGGTATCTTTGGTGTTACGTTATTGGCGTTTGCTGGGCTGAAGTCACCGCCTGGGTCGGCAAAGACGGCGCAGAAAGCTACGTCGGAGAAGAAGGAACTGTAAGAACTGTACGATAAGATTGATGTTCGAATAGATGATAATGTGGAAATCTGGATAAAGAAAGCTGCTATTGATTCTATCACGAGTCGTGCACCTCAATGCCCCTTAGTTCACCTACGTACGGTATTCAACTTACAGCACCTCGAAATGTTTGATTGGGATGAAATAATAATTAGAATTCCCTGTAACTTGTAATATTAGAAGTTTACTGAGCGCTCCACCTGGCTACTTCATGAGATAATCTCATTCCTTGTAAAGCACCTAGCCGAGGAATTGCTTGACGTGACGAGAAAAGGCAAGTATCGTAAAGCATTCATTACTTCAAACCCATGACCTTGGTTTGTCGCCCCAATTATCACTACGTTGTCGGTGTAACCAACCCTGAGTATTCTGGTTTGCTTTGGTCCTGTGTCCTACGATGCAGCTGTCGTGTAACTTATCAAGCACACATCATCTACCTTAATCTTAACCTTCAACAGTTGGGTCGGTAAAAGCATCAGGTCGAGCTAACTGCGTGATTCTTCAACGAGAGACGGCTTTGGATTCATGATGCTTCATTGACTGGCTATTACCTAGTAGATGCATTATAATAATAGCACAACATAGTGTCCAATGATAGATCTCGCATCCGTTTATGACTAATGTCCTTTTGAGAAGAGCCAATGAAGTCGAAGCTAATCTGCGAAAAGGACTGCTAGCAAACGTGCCAATCACACATTGAGTGCATAAATAGAACAAAGCTAATAGCTGAATGGTGATATGAGCCTCATGCCCATGCGTTTTCCGGGTTACCAAGTCCTAGACTAAATAATAAGCTCAGTTAAAACAAAGCTAAGCCTTACCAGCCCCATGAACAATGGATAATATGGTATAGCTCCATATGCACGTAGCGTGTATGCGTATAAGCCTAAGCGGGGCTGAGTTCTACCGAATTAGGAAATTCTACATGGGAGAACGGCGTTTTGATTGGCTCCACGACCTTCCCGCTACTGTTTTAAGTGAACAGTCATACCACCGACCCCAATATTCCCTATAACTTTCATGGGTGCCTGACAACGGATATAGTTCGCTCTAATTCGTTAAATCCTCATGTGTTCCAATTCTGCCTAGTCATGGTTCAGCTGAACTGAGCTGAAGATCAACGATTCAATCATCGTCTAATGTTTACAAGGAAGCTATGGCGGGAAGGATCAATTCCAACGTAGGCCTAGGTAGCACAGCCATCTTACAATGGTAAATCTTACGTCCACTTGGCATGGTCCCTGCGTGATGGGGTCATGAGCTCTACCTTGGACACAAACTCCATAAGCCAAGACTCGGATATATAATATAATGAAGAAGTCAACCTCAAAGTCCATTGTGTCTTGGAATCAGCACAGTCTCCAATTTCAAAGACTCAACAACGTCCAACGATTTAAGCTTAATTGATAATACCTAACTCAGCTTTAGTTTGGAAACATCTTGCCCCAAATGAAATCCGTGGTGATATCCGGCTTCGTAGCCGGGCTTTTGAGCCAATATGCTGCGGCAGAGACACAAGCCTCGTCCGCCACGACGTTCGACTGGACCGCCTTGAAACCATCTACATCCCTCGATTACACCACCTGCTACGGAGACTTCAAGTGTGCCAAGTTATCCGTTCCTCTCGACTGGCTTAGCAACTCTACTTCTGTCAACGGCACATCTCGCGTCAACCTAGCCATCATCACACTACCAGCCACAGTAGACGAGAGCGATCCCTCATTCGGCGGAACCATCATCACCAACCCCGGTGGTCCGGGAGGTTCAGGTGTGACGTTCCTCCTCCAAGCCGGAAAGTACATGCAGAAGATGGCGGACGACACCAAACACTACGAATTCCTGTCTTTTGACCCGCGCGGTGTCTCGTACTCCGAGCCCAGGTCGGACTGCTTCAACAACGAATTCTCGCGAGACTACAACACCATGGAGCTCCGTGCCATGGGGCCCCTGGATTCGGGATTGAGCGTCGTGAGCCGGCAAAAGGCGCTGTACGCCTCTTTCGGAGAGCTGTGCAAGGACGGCTCCGAGATCCACGCTTACATGTCCACGGCGAGCGTGGCGAGGGACATGGTTGAGATTGTGGACAAGGTCGAAGAATTGCGGAACAGGAACGGAACCGTTAGCACAAAATTGCGTGCTCGTGGTGGACCCCGACGAGTGCACCAGCGAGAGGAGAAGGATGTTCCGAGGATCCAATACTGGGGAATCTCGTACGGAACCCTGCTCGGAAACTCCTTCGCTTCCATGTTCCCCGGCCGCGTTGGCCGCATGCTCCTAGAAGGTGTCGTAGATGCCCCTGACTATATCGCCGGCGTAAGTTCTCACCTTAGCTGACTAACTAGGTATGAGCTATCCGCATATAAGCTAACACGTACGTCTCTAATTAGTTGTGGTCTAAGAACCTACAAGACGCGCAAAAAGACTTCGGAACACTATACACCACATGTTTCGAAGCCCGCAGCAACTGCTCCCTCTACGACACCGGCGACTCCAGCCCAACCGACATTCAAGCGCGCGTTGAAAAGCTGCTCAACGCGCTCGACGAGAACCCCGCGCCCGTCATAGCCGGGAGTAGCATCGAAGGGATCACGGGCACGGACGTGCGCAACGTGATCTTCCAAGCTTTGTACCAGCCGCAGCTCTACTTCGCGGACCTCGCCGACACGCTCGCGGCGACCATATCCGGCAACTTCAGCGCGTTGTACTCGACCCTGGGCGTGCCATCCGCCTCGGCCTTCTGCCCGTCGACGCTGCCGACGACCTACTCCTGGGAGTCGGACGCGCTGTACGGCGTCGGGTGCGGCGACGCCGTGCCTCAGAACAACGTCAGCGCGTCGGACTTCGTGTCCTACGTCGCCGAGCTCAAGGGCCAGTCCACGGACTTCGCGTCGAACTGGGCCAGCATCCGGCTCGCATGCACGGGATGGCGCGTGCGCCCCAAGTACCGGTTCATGGGGCCCTTCACGACGCCCGCGTCCGATTCGAGCAACGTGAAGGGCAAGCCGTCGGCGCCGCTGATGTTCCTGTCCAGCCGCTACGACCCGGTCACCCCGCACGCGAACGCGGTCAATATGGCGAAGCAGCACCCTGGCTCCGGCGTCCTGGTGCAGGATAACGCGGGACACGCTACGATTTGGACGCCGGGCGCGTGTCGCGACGGGTATGTTAGGAAGTACTTCGAGACGGGCGAGGTGCCTGCTACCGGGACCGTGTGCCAGCCCGATTGCAAGCCCTTCCAGGACTGCCCCGGGCTGGCCTCGACGAATTCTAAGAGGGACTTGGGTGGCGTGGTCCCGATGCCGGAGTGGCCGAGGCGGAGCAGGGCGCCTTTGGGAGTTATGGGTTGATTACTACCTATCTAAGGTTGATAGGGCGATGACTTGATGATGGGTTAGATAGGTATGTTGTGGGTTAAGGGTGAGGGATAGCCCTGGATTTCTTTTGTTACTTAGACATGTATATACTGCATAGTCACATTTGACGAGTTAAAATATGGGAAATTTATCTTATTCGTATTTGGATATACCCCGTAGGGAGCTATTCAACTCCATCCTACGTGACCCAGGCATTTAGGTCGAGAACGACTTGGCGTTCTCGTACCGAGCAATGAGACCCGTGCATTGCAAAGGAATTATTATGATTGTCCGGAATCCCCTTTTCATCCTAGCTGTGTTCCAATGCAGAACCAATGGATGATTGATCGATGAATGGTTGCTTGTAACAGTCCAATAACCCGATTTGACCAGCGTTTAGAAGTCCGGTAGACGACGGCGAGAACGAAGTACGAACGAATGAACGAATTATTGCCTCGAAAAGACATATTTACTCATGATCAATGTCCATCATAGGTTCGTCCTCATCTTGAGCTTCTGTGTCAGCTCGTTCCCTCTTCTTATCGGGACCGGTGTGCTCGTGATCTGCTACGCGCTTGGTCTTCTTAACCATTGGGAGATAAACTCGCAGAAACTTAGGTCCAATGTCATCAAAGAACTTAATCCATTCGTAAAAGGTATTCAATGCCTCTTCGGATTCCCAGAGAACAATGTCATTCTCGGTGACATTTCCCTTGTAAAGACCTTCCGATTCCGGGTGATAGAGTTCGAGTTCGCTGGAAATGGGGTGATAGTTCGCGAGCAAGAGAATGCCACTGACATCTTCCATGATGAGATGTCGCAAGCGTTTCATCATGAGGCGTTGACGTCTCGGCTTGAGCGCCGCACGAGCTGCTCTAGTCATGAACACACCATTCTCATAGCGGCTCTCGAATCGCGCAGGCTCATTGGTCTCAAATACGCCATTGGTGTGTTCCCTTCGAAACTCCAGGTACATGCGGTTCTTCTTGGCTATCAAGTAGCTGTAGGCGCGAAGAATGATGTCTTTATTCTCCTGAAAGGCTGGCATGATCAAGTCGTTGGGCTCGGGTTCCCGATAGGAGTCCCCGAAGATGTCACTGAGCAACACCCAATTTACTGACTTGAAAGGTGAGCGCGACTTGTTGTTGTCGTCGTTGCGAGATTCACGAAGTTTGACTGTTAGAAGCGAGCCGAGGAAGCCGGTGCGGCGAATTATAATGACGTCCTGGTATGTTATCTTAGAACCCAGGATCGGTGGAATGGGGTTGTGAGTGATCTGAATTTGATATCAGTAAAAACGATGTAGCTGAGTTAGATATTCAGCTCACGTTTGAAGATTCATTCATACGAGCATCCTTCGATTGATCAGTGGCATGATCGATATCCATCGCAGAATCGTTCTGACGAGACATGATGATCAGGATATTAGGAATTGAGAGACCATGGCTGATCAAGCTTTTCTTAGCACACAGGCAATTCGAAGGAAGTTGGTTTTCTTTGCTGTTGAAGTGGGGAAATTGTTGACAGCATAGGGGATAGCGACTTGATATTGGGAGAAGTCGCGTTAGATGATCTCCCATGTCCAATAAATATCCTTTGGAGAGGACCAGCGTTGGACACGGGATCTGCAAAATACTATTAGTTTTTATGATTCTTTTTCGGGAGAAATAGAAATAGAGATCATAGAATAGAAGCCTACTTTGGTATCTTGGCGGAATCACGCAGTCCCTTGTTGATGATGAATAGATGATGGGTGGGAAAATTGCGGAGTGGATGAGTTGGATGAGCAACTGGGTGTTTACCCTCTTCCACTACTAGCCTCTCTATGCTCAAGAGATAGAGAAAAGTAGATGCTCTCGTTAGTTGAGGTTGGCATTACGTTGATAGTGCGCAGGGTTGTCGACATGGCTTTGCACATGATATCACATTTCGACGTCTATATCGTTGGTTGTCATCTACGAAGCCGATCATATAATTTGGAATCCGTCACAAAAGAATATTACGACTACTTCAGAAAATAACGACGTAGAAACCGGAGTCATTAGTTGGGGGGTGAGAAATTTGATACAGGATAACGACTAAGGTTAAAATGATAGATCTTAACAATGACGAGTTTAAAACACCAAAGAGTTAAAGATCCAAGACTTTACGTTATATCCATAAGCTCAAAGATGGATTTAGCATGAAAATTGAGAAGATTCAAAAGGAAAACCTTAGCGAAGTAGTTATCATGTTAGAGAAGATATTAGGAGCAAGAGTGAGAGTATAGCTCTAAAAAGGGAACACTGAAGACTATGGCGATACTAGAAGCGGTGTTTAATCACTGTATGAACAGACTATAACCTCTTAAGAAAGAAATGAGGCCTAGGTATCTATAATCTAAATAATAAGTTCATGCAAATATTACGAATTCAATTAATATTCGTGCTTCCTGGAGGACTGTGATATCGGGTTCGGAGTTGGAAGAATGCTTCCATAAGGATTCCCCCTCAGTCTCTTTTAGTCGTATATGACCAGGCGTCTGTGTTGAAATATCATCAAGCCTTCCAAGTAGATTATAGGGTATATCCATATTTCGTGTTGTATTATTGTGGAGCTTCTAGAACACATGGATACTCGCTATCTAGGTCTAGAGTGTTATTGTGGGCTTAGATAGGGGCACCCCTATGTAAGACACGAGAGTGGACGATGAGGGGCCTATACAACCTGGACGTTTACACTGTCCCACAAACCAGGTAAAGAGCTTAATCGCCCTTCTCATACCCCTTACTGAGCTTCCCATATGCGTTCTATGAACCGACACATCTAACCTATCGCAGGTAATTTTGTAATTCTAGAGCTTATGATCTACAACACGAATTCTAACTAAGATCGCTTTTTTCATTTCTCACCGATCGCCATTATTTAGGATCATATAGTAATCATTGAGGTTTTATGGCTGCAAAGACCTCTCCCCGTTTCCCCCCAATTCGCGCATGCATATTCGACATGGACGGCCTTCTCATCAACTCGGAAGACATAATCACTCTATCTATAAACCAACTTCTTAAACAGTATGAGAGACCTACCCTTCCCCGATCTATCCGAGCTCAGCTCATGGGCGTTCCAAATTCGACCAACGGAGATTTGTTCCACGACTGGGCCAAGTTGCCCATCTCCCGCGAGCAATTTGCTCGCGAGTCATCCGAACGAATGCGACTGAATTTCCGGGACTGCGAGCCTCTTGCCGGCGCTGAGAAGCTTCTGGAGGATCTCAGCCATGCACGTAATGCTTCTGGGAATGGAATCAAGCTGTCATTAGCATCCGGCACCAAGACACATTCTTATGAATTAAAAGTTTCAAGGCCGGAAACGAAACGGCTACTTAGCTTCTTTGAATCTGACAGGCGCATCTTGGGTGATGATCCACGAGTACGGGGTCGAGGAAAGCCGGCCCCTGACATCTACTCGGTCGCCTTGCAGTCTTTGAACTCACTTCTCGATCCCGGCGAAAGGAATATCGGAGCTAACGAATGTTTGGTTTTTGAAGATAGTGTGGTAGGGGTAGAAGCTGCAAGGCGGGCTGGGATGAGGGTTGTTTGGGTGCCACACCCAGATATGGCGGTTGAGTATCAAGGAAAGGAGAAGGATGTGTTAGCTGGGAGGGCTAGAATTGATAGCATTGAAGACGAGTGGCAACTAGGTAAGATTGATGATGGCTGGGCAGAAAGTATTCCGAGTCTGGGTCATTTTAATTATGAAAAATACGGCATTAGTATACCGCCTTAAATACCTTTGATAAAGTTATTATTGTTCAATTTCCTTGGTATGTCTTTGCCTGGGTGTAGTCGTTATTGGTGGAGTAAAAATGTGTTCAAGACACTATCTCCACGAATCGAGGGCGGTCAATTAACTAGAGCTTCATCGAGACCATGATTAAAATGATTGAAACGAGAGAATCAGGGACTCAGCTCGGCCGTGCTGCTCATTGGGTTGTAGACGGTAGGATACGATGAGTCAGCAGACCACCCGCTGATCAGGCTTATGTCATATTATCTGTAACTGCAACTGCGCTATAAGGACATTCCTATATCTAATATTTCAATATCGCTTATCTAATATTATTTACCCAGGCAATTGCTGACTTCAAGATATTTCCCCTTCCTAAGAACACGCTTTATCATCTCCCCCTTGTACAAAGACAGGTTCGCACCTATCGTTCTCGCCATCCGCAACCAGAGAAACCCTCACGAGCCGCCGCGCCCTCCCCTTCTCCGCCAAGTGCTCCTGCACCTCGTCGTCCGAAGCCAGCGTGCCGTCCCGCACGAGGGTCTGCGTCCCGGCGCTGTAGATCTGCGCGACGCTCGACCACGAGCTGCCGAGCCTTGTGAGCCGCGTCCGGGTGAGGAAGGTATAGAGGATGACCGCGCAGACCAGCAGGTGCGCCGCGAGCAGCGAGACGACGGCGGTCAGGCCGCGCCACGATTGCGGGTACGTTACTACCTCGAAGAGGGTGACGTCCGCCGTCCCGTTCTTCCTGAATAGGGGGATGAGCTCGTAGTAGGCCATGGACGAGAGCAGCGTCAGTAATCCGGATAAGCTGGAGGCCGGCGAATTACCGGTCACGTTCATCGCGTCTATGAAGAATTTCTGAATGATCGGGTCCGGCAGCTTTGTGATGTCTGGAACCAATTCGCTAGGCAAGTTTCGGGCATTGTAGAGGCCGATTGTCTCGTTTCCCAAGACGGGGGCCCAGGTCCTAAATAGTGGTGCCTCGAAAAACTTGGAATAATCTCCAGGTACGATTAAGTCTGCGGAAAGGCCTTGATAGTAGTCATTTGAGGAGATATTATCCGCTCTGTTCTTGTCTAGGATCACCCCCCAGCCTTGCAATAGGGGGTTGAAGTCCGGGTTAGTGACCATCTTTTCGAGACAGAATTGTTGAAAGGGATAGGCAAGGGAACTGTTATATTTGGGCTTCGAGAGACTAAGCGTAGCGGTTGAGGAGCTTGAAGGCCCCAAGCCGTAATGGGCCAGTATCGAACTGACGTCAACGAAGTCGTATGTGTGTTTATCAGTTCGATATTCGATTGACGCCTCTTCCTTTAGTGGCGATGGGGTATCCATTTCAATATACGAGGCAGCTGATTCCCACGACGTATAACATAAGGAAAATAGAACGTCTTCGGTAAAAGGAGAATTGTGGTTAGAAGAGTTATCCATCTTGACTCGAAGCTTCGTAAAGGGTTCATATTCAGGCTGACTCAATGTCCAGTTCGACGCGATAACGAGAAAAGCTGGTCCGCGGGAGGGAGCCTGATCGGTCACCGTATAGTTGTAAAGCTGACTACGGAGACTTCCCGCGGCCTCGGTCTTCTGCACAACGACAGTTCCAGGGTCTAGCTCATTTGGTAATTTGACATAATGGTAATTACTTTGGATCGGACATATCTCGAATCCAATATTTCGCTGAGCAGTCGTGCTCTCGTCTAGAGACGGGTACCATTGCGACAACACCCTGTGTTGGCATGTAAAAGGAATCTCCTTCGAAACATCTCTCGGAAACCATAGATCATCAATTTCAGTAGAATTGGAGACATTTCCTGTTATCGTATACCAGGCATTAGGTTCATACCATAGCGTGTCGGCGTGACTTGTGTTCAAGGCTGATATAATGGGTTTCTGGCATGACACCCTCGAATCCAGAACAAAAGAAGGACCTCGAAAGCTGGATATTCTCCTTCTTTGCTCAGTGTCCGAGAATGGAAGGAATGATCTAAAATTATAACCAGTGTCATCAACGTTGGGTTTTGCGGGAAGGGGTTCCCTATGTTCAGCAAATATAGGAAAACTCTCGGGCCTCCGAGTCCAGACCGATGGTAAAAATGCAATTCCAGGGCCAGATGAAAGAGAGTATGGACCGAGACTAGAATTGTAGATGCCTTGACCACCGACCCGCGCTATAACAGAGTTAGTTTCCCACCCCCAATCCAAATCATAGGAATAATGAGTGGTATCTGGAAGTCCAATCAAGCTGCCTGGTTGAAGGTCCGAGAGGAGAATTGTTGATGAAAACTGAAGTGTGAACATAAGAATAGCAAGAAGCAACATAAGGCTTATAGGGGATAGGCTTTCGGTTTTGCTTCCTACTTGACGAAAAGATAGTATCAAGCTTGAGAGAGATGGGGTAGTAGCTCTCATAAGAGAAATATTAGCTAGACCGCCCAGATAGACAGACCCCCTTTCTAGTATTTGAGCAGCAAGCATGGAGGCAGAGAATCCTGTCATTAGGTCGACCACGATCCGAATGATCAACGCGCAAAGTGTGATTGATCGTGATGTCCAACCGGCGGTGACAATAGTTAGCCAGATCTTTGCGGAACTCCGCGTCCAGAGGAAGACGAGGAATCCCACTATAATAAATGATATGAAGGGCCCCAGACAGAATGACAGGAGAGGTAGCCATCCTAGCTTTTCTAAGGGCTTCAGTGATAATGTATGTATGTTAGCGCTATCATGTTTTTCGAAGTCCTCTGGATTATTCATATAATCAGCTTCATCCCCTGTTGAACGAGCCTCGTCGATAGTGGGTTGGCGAATTTGTGAGTCCGCGAAATGACCGGGATCATCTACACCAGCCTTTTCGTAAACCTGGCTTGTGAAACTGCACGGCTGTGTATTTCGTGGGGCCATCGTCTAGGGTTGAGAGGGCGGGATTGTGAATATCCAAAGAATCTATGAGTTGACTGTATATGTCTTCAAAAGTGCGGTACGAATTAATGATACAACATACATTCATGTTGGGATCCCTTCAAAATCGATACATTATTTATAACCACCTGGAATTAGCTTATTGATACCCGACATGCGGCTCTGCGTGGCCATTTTGCCTCCCTACATGATCAACTTACAGATTTCCCTCCTTACCTAGATAGAACCGAGTCGCAGGTAACTCGCTGTCAATTTGATGGCTTCCTCGTGGATCTTCATTTGTCTGGTGGGAAAGATTGCCAACATGACTAGCGATCAGGCTGGAATATTGATACAACGTCTAGGACATCACCAAAAAGGTTGGATGCTGACGCACGCTTCTTTAAGGTAATAGGTAGCACTAAAATTCAAGGTAGTAACCTGAGGTTACTTCAGGCGATCCCTACCCCTTTTATTTTCATATATAAGCAGGTCGCTGATATCAAGGCCCAATGATGGGTGAGTCCAGGCAAGGCTACCCGGAATGCGGATTTCTATCAAATTTATAATTACTAAGTGGCGCAAAATCATCAACGTTGCGAATACATATGCAAAACGCCAGCCATGATTTCATTTCACTCAAGACACCCCTGACTTACTCAGTATCGCAACCCCTATTTCGACCCACTTTTTGCTGCGGCTGACTGAATGTGCTGCGAATGCAGCTCTTCAACGGCGGGTATGATCAAGCTCTCGATCTCCAACTCGGGCTCGCCCTCTGGTAGCATCGATGGATCTAACGGCTTGTTTTCTCCGCTGCCGCTCTTCTGGTCCGCTGCGCCAATCAACTCGTCGGCGCCGCTTAGGGTCTTCTTGCGACGGCTGATGGGCACGCGGATCCACTTGTCCTGGTGACCAGGTGTCACGAAAACGACCTCCCACTTGCGTGTTGATAATAAGTTCCCGATGACAAGATGATGCTGGTACCGCTCGAGCGAGTACTTGGCCTTGTGGACGAGGATTGCCGGATCCGTCTCTAACTTGAACGATACAATCATGCCTTCGGGTGCCCAACCATCTACGAGGTTCTTGAGAAACTTGGGCACAGGATCTAGATCGACGATAAGACGTTTGCTCCGCGGTATAGCAGGCGACGAATCAAAATTGTCGAACGCCTCCTCCTCTTGCTGTGGGGTTTCTCGCGGCTCTTTAGTGATGGTCGTTGGTCCTTGTTTCTTCAATGAATCCGTCGCATCCGTGCTCTGAATCTTGTGCTCTGACATGCGCTCCGGTGGTACGAAGAAATCGCTCACTGCAGCGGCAAGGTATAGCAAGCCGTTAGGCCCCAGAGGGCGCATGAGCTGTGCTACAGCTCGCAACTCGTGGAGGTAGTCGGTAATTGTGACGAACGGCAGCATGAGCAAGAGATTCTGTCGCTTAGCATTGGTATATTTGCGCAACACGCGAAGCATCTTGTCCTGGTGTGCCGGGTTCGCAACAACGCTTCCATCGGGATTCTCATGTAAGAAATCCAGAAAGCAGTCCGTTGAGTGGCTATAATGCCGACTATAAGGCAAAAGACTGAATTGCCGATGTAGAAAGATCACCGCATACCCAGATTCGAGGAAGTATTCTGCAGAAGTTGCGCCACGTGTACCAGCACTAAAGTTGTCAATGAAGCGCACGGTTTGCTTTTCCAACGGTACGGTAGTTCCACCGGAGGTGACGAGGACAACACGCCTGTTCGCTGTCGCATGTTGATTTATGAATGATTCTGCAGCGGCGACGTGTTGTGGCAACGCTTTGGGAGGTGGGTTGGAGCTGAAGTAGGAATTCTCAACCACTTGGTGTGAGGAAGCGGATGTGTTAGTAGTATTGCTTGCCATGGTGTCTTCGCTCGCGACAGAAGATATAGATAAAGACCTAGAAGAAAATCGGGCTTCTGCTAAGTTAAATGAGAGGCTTAGAGCAGGTGACGCGTCTCCTGCCTTCCCGTGTAAGGAAGTGCTCTGGGGGTCTAAAGCTAATATCTGTGAAGCCATCGTGTTAGCAAGGGATTGATTGAAGCAACAGTACAAGGTAAGGCAGACGCAGGGACTAAAGAGCCTCTGTTATAATATGTAAGTATAGTTGAGAATGCTGCCATCTAATAACTCATATAGGTAATTGCCGCTGAAACCGGCCAACCCTAACCCCGAGTAGGATGGGTCCATACATAGTAATCCCCGGCATTCCGGGGTGATGCATGAGACCTCGGCCCCCGGCTCCTCTCGAATCAGCTTTGTGGAGGGCCGGCTCTCCGACTTTGTCGGGAGTGAAAGCAACGTATGCCCTAGCATGCCAGGGATGTACTACCCCCTTTGTGCAGATGTATTGATTTTAAAGCTCGTAAGCTACGGGTAGCAATGATAAGATAGACTTACAATAAGGGGGTGGCCTCTTTGTTAGAACAAATCTTGTCGGTGGTCTAAGAATTGCCGCAGGATGGGCTGATGGGTTGAGGGTTTTTGGAAGGACAAGGCTTGTGATGCTCTGATGATAATCCGGAGAACCTTGAAACACAGCTAGACCAGAGTATGCAATAATATCATTGGCTCACAGTAAGCCCCCAAGCCCCGAATGAGGTTATTATAGTCGACTTTGCTTTCGCCGCTGACGTGCTGACATGAGTTTTGTGGGGTTATGTGATGGGTTAAGTATCCCGAATCGGACAAATGGATTAACGTCGTTAAAAGTCAGACCCGAGGGGGAGGAAACTATGGGTTTGTGCGGGGGCGCTTACCCCTGTACCTAGCAGCTTCTAAGGTTTTCTCTTCAGATAAGATCGGACGCTTGTGAAGCGGCTCAGCAAACTTTATTTGGAAGGTACCTTACTCTCTGAAGTCACTATAAACAGTTAAGTTGTAGCTTCTCAACGCCTTCCATTATACCATTTGTAGTACCAGCCTACTATCTAATTAGGCACGTATTTTATTTTAAATGTGAAATTTGCCAATATGAGTAAGAGAAATCCATATTTGTGGAGAGAAACCTTGCAGATTCCAAGTTCTGAAGTGAACCTTAAAAAGAAACGAGTTTTCGTACCCCACTCTGCCCACTCTATGTACCTATTTGAGAGACCTGCAGCGGTTGATGGATTCGACTTCATCACCAAGGGTTATTACCAACTTTCACTGCATAAGTCGTTTACATAATCTTCGATCTCCTTTTCATTTCTTTATTTTCTTCACATTTGTATTAAATATCGGAATTGATAAAGTACCTAAGTCTATCGAGTCTATAAGCTCACTCAATATACCTAAGAACTACCTATTATTTAGGCAAATCATGATATTAACCTCTGACCATCAGAGGGACAATCATTAATTCGTAACCCCAAATGCTAAACCCAAGCCGCAATTCAGCCACCGCCCCCCCAAAATTACCTGTATCTAATACCCCATTTCAATAACCAATTTCTCTTGGAACCTTCGTAAGTTTTCCGGGCTCCCTCTATTTCTCCGTGAGCCATGAATCATATGCCGTATGTCATGCCCCGAAACTCTAATTTTTTTTATACCGATCCGATTTCCCAAGAACCTCCTTGAGTTAACCAGTTCCCCGAAGCTATCAAAGCGTATTGTATAGACTACTTCCAATACGTAGTAAGGTAGCTAGTCTAAAAATTAGTCCAAGGCGACCACCCTACACTCATCGCCTTCGATGCGTACATCGCGACGACAGAGATCACCTGAGTGAGGCCGGTGAAGAGGATAAGACCCCAGTAGTCACCACCAACAGCATTGACGATGGCGCCTGCAACGGGGAGACTTAGTAGTACAGCGATAGAAACAATGGTGTAACAAGTGGCATAGTATCGCCCATAATGTTGCGTGTGGCATAGTTTTCCAACGCAAACAGGAGTGATACTGATATTATTCCCAGTCGAAAATCCGAACATGAGAGCGAATATGACCAGGCCCGCCATCGTATGACCGAATGGCAGCCATACGACAAAGATAGAAAAAATGGTAACGCAAAGAGAGATCATATTCGTGTTAAAGGGGCCAATCTTATCTGCCCACCATCCGGGCAATGCCCGTCCGAGCACGGACGCCGCATTAAGAATCGGTAGAATCTGGAAAGCAAACTTCTCACTGAAGCCGTTTGCTAGTGCGTAACTCGAGATGTACGCAAGGGGGATGAAGAGCCCTAGTTCCAGAAAGAAGACGCCAATAGTGAGGAGCAAAAATCTTTTCTCCTTCATAATGCGGAAATCTGGGTGTGGGCTTGCGTTCTGGGCCGGTGGCAATCTTTTCCTAACTAGAAGGTTGGCAAATGTGAACAGGATAAGACAGATAAACCCTAGGATACGGATTGTCCATCCCCATCCTACTTTGTCGAAGAGACTTTGCATTATTAATGGGAACGCTACGCCACCCAGGCCGCCGCCCGTACTAGCGAGTCCGGAAGCGAAGCCACGGCGCTCGCGGAAGAAGTGTCCTATGGCCGTGAGGCATGGAGTAAACAGAAGAGAGGTTGCTATTCCATTAAGTATTCCCCAGCTAAGCATGAAATGCCAATATTCTGAAAGAAAATTAGCATTATCCCTAAAGGGGAAAAGGATGATGTTGGGGAAGTTACTCACTCGTACAGACGCTCAACAACATGATACTCGCAACAATACCAATGCCGCCCGGGATGATAAGCCATTTAGGCCCATACCTATCAAAGAGAGGACCCACGTAAACGCCGCAGAGGAAGCACAACGCTGTATATAAGGAGAAAATCCATCCGACGGTACCCTCATCATAGTCGGAGAGCTGATGTGTTACGACGTATGTCTGGAGTGTCGCAATGCTGTTCATAAGGCCCAAGGAGGCGAGTAAGCCACACCATGACCCGAAGACGACGAGCCATGCTTCACGGCCCCCTTCTGGGTATGACTCATCCCCTAGTAGTGTCTCATGCCCGGTGCCGTCGCTAGGCTTGTCCGGAGTAGGACAATACTCCTGGGCAAAGGGGTCAGGCTTCTCGGTTACCTCGAAACCCGGCTGACCCTTTTCGAGATAGGATGAATCCGGGGCCTCTGGCTGGGGAAGTGAGCTGGACTTTTCTATCTCCTCCATGGCTGCTGCGAGTGTACCTAGAGATGAGGGTAGGTAAAGGAATTGTTATTGAGAACCCGAACCGTCGAGAATCATGATCTCTATATCACCCCAGGTAGGTACGAGACTATGTATGAACTATATAAATAACGGCAAGGGATACATAGGTATGTAACCTTTAGGCGTAAATGTTGGCACTTTAAGATTCACGACTATCTGGATCCACATTAGCCTTCACGTTGACCGAAACAGGGGAGTATCAAGGTTGCCATCCGTCCTCGGAGCGAACAGACCGCACATTTTTTTAGACCCCGCTATAACCCACTCTGGCCCAGTCGTTCAGGCGTAAAGGTGTGAAAGACGTGATACCACGCCCTATTTGCATAAGAATTACGTCCCGGTATTTCGTACTATGCGTTGTGTATGCGGCAACTATAGACCATTCACCTCCACACATCCCGGTCTGCCCCCAGCCGGGGTTAAATCCGAGGCGTCTGACTATTTACAACTCATCATACCGATTATGAGCTATCTTCGCGTCGAGACCCGTCGATGCTGTAGGTACCAGCAATAAAGGGACGGCACGATCCTTCTTTCTTCCTCTCGGACCCCGAAGGTGCCTGAAGGTGCCTGGATTTAGTCAAAGTGCCACCGAACCCAGGCATGCCGCTTTTATCAGTATCCACGGGGTTTGATGGGAAGATACTGCACCTCCAACTAATAGGAACTGACCCGATATTAAGCGCCATCTGTGTGAACAGGCCGGATGGGTAATTATCAGAAAAAAATTTCAACAGGTTCAATCTTGATCATCTTGATCATCTTCGACTTCCTCCATTGAAACTTTTTGCGGTCCCCCCGTTCTCGTAAATTCTGACGCGTCATCTGCTTCTAGAGAAGGTTTGAGATAGCCCTCTTTCTCTAGACGGTCTGCTTCTTCGGGTTCCATTAGACCACCTTGACCTTTGCTCTTTTCCATCTTCATCCGGACTACTGTGGGCATGAATGCGCTGACAGCTTCTTTCCGTAAATCGCGTACCATGGGTTTCGCTTCGTATACGGTCTTCGTTTCCACTGGAGCGGGTGGTGGCGGCTGCTTTTCCTGGCTGTTGTCCCTACCACCACCAAGCGGTGTGTCGTTCGCATTGCGCGCTGCTCTGCGTTTCGCATACCATTGATCTAATATCTCCTTCGGAATCGGGGGTGGCGTGTCTCTCGGCATTGGTATATTCTTGACATCTTCAGGCACGTCGTTATCGCTGCCTGAATCATCGTCGCCTCTTCTTCGTTTGCCTAGAACGCCATTGTTTCTCTGACCATCACCTCTGAAGCCACCGCTGCGACCGAAGGAGGGTGCTTTATCACCTAACGCTTCTCTAGCTTTGGTGACTACTTTCAGATCACGTTCCAGACCTTCTAATACCGACTCTTCATGCTTTGTGAGCTTGCCACCACTTGATGTGATCTTCTTCAAGTCGTCAATCTGCTTTTGTATCCTGTCGGGGTTTCGCTTCGCAAACTTCTCATTTCGACGGGCGGCTGCCTCTGCCTTTCCTGGAAGAGACTGTTAACAGGTGTTTTATCCCTACTAGTATGATGATTATGTAGGAAATGAAAAACGCATCCATACCTTTCTTAATTGCCTTGGCCTTCTCAGCTTTGCGCTGGGCCTGTACGGGGTTGACGTTCTTCCCTCCAAGCATGGTTATCAAATAACGAGGAGTTGCAGGATACAGTCAATTAAAAGCTGGTCAAAGTTGCGCAGTTCAAAATATTAAGATCGAATTCGTATGAATTGGACGTTAGGTGACTTGTGCAAGATATATTAAAGTAGGCGCGTAGTTGTGAAATATGGGTTCTTGCAGGAGATTTCAGCCTTGTGCAATTCTCATTGCATTACATCAAGCCACAGTGCCGAGTCTACAATTTAAACGGTATTACCATTCTGCGGCGATGATAAGACGATAAGCATGTACCCGTAAATCAGTGAGATTTCGGCAGGTGGGAACGCACTCTACAGGGGCACTTAGCAGTGAGGCTATTTTTGGTAGGTCTGTCGTACCTGAGCAGCTGAGAGGGTACGTATCGTCTAGCAGGGTTCGCTCAGTGTGTACCAGCAAATCTAGCAAAATCTAGCACGTTTCACATGGACTGCGCAGTAGCGGCTACCGGGGTAACGGTGTTCATGTTGACGCTGTTGACATTGATTCCTTGAATTCCTCCACCAATTCAAAGACCCCGCGTCCAAATCTCAATCCCTCAATCCAATCAACAACCATCCCACCTTTCCCACAACTTCCCACTTCACCATTCAACCTGGCATTCTTCCAACCGGCATGTAATAAAAAACAAGCATCTTTCGGTTGCCATTGATCTGCCATCGTGCATGAAGTTTGGACTTGGATCTTTCTTCTTGCATCTTGCATATTCAATTCCAATTCAATCCCAATTCAATCCCCTGGACAATTGGATTCTTGCCCTCGTACATAATAATTTGTACGCTTTACATTCATCCCATTCATCAGGTTTATTCGCCTTCGTCACTTTCACTACTTTCACCACTTCCACCGTCGCGTACTCTACTGACGCATTTCTACCTAACCCCGCCCTTACTTCGCCCCAACTCTTTTGTTTATTATTGATACTGGGTAGTCCTTTGACATCTACTATCGTATCGACCCATTGGTTATGTCGAGCTTCCTAACCAACATGTTTCCCACGCCGGGCCAGAAGGACGGCAAGCAGACCTCTTCGGAGGTTCCTGGCACTCCGACCAAGAACACATTCGTAACTCCCATTGCGACGCCCCAAGGCAGCCCCAGCAAAAAGACTATTCCTCCCGGTGCCCATGAGCTGCCAACTGCCTTCGACAATGCTCTCAAGCTCAATCCCGTCCCCCTCGATGGCCCGGTGAAGCTCGGTAGACCTCAGCCTGGTAGCCCTCTGTCACCTGCCAAGAGTAACATTCAACCTGCCGATGATATATACGCCGGTACACCCACCAATGTCGATAGCAGCATCATTCATAAAGACACAGGGAGTCCGTTGAAGAAACAAGGCCAGGAAAACACCCCGCCTTCTAAGATCCCCATTAGAGATTCGGTCTATCAGCACAACCAAGCTGCTGTATCTCGTCAAGAACCTTACCAAGTTCGAGACACTCGACCTAATACTCCTAACACTAAGAAGTTTAACACATCTCGTGGTTTAACTGCTGAAGAGTTGGAGATTCTGAAGAAGCCTAGCGTCCGTCGCTTGGTCAACGTTACCCAACTCTGTAAGTTTATCCTTGTGCTTATTGTATCTACACCTACTAACCATCCCAAAGACTTCTTAGATTATTACTTCGATCTTCTCACATATGTCGGTTCCAGACAGACGCGATTAAATGCCTTCAAGGCGGAAGTACCCACGCCACCCGAGACTAGCCAGGAGGAGTATGACCAACTTTGGTCGAAGTACACCGGCCGAGAGCGAGCAGCCCTCCGCAAGCGCCGGATTCGCCTTCGTCACGGTGACTTCCAGATCCTTACGCAGGTCGGCCAAGGTGGATACGGACAGGTGTTCCTAGCTCAGAAGAAGGATACGAAGGAAGTCTGTGCCCTCAAGGTCATGAACAAGAAGTTGCTCTTCAAGCTGGATGAGATCCGTCATGTCCTCACCGAGAGAGACATTCTCACTACAGCCAACAGCGAGTGGCTTGTTCGTCTCCTGTACTCTTTCCAAGACGACAAGAATATCTATCTTGCCATGGAATACGTCCCAGGTGGTGATTTCAGAACCCTGCTGAATAATACGGGTGTCCTATCCAACCGCCACGCTCGCTTCTATATCGCGGAGATGTTCTGTTCCGTGGACGCGCTCCACAAACTCGGCTACATTCATCGTGATCTGAAGCCAGAGAACTTCCTGATCGACTCTAGCGGACACATTAAGTTGACCGACTTTGGTTTGGCGGCTGGTAATGTAGCATCGTCAAAGATCAACTCGATGCGTATCCGACTCGAGAAGGCTTCTGAGACTGAAGTTCCGTTCGGTAAGGCCATGGAGAAGCGAACAGTGGCAGAACGCCGAGAGGGTTACCAGACCATGCGCGAGAGGGACCTGAATTATGCGAAATCCATAGTAGGATCTCCTGATTACATGGCACCTGAGGTACTTCGCGGCGAAGAGTACGACTACACTGTCGATTATTGGAGTTTGGGTTGCATGTTGTTCGAAGCCCTTACCGGTTTCCCTCCTTTCGCCGGTTCCACGGCTGACGAGACGTGGCAAAACCTGAAGCATTGGAAGGAGGTGCTCAAGCGCCCGGTCTGGGAAGACCCTAACTATTTCCTGAGCAACCGCACTTGGAATTTTATCACTACGTACGTCCTATCAAACCATGTTGCGGGATAACAATACTAACGGATTCTAGGTGCATCAATTCGAAATCCAGGCGATTCTCGAACATTAAGGACATTCTAGAGCATCAATATTTCGCCGAAGTGGATTGGAAGACTTTGAGAGAATCGAAGGCGCCGTTCGTTCCCGAGCTGGACTCGGAGACCGACGCAGGGTATTTCGACGATTTCACTAACGAGGCTGACATGGCCAAGTACAAGGAAGTCCATGATAAACAACAGGCTCTTGAAAGCATGGCCGATCGAGAAGAACAGATGAGTAAAGGCCTTTTCGTCGGATTTACCTTCCGTCACCGCAAGCCTACCACAGAAGACGGCAGCCCGCGCAAGCGAATCCAGACCGAAGAGACCTTTGGCACGATGCTCTAGGGTAGGCGTCAATTGCCTAAATTCAAAAGGCGGTGACTCACCTTTTCGTCGAGCATGACGATTTGCTCACCGCAGTTAAATATGGTGAGGTTTGGTCGTCTCCAGGCAGGACACTGAAGGCGTAATCACAGGAGGATATGCTCGTAGAACTTTCTTTGTGTTGTTTTCTTTTCGGTCGGGGAAAAGCTGCTCGGGGAGCCAGCTATGACCTCAGGAGGGCGTTTTTCAGGAGTCGCATGCATATGGTGCTAGGAGTTTATGAGCAGGAGGTTTATGGAAGGCATACGCGTCTAGTCACAGTCTTGGTCTGAAGGCAGTCATAGGAGGATTTTGATGTCTGGGGAGTCAAGGGTAATGTCAGTCGTACGGGCCTATCGCATCGGACCGCGTTGGTTTAGCCTCAAGTGAGATCGACCATGCTAGTTGATGAGCTACAACTGCGGTCCAGATGAACTGATGTGGAGGTCTCAGATGCGTTTTTCTGATGACGAAAGACTCGGTTCATTGATGTTATGATTTTTTTTAATCCCCCAACAATCCATCCGATTCCCTAATCCGTTCAACTTGGAAGCGAAGTGTTTGAATATTCATGCCGTCATAAAATAACTAAGGTTAAGTGGTGTCTATATTTAGGAAGCTATGAACTCAGCTGTAGAGTATAAGTGAGGCAGAGGGGGGTATTACAGCAGCAGAAGGCAAACTGAATCCGAGACGTTCGGGACCGGACAACTACCAGACTTTCCCTTCGAGGTCTATCAAGACGGCCGAGAGAATCGCTGATTGGTCATGATGCTTTTCCAAGCTTTCCGGACGTCCCCAAGATCCAACCCCGCAACACAAGTTTCCAAGTTTCTATTCACATAAGACACAAAACATAACCTAGCCTCGCATATTTACTGACGAAGCTCGAGAATGTTTAGCCACGCGGTTTTGGGTAGATGAAATGGGTAACAACCATCTGTTTCCGGATCTGAACTTAAGACACACTCGCTGTGTTGTCATACCAGTGAACTAGGTGTGGGAAAATCAAGAAGTAGGTTACCCTGCATATATTCGTCTCAGCCACAAGTTCGTTACTTGGCTTACTGCTTTTCGTCAAGCCGTCTCCATTCCTATACGCCAATATCTATTATGCAGGCCATTACGTCTTCTACATACCCTACACTGATCGGTCAGTCTAGACAGAGTTAACACAGCTGAGATTACGCCAGCAAGCATGGAGGCTCTTGTAAAACCGCACATTCCGAGCTCGATCCTCCAACCCGGTTCGTGCTTTTCTGCCCCAGGAAATAGTCGTACATATGCATATCCTTCATCACCCTTCCTTGCAAGCAGCCAACCGCTTCGCGGACGCGCGGCTTTCGACGCCAGCTAACGCACGAGGAATCTGCTCCCAATTGGAATGGTGATGACGGCCAAGAGAAGATGCGCGTGGCATGTTTCTGGAAGCTTAGCCACACATCCCTACCTGGCCAATATACCTCGTGGTAGGCCAAACTCAGCCCGAAGCTTTCACAACTTTATTAATTTTTTCCTTCCCTCTTTTTTCTATTCCTTGCCCTCACTTTTCTATTTCCGGGGCGATCACACGCCCCCCGAAAGTTAAGGTAGACGTAGGCGGGAGATGACGAATAGCTTCGCCTTCCTTCTTGTTTGCGGTGTTGTTGGACAGACGCATCTTTTACACATTACGTGACGCCCCTTTGACGTCCATGACACGAGTCTCAACTGCTTACCCGTCCGGTCTTTGTTCGGCCGACTGGGACTAGTTATGTACCTAGGGGGGGAGGATATACGTATAAGTATATGCCTTGCTTTTCTCGACTTACGTACCTTTTTTCCGTCCTTCGTCTATATAGGTCATATATCCTGTCGTATTATAGATACCTTAGAAAACACTTGAGATCTATCCCTATATCAGAAAAGCGGAATCATATTCGGAAACGACCAAGTAACAGAATATACATATACGAGGCCACTTGAAACAAGAAAGATGAAGGCATCAACCCTCGCCGCCGTACTGGCACCCTCAGCCGCCTCCGCGCAGTGGTGGAAAGGCGCTCCGGGATGCGCTGTAAGTTTGCCTTCTTATGTCTACTCTCTTCCCCTTACATCTCTCACTTCCATCCCTTGCTCTCACAATCCCTCCCTCCGCCCCTCTGTCACATCGTATCCTATGCCGCTCATCTTCTTCACGCCTCCTCCTACCTACATGTCTCTCCACCCATCCCTATCTACTCATCCCTCCCCCACTAACCCATCCCCCACAGCAATCCTGCCTCTCAACCGCCTGGTCCAGCCCCACCGCCACCGTAACATCCGGCTGGCCCGCGCAATCCTCGTACTGCGACGCCGACGTCGGGTCAAGCGTCGGCTCGTGCATCAGCTCCGCGTGCTCGGATTCCTCGTCCAGCACCGCGTACTCGTCCTACGCCTCGCTCTCGTCCTCGCTCTGCGCCGCGTATTCTTCCTGCTCGTCCGCCGGCTCGACGGGGGTCCGCACCGTGACGTACAGCGCCGGGCCCGTGACCTGGGCCGCGCCCGGGGGCTGGGGGTCGAAGGCTTTCGGCGGGGGTCCGCCGGGGTTACCCGGGAATGGTGGGAATGGAAGCGATGGTGATGATGGGACGAGTAGCGATGCGTATAGACAGTACTGGAGCGATTGGGCTTCGGCGTTCAGCGGCAGCCACACGTGGACGGGCGGCGTGGCGACGGTGACCGGTTGCGCGTTTGGCGGGTCGCCGTGGTTCGTCGGCCCGGGCTGCGGATGGAATGGGCTGGGCGGCTTCGACGGCTGGGTCGGCTGGGGCTCGGGCTGGAGCTGGGGGCCTACGAGCACGGAGACGGTCACGTTTACTACGACGGATGATGGCGGTGCGACGACGACCGGCACGGGGCTCGCGGCCGTCGCGCTGGCTGTTAGTGGGACGCTTACTACGAGTACGACGCTTGGTACGCCGACGGCGACGAGTGGGAGCGAGAATGCGGCTGCGGCGCTCGGGAGAGGTGGGCCTGGTGGTGTTGGGGCCGAGGGGTCGGTGGTTACGGGGATGATGGGGGTTGCGCTGGGGGTTGTGCTGCTTGTTGCTGGGATGTTGTGATGGGTACCTATCTACCTATCCTCTTACTTACCACCACTTACCCCCTTTTATCTTTCTGTTGTCTTGGGTTGAGTTTGCATACCTTCGGCTAGGTTATGGCCTACGAACCAACGTCTTTCCTTTGGTGTTTTTCGCCTACCTGCATTTTTTTCTTTTTGGGTACTCACGACCATGGAAAAACGGCCTCGAAAATATAGGTCTTAATGATTCGGGCGTCTGGACTTTGGTCTCTGGATATGGGAAGGAAAGGAGAGAGATGGGTTAATGTGGTATGAAAGGACTTTCCCCCTTTAAGGGCGAAGGATTAATGTAAATAATATTTCTGGGAAATGGCCAGGTTAATGACTAGATTCTCCATATCAAGAACTTTTTACAGAGTTAGAAACATTTATTTTCATGTGGGATGATACAGTTCTCGTTTTCTGTTTCCGCTATCTATCTTTCCCTGTCCAGTCCCAAGCGTCTAGTAAAATCAAGCATCTGGATACTACGTTTTGTCTTGAGACTCGTCTTCCGATGGGAACAGAATACTCGTTCCAATCGTACTTGATGATTCAGGTCGCTTCGTTGTTTCTTGCCCTTGCTCTTGTTTTTCTCTTCCTTCTTCTTTACTAACCGTATCCCGGTCTCCTACACCCACCGCATGCATCATGTTACTCCATGACCCTACACCTTCTTGTCCACTTTGAGAAATTGGAGGCAATGTCGGCGATTGCGCATCCTTTCCTCCACTTACCTTCCCGTCGTTGCCTTTCCCTTTTCCCCCATCTTTCGATCCCTCATAGCGAGTGCTCGGTAAGGTCAGAAGGTCATCTTTTGGCGGCGGCGTCGGAGCTGGCGAGGGCCCTAGTGCTATCGTACTTATATTCGCCGGCTCGTCAAGTGTGTACAAACTTCGCGGCTGTATCAACGCCTCTGTCGATTCAGTCAAACCGGTCAAAGCAAGGCCTCCCATTTTCTCTTCACCACTTTTACCAACCGGCTGCTGCTTAGGCTTCGACGTCGATCCAGGCATAGATGAAAACATCACGCTATCAATAGATCGCTGTGTCCGTGCCGGCGGCGTAGGCGGTAGTGGCATGGAGGGCGGGCCGCTAGGTGGTGGCTGGAACGTCGTAGACAGCTTGCGCCTGTGCCAAGCGCGATCACCCAACGTTCCCTCGGGGCGGGCGGCCGGTGTCGGATTTGTTACCACCAAACCGGAACCAGAGGGTTTTCTGTTAAAATCGAAGTTGAAGGATCCCACGAGAGGAGTGGAAGGCGTCTGTAGGTCTCGCCAGTCTACAGCTGAGCTCGCTGCTGTTGCGCTCGTGAGCTGAGGTTGAGCGGGGCCGGCTTTTACTTCGTCAAGGAGCTTGTAGTATAGGCTATCCCTGTTAGAGGCCGAGGGCGATGTGGTCGATATACGCCGGGCGTGTAGACCCGTCAGAGGCCGACGACCGGACTCGAGCGCCGGTGTCGTAGGAACGAAATCCGTGCCATCTGTCGCGATGCCTATGTTTGCATCTCCCCCACGTGCATTTCTAGCAGCACGTCTATCGTTCTCATCAAAGTCACGTGGTCGACGAAGGCCGGTGGTATCGATCACGCTTGGGATGAGTCGTCGAGGATGCCATTTCTTATCCTCATGTGGCTTGTCGAGCTCGATGCTCTCATGTGCTTCTTCGCGCTGCTTCTTCCGCTTATACGCCCGGAAGCATAAGAATATAGCAGCGGAAAGGAGGATAGCCCCTGATATACTGCCTACTATCGCACCGATGGCAGATGAGGGGAGTGTCCCAGGGGTATCTAAAGTCGATGCTGAGGGGTAAGGTGGCGACGAAGACATAGATGTCCTTGTCGGTTCCTTTGATTTATCGGAACTTGTCTGTGAATTTGACAGGACCTCAGAAGGCTGTGACAAACTTGTGATCTTTTTGATTCCACTTACAGCAGAAGTGGGTGAAGATAGCAGAGTCCCAGTATCCAGAGATGTCGGGGTAGGTTCCTCTGTATTCCCACTCGGAGTATTGCCACCGTTCCCGTCAGTGTTGCTATCTGGGTTAAACGCTATCGTTGTCGTGACTGTAACCGTATCGACTTCTACGCCAGGTGCTCCCACCACTCCCAGCTCTGATGTTTCTCCATCTGTCGAAGAATCATCACATCGCGCTCCAAAGAGCAAACAGCCCCATGATAGAACCACGACACTAAACCTTTTCAAACTGAAGTCTACCGAACACATCGTCGATGTCGTACCGACAAAAGCCGTGTAGTGTGTAGTGAGCCATCGTCAATGATAGCCGGTAGGGCGTTGAATCTCGGTATGCTTTTGTCATTTCCATCCCGTCCCCCTCAACCCGCACACAAAGGGATAGTTATCGAGGCCATATCGAACAAAGAACCGCGCCTCGCATGCGGCTTTGTAAGTCCCTTCCCATCAATTGAGTAAACCATTGCTCGTATTCAATACTCGCAATGAGTGATATGTTGTGGCGTATTTTAAGCTTATCCTCGAGTTTATCGGGAGTATTCGGAACTAGAATCCAGCGACGTCGAAACCCGAGATGAGATCTGAGAGCGAAAACTCCAGAAGAGGGTTCAGATGTAAGAACAAAGGTGGATGATTAGGCAACTTTATGGAGATTGGACATGTCCGTGTTCACATTTCTAGAGATAAGAGGTTGATTGCGTGATAGGGAGATAAGAATAGATCGACATGAGCCTCCTGCTGAGCCTACCGCTTCGATCCATCTAGCGGTGTCGATATCTCTATCTCTATCTAGATCTGTCTTAGATACAGATACAGCACAGATACAGATACAGATGCTCACTGCCCGTGCATATGTATGTGCACACGCCCCTGAACCCATCTGATAAGTAACATCAAACATGGTGTTTCTCGAGCTCAGACGGTTAGATAAGAAGCCCTGTGCTCCTTTCGGTGGAGTAGAACCCTGATGGCGTAATTAGACGACATCCTGACTCGAGTTGGCGAAACATTAGGTAACAGAATCACAATAGCTCTCGTGACCAGTTTCCTAATAGTCTAATAGTCCAATAGATAAATATAAAAATTACTATGCCTGTCCAGTTTGCCTAGAAAACTTAGACCTGGAAATCTTATGCTATCTAACAAACACCCATAACGATGATATCGAGTTGGAGATAGAGAGGCTATCTTCCTTAGTCACCTGCCGCATTGGAGCGTGGACGAGAGATAGGCACGTACAATCGTCCACACGGTCCTCCCAAAAATGGCCTCTGTCTCTGGCTATATCTTTAGGTGGCTCCCGACATTGTAGCTTGTCAGCCTGTCAGACGGAATGCGCATTCTCTAGCCTATGGAACTCTCTAGCAAGCGCTCGTTGCCAATGCCGAGGACGATAAGGGAAAGTCGCAGACAAGTTGGAGCTCGCTGTCGTCTTATATACAGGTCTACGATGATTGGTCAATGGTTCGACTGCTTTACGCGGGGTCTTGCTTGGAAAGATCAGCGCTCTCCGTGACACTCGAAGGAACGACAAACATCATCCGCTCGATGCCACTCGACGCTTGTCAGACGAGAAGCAGGAGACGATGGGTCGCACAACATCTCTCCCACACGGAGATCACTCAATGAGCAACCATATGACCTCACGATGAATCGGCGATTTTACCTTCTTTGCCCGTCCTGCCGTCTCGATTCTCGCTACGACTCGGCTCAACTCAAGAGGATCGAGAAGAGAACGAGCACCCCCCGCGCCTCTCGGACCAGCTGACGACCCTGACGAACCCTGACGACCCTTACGCGTTTTCCTCCCTTGGAACCCCCACGCCGAGTCATCTCGTCTATTGGACACCCCCGGTCTAGCTTTTGCCTGCTGTCGGCGTCTAGAATGGGAAACCGAGACCGTTGAACCGTAGCCACACGAGCAGAAATTTCACGAAAGTCTAGAAAAAATAATGCCTGCTCGTCTGCTATATCGTCTCACACACGCATACTCTTTCTAGGTAAAATACCGCAGTGCCTGTTCTGCTTGCATTGAGTAACTGCCAACCCTGCTCAATTCTAGACCGTGGAAGTCTTTTTTTTTTTTTCTCTTACTCTCTTCTAACACACTTCATTCTTGTTTTTGCTCATCGTCAAGTTTGCCATCTAACCATCAGCTGAACCTTACGGTCTACGGAGATATCCCCAAGAACGCGCGACCCTCGGCCCGGTGGCGAAGAAATGTTGATTCTTTTGTGAAAATGACAGAATCCACAAGTGAAAAACACGGCCGATTTAGTACGACCGAGATCGTCGGCCCTTTGGAGCCTAAGCTGCTAAGCTACATCAAGTTTCGGTACCGGGTTTTGGAATTTGGTAAGCGTTAGTGTGCGGTTGTTGGTAAGTCATCACGAGGATTAGCAAGCTCGAGTCAAAACCAGGCGGCTCGGTGATTTGATCTATTTACAGTGCGGGACGGCTATCTATAGCACTGCAAGATTAGTTAATCTATTGTCGTCATGCTATATTCACCTTGAATGTGTAGCATCCGGTTCAACAACCCGCGATGACCTCTATTCGGCATTGCGACCGAGGCATGTTAATTCCAACTTCACCCTTATGGTAACTACCGGATTTAGTTTATGCTATAGAGCCAGTGAAATGCGTTCTGATTACCTCAGGCACGTTATAACTTATAATTGACACCTAGTAAGGACTTGGGAACGAATCCGTCGCTAGTAATTGAAGCTATTTTGGACAAGCGACCCACTCCGTCGGAATTTCAGGGACCTGGCAAGTTACCTGGCAAGTTCACAAACTTGAAATGCAGGGCAGCCATCCAGTTGCTCCTTGAGGCACTCCGTAAAATGGCACTAGATGAATGTGGTGATGCCGAGTGCAAATTGGGACAGGCAACTTCTAAGAGGGACGTATGTGTGTGTGTATGTATGTATGTATGTAGGTATGTATTCGTGTGCTACCTGCCTCGTACGCGGTAAATCACACTGGACCAAAGAGGAAATACGTGAGAAGCCGACTTCGAAGCTTCTGTTACAACGAATCTGCAAGATTCTAGGCACGGCCGAGTCGTCAAATAGGAGAAATTAATCAGATTTTTTAAAGATATTAAGGGATCGCGACGTCGATTCTAATAGGTGCTATATTGTGGTCCCATCTTACTCGTGTTAGGCAGGTAAGTAGATAATTCTATAGTCTGTAGGTAATTCTGATGGCTTGACTTGACATGTGACAGAGTTCGAGTATGTATACATTGTTGACCATTAACATAGGTACTTACCTCTTTACTTACCTACCTACCTACCTACCTACCTACCTACAGTAGGTAGCGTGCTATGCATGTCGAAGAGTCGAAGATGGAACTATTCGAAGAGGGAGAGACATCTAATTCTCTCAGAAAACATGGCCCAGACTCTGTCGATGGTAACAGACGCGAATTCATCTCACCGACACATGCCCAACTTCCTACCACGGCCCAAGAAAATACGAAAATGGGCGCTGAAGATTTCAAATCTGATCTGAGACTTGCTGATCAGCCCTTTCTCCTTCGGGTGACTGACGAACCTTACCAACGCGAACTAACGAACAAAGAGGGGATGATCCACTACCACGCGAACAAAGTCAGCCACTAAACAGTGGCGATTCTACTAGTCGTCTAGCCCGTAGCAATAGTCCTCAGCGAGTCGACGGCCCTTTTCGTCATCCTGTTTCAAACGTCGGGGCACGCCGGGGAGTCGGATCCGACGCCCTAAAGAAGTCTCGCGTAGGAAGCCTACCTCCGTCTCGTGTGGGAAGCGTCGCGAGGCTGATGACCTTTTGCCGCGCCGATGTCATGTTAAGGTGTTCCATCGATGGAGACGCCAAAAAAAACGAGGATGGTCAGGATTGGTATAAGCGAACTATCGAAATCTGTGCTATTATCATATTAGACAGATCTTATGAGATCCATTGTCCAAAAACAGAACGTTGCGGTGACCCAATGCTGGAGTTCATACATAATATGTACTATGTATGTGCGTATGGAGTTCAGGGGACGGCAAATTGAATCATCGCTCGTTGGACCGGGAACCCGCCGTCTCCAGATGATCCATCACCTATTAGCCACGCCGCCGCTAAATTTCACCCACGCCTTCATTAGAGAGGCTTGAGAGGGGATTAAATTGGTCCGTGGGCTGGACCCCCTTCCTAGCTCGTCTTCGCGACATCCCTTGGGCCATCGGCTCTCAAGGGTTCGCACCAGAGTGTGGGGGTTCAACCATACTGGTCCATGTAAGAACTACGAATCCTTGTCGTCTAACCCTTGGCTTGGAGCGCCATTGCGCGTCGTAGTACCCTCTACTTCGGCGGTACACTTGCGAACCCTTTCCCACAGCTGTAGACTGAAAGAGCTGACGAGAGCTTGTAAGTGGTCGAGCTTCTCGAATTCCCTTCGACATCGGAACTGGCAGACCGGTTGTGGATCGTGAACTAGCCCTTTCATCAAGCCTCAATTAAACATACCTTGAACAGCAAGAGAGATGCCCTTGAACGTTTCGTGCTATTACATTCGAGTATTACAGAGGTAAAGAAGAAGAAAGAATCAATACTCCCCCCCCTCCCATGTGATTTTCTTCGTCCCAAGGTACAGCTGTTGCTGATGGATCCCCCACTTCGGTGTAATTCTAAATAGGACCAACTATCTCGCTCAGACCTTGCCGTCATCCATCCCGCACACCCCCCAACACGCCTCGAGATTGACATCGAAAGTGTCGAAAGCGTCTAGGACCCTAGGTGCGTGGCCCTTAATAACACGACGGTTCTTAAGTTAGAACACCCTGACAGCCTGAACATCTAGAGCTGCCCATGTTATTTGAAAAATGAGAGGCCGCTAGGTTAAATACGTTGGGAATCATTTAAGCCATCTTGTTTTTGGGCGCTTTTGAGGCTGGTGACACAACCTCATGCAGAGTTCTTTGCCGTCGAATGGGAAGATGAGATTGTCTTGTAAGCTACCCTACTTTCATTATTAATGGGCAAGGCCAACGCAATGAATGGATGACATTATACTTTTAGAAATGAACTTCACATTGCGGCTTCGGAGCCTAAACTCGCCTTGCCGCTGATGACAGCAAATAGTGAAACAACATTTGAACATTTGCTATGCTCATCACCTACATCGCATACTTTCGTGACTATACTCTGTTCCGTTCAAGCAACCGACTACCAGAGTAGAGGGGGGATTTCTTACCGGCTTTTCCCGAGACCCCATCCAAACTTCCTAAGTTCCCACCAAGTGAGTATAGCGTCGATACTAGTAACTAGGTATGCAGGGTCCGAGGATGTTCTTTATACATACTACTGTAGGCATGTATGTATGTAGGTAAGATTTCTGAGCCGCGAAAACGTGAGAACCTTCAATACTCTCAGTGCGAAGCGCTTAAAGCAAGCTCTTCCCATTCCCGCCACTCCACAAATCGGCGTTAGACCGGACGATGCTCTCACCACAAACCACAAACCACCCTAAACTCCCACGCAAACGAGGAATACCCTTGCCTTTAACACTATATTATTATAACGACCATGCAGCTCCGAGTTACCAAGGACTTGACTAGACTGACTCTCTTCCTGGGTTGTCTTCGAGGTTGACGTATTCGGCGTCTTTAGTGCCATCGGTAACTGACTCTGAATGAACTGACCACATACTATGAGACGCTTATTACCAAGATGCGTATGGAGACATCAACCATGTGTATGTACGTATGTATATACATATACACGGGCGGGCCGCCTTGTGTTGGTAAACCGGCGATATTGGTACTGACATGACTTTCGCTGTTGGACCGACGAAAGAGGGGCACCGGTTGCAGCTCTAGCTACTATGTATATACCTAGGTAGGTATGTAGAGCAAAACCTGCGAAGGACCTCAATAGTAGCAAGCGCAGGTAGGGAGGGAGGAGGAAGAGGTAGGTATTCGGGACACGGCGAATACCTCGCAGCAGATTTGCAGGCGCTGAACGCAACATGGCTGCATGAGATGTATGAGATGTACCCGACGTAAAGGAATGCATGTACCTTGGACATTCTTCTTTGATGGGTAGCGGCTCGTACGAGTTCCCGGTCTTGCATCCTCCCGTTTTCTTTCCAATTTTGCCTGTGCCATAGTACGGACTATACCACCTGGGACCGAGAACCTAGGAGGATCTAGGACCTAAGTACGATCCACACTGCACAGATATTTCCACAGATATTCCCACAGACGTACATAGCGAACCTAGGTAGTCTGGGTGGTGTATGTGTTTCCTCGTGTCATGTCGTCAGTCAATGGTCAAGCCTGACTGGCATGTGGATAAGTGCACGAGTATGAATCTTGTCGCTAAATCCCTAAAGTGAAATATAGTAGGCTATATTGATACTTGGTTACTTGATAGGTACCTACATACTTGGGAATAAGGTTAGGTATGTTTGTTTAAAGACGGTTGAGAGGGTGTGGAACTCGAGAACTGAAGCGCGAGGACTAGGGTTACATGTGTAAGACCTGGGAAGCAGGAAAGTATCGGGTACATCAGAGCAACCCACATATTTCATTGTCGGTACCTTCCTTCACTTAACCAGGTCGCATACAGCCATCTTTAACCATTACTCTTTCTGCTTCTGCTTCTGCTTCTGTGCTTCTGTACTTCTGCGGGCAACCACGACTTAACTTGATTCAACTTAAAATATTTCTAAATAATACTACTAAATATTAAATACTAAATACTATTATCATTATTAACTTAATTCTCTTCCCAACATCAACTTTCGGCATACTCAAGTTGCATCTTAAAAGAATATTCGGAACAGTCTTGCGACACTCGGTCGAAAGACAGAAACGGTCAAAAAGACTCGGTCGAAAAGAGACGTCGAATAAACCCCCCACTGGTCGAGGTCTCTCTTTTTTAATTTCGGTGCAGATCCACCCCTCGTAAGTCTCTCGCTTCGTCTGCATAGGAGCTTTTGGGGTCTTGGCCCTTGAGTGCGGAGGCACCTACAAGGAATCCCTCGAACTCCAATTGTCGTCGTGGGATTGGTCGCAAGGGCCAGCCATCGAGAATCGTCAATCCAAGCCCGCGAGCACCCACGAGTAGCCACCCCAAGTCACCCAAGTCACCCAAGTACTTAGCAGGCTTAGCAGACCTAGCAGGTCTACCAGGCCTAGCAACCCTACACCAAAAAGCTGCAGAAAACAACCCCGTTTGAGGGCTCTGGAATCGTGGATCGCCCGGTTCTCATGGGTCTCTTGGGTCTCATGGATGTTAGCACCGGAATCGTTCCAAGCCTAGCTTAGCTCTTCCCAGCACGAGAGGACCCGGCCTTACGTCTGGTGTCTGTCCATTGTTCAAGTCCAAGTGGTCCCTCTTTCGTTCAAGGAATTACCAGCATCTGCATTTGCATTCGCATCCACTTCCACTACCTCCATTACAATTACAAAGTCTGAGGGTACACCCACACCCATGTCACCCAGCCAAAGAGCCGATCCAAACTGCCTGATGAGTGACCATCCAATCCACCACCCAACCTGTCCTGTGGAATTCTAAAAGGCAATGCGACAGTGAACTACCCGAGTTGCTATTGTTGTCGTTGCTGTGTTGCTGCCGCCGCCGCTTCTGCTGCTGCTGCCGCTATTGCTACTACCACCACTACTACTCCTGCTACTGCTGCCATCGCTGCAACTGCTACTCTTCCTCCGCCCTCCTCCACAATCATCGACCAGAGGTGACATACATCACACCCCCCTCCGATTTCTAACGCACGAGGTCGAACGAGCCGGGGGAAAAAAGAAAGGAAAGCAATTAATTGCGCGCTAGACCTACGACTTCAGCACAGAGCTGCTGAGTCCTCGCACTCTCTTCCTCTTTATATTTTATCTAGTTCGAATTTTGCAAGCTGTTCGCTGTCCTAGGGCGCTAAGTTTGGAGAACAAACTTCGGGATAGCGTTCGGCTTGCGAAGGAACTTGGGCTGACAGGCCAAACCTTGGAACGTGGGGAATCTTGGAAAGTGACCCGTAATACATACGAAATAACGACTCCAACCATCCCGTTCAAAAAAAGAGCGGCTTCGATTCCAACTCTCTCTACCCGCCATTCTCCCAAATGGCCGCCAGTATAGCATCGCCAATACCTATCTCAGATCCCTCCACAGCGATGAATCCCACAACAACAGAGCACGACTTCCGTTTCCCGCGAAGACCCTTCGAGTCTAACCAGTTGAGCAAGACGAATGCCGACGAGAATAGTCCCGGAGACTTGCGCATACAAGAGCTCAACTTAGATTTCACAAAACCTGATAGTTCGGCCATGTTCGATTTTCTACACGGCTCGACTTTCCCTAGCCTACAGAGTGTCACGGCTGGAAACGACGAGACCTTGGAACAGATGCAGGAAAACGATCCGCTTGCAACGCAAATTTGGAAGTTCTATCGCAACACGAAGCAAAACTTACCAAGTCAGGAGCGCATGGTAAACTTGACGTGGCGCATGATGCACTTGAGTCTTCGGAGGAAGCAGCAGGCGGAAGATGCTCGGTATGTTAGTTGCACGCAGGCGCATCGTGAATCTAACCGTCCCCACAGTCGCGCCGCTCTTCGTGAGTCCGATAACGCCGCAGTGAATAATTCCAATATTCCCAGCGGTATTGCGCAACTTAGAAAGACGTCAGATCAGAATCTCGCACATTCGGATCCTATGAATCTTGACGATTTTATATTTCCCGAGAATGTTGCGACTCCGGCGGGATTAGCGGCGACGCCCTCACCCGACGGGAGCAAACAAGAGGGGGAAAAGTCGGCTCACACCACAGCAGCTGCCATCCCTATCAAATCCCGCAAAGCGTCCTCGCAACATTTCGTTCCCCAATCTGTTCCAGTGCCTGCTCACCAGAGAAATCAGGACGAGTTTGCATATGTGACTCGGCATCATAGGAAAACTAGCATCGACGAGAGACGAGTGAGTGCAGCTTATTTATATTTAGTTGGCGGTGTAAAATCACATCACAAGCTTTATTTCTTTCGTCTTATCCCTGGCTGATTTGTTATATTATCATTGGTCATTTGAGCTGCAAGTATATAGAGAGCTAACGATAATCTGCGCCAGACCCGGAACTTGAAACGTCCTGCTAACTTCTCCCCTCATGTCTCTGCTCTCAACAGCACCAATTTCGTCGCCAATGAGTTGGATGCCGATTCCGACCTCCACGAATATTCGTTAGATAGCTCACATCCAAACAGCAACGCTCCTATGTCTCACCATCCGGGCGTTCCTTTTCCTCTTGACACCTTCCCCATGGAGAATGACCCCATCATCACATCAGCGGGGCCTTTTCAGCAAGGTTTCTCATTCTCGCCTTCGACGTCACCAATGGTGCCTCATGGCCCTTTTTCGAACTTTTACAACCATCACAACGTTGCTTCTAACTCTGTGAATGGCGCAGACTACTATTCTCCCCCGGGATCTGCGTATCAGTCAGCAGTTTCTACGCCTCACCCGATGGCCGAAAATGAGAATATGTTCTTCGGTTCGATGGACATTCGTCATCAGAGGGCTCAAGGTTTTCGCCCTGGCCAGGGATCAATGAGAAACCAGATGGCCCAGCAATTTATGCACCAACATAATGGCAACTCGATGTTCCCGCCAGCTACTACTGGGGCGGAATCGTCTGCCTCGTTCACCCAGACTCTTAATTTTGGCCACGTTGATCCGAGTCAAGTTTTCCAGCCTGATCAGCCAGTTCGCTCACCTGGCGTTGGAATGGCACACGAAAATATGTTCAATTTCGGTGCCGATTCTGACAACGAAGACGAGGATGGGGGTGCATTCGCCGATCGGAATATGGGAATGCATCAGGCATTCTCGCCTGATAATGATATGGATATGGGTAATCAGAACTCGTTGGGTTGGGATGCCTCTTTGCCCGGGCAATTCAGCACGCAAGCAGCCCGTTATCCTGGTGGACCTCCTCGTAAGCAGGTCACGATAGGAGGTACAACAACAGATTATCTAGATTCCGGTGATTGGGACGGTCAAGGCAGCCTACCGAGGTCTCAGTCGTTTCGGTCGGCCGGCGATAGGCGCCAGAAGATCCCTCGTACGGCTTCTACACCGAACGCTAATATGGGTGGCCGTGGAAATCCGTTTGACAAATTGGCTCAGTCAAACCCGAATTCCCCACCTGGTGATGTATCAGGAAACGTATCGGGCTTCTCTTCCGTGGCACCCAGTCGACCTGCTTCCCCGCCTGGTTCTAAGCACGGCTCCACGAGCAACCTGCAAGCTGCCGCGGGTCAAGGCGACGGAAATGCGCCAACTACTTGTACTAACTGTTTTACACAAACTACGCCGCTATGGCGTCGCAACCCAGAGGGCCAGCCTCTTTGCAACGCTTGCGGTCTATTTTTGAAACTTCACGGGGTTGTGAGACCTCTAAGTCTAAAGACCGACGTTATCAAGAAACGTAACCGTGGATCTGGTGCAAGCCTGCCGGTTGGTGGGACAAGCACCCGATCGAAAAAGAACGCTGGCAATGCGGCGGGTAACGCTTCTGCTGGGCCTGCTTCGCGCAAAAACTCGACCTTGACTATGTCCACCACCAACAGCACAGCACAAGTAACAACCCCACCACCGGCAACTAACAGAGCCGGCAGCGTCAACGAGGGTGAAAGTCCTGCAAGTGGTGCTGGTGGTTCTGGTGGTAACACGGCAGGTAGTACACCAACGAGTTATGCGGGTTCTGCCACTGGTGCAGTAGGTGGCAAAGGTGTTGTGCCAATTGCGGCAGCTCCTCCGAAAAACGCTCCAGGACCGGGTGCCGCCTCACTCCCCAGAAACATCAGTACCAGTGGCTCTTCCAAACGCCAGCGCCGAAGCAGCAAGAGCACTGGTCCTAACGAATCTAGTGGCATGGATGTTGACAGCCCCGAGAATTCGACTGGTTCGAATGAAGCAGCTCGCTCCACCGGGTCTTCCAGCGGGTATACCAGCATGTCGAACCCAGGAAACCTAGGACTTGCCAACGGCTTCGGTATGACCCAAAGGCCGATGATGGGACCCGGAATGGTCGGAATGTCCACGGCTCCCAGCGGTGTAATGAATTCTGGTTCTGGAAATGGCCCGCAAGAATGGGAGTGGTTGACGATGAGTCTTTAATTCGTCTTAATGGGTTATCATACATCCCTACTGGGATTATTCACAATACGAGTTTGGATCTTACCCAATTGTGCATTCATTCAAACGGGTTTGCTTGGATTCCGCACGGAGGCTATCTGATTTCGATTAATTGCACTCGATTATGGAGCGGGTGGTCAGATCAATTTGTTTTGGACGATGGCTCGGCGAAATCCGCTGCAGCACGAAGGACGAGTAATCACGACATACATACGGCGGCGTTGGTTTATCTTATAACTTTTTGTCATTGAGCGACCATGATTTTTTTGTTGTACATCCCTTTACCGACACGTTAAGCGACTTTTCCCGTATAATCTCTGCGGTGTTGGTTTTCTGGTCGATTATGGATTTTGCACGTCGAGTTATTGAATCAGGTTTTCCCCGACTATCTGTACCGGCAAATGCTTTTATAGAATGGAACATACCCGGAGAAACTTATACCATTCCTACGCCACGAATTTGTCAAGGCTACTCCTCTCCGTCTCTTACCCGCTTCTATTCACTTCCATGGTACCATACTTGGGATACTCGGTACTCTGGTGCCGAGTTTAATAGGCAACATAACAGTTGTCTTCGAGATTACGAGAGTTTGAATTATACTCTAATGCGGAATATACCGCGATTGTCTACTAGTATGAGTCTTTCGAGATGGGTTTCTTGCTTGACGGGGATAACGGTTCAGACGAACACGAGATGAATTTTTGTGCTCTCTATTTCTTTTACCTTGGTGGTCAGGACTCGGACAGGGGATGGGGGATATGTAGATACGGGATTGATACCAATTGTCGTTGTTTGTAGACAAGGCGTACAGGCCAAGGGCGGGCTTGTAGAGAGGAGGGAGAAATCATTAGGAGCAGCCGGCTTTTAGCTTATCAGAGCTACAACCACAGAAGCAGGCAAGATGAGAGCAAATGTCAGGGCTGCTTCTCGGCTGTGTTATTAGAGTGGCGTCGATTCGGGTGACGAGAATCGTCGAGACCTGTCCGGAACGTACGCTATATTGAAGCAGACGACTCTTATAGGCTTTCCTAGACATAGATTCTGCCGCTCTTGGAGTATGATACGCCTACACGCGCGCCTTACCTAGGTAGATGTTTGGGAGACGAATAATATACTACCAATAAAGCTTATACGTACTTGAACACTTTGATTGTGTGAAAAATGGGCTTGAAGGGACGTGAATGATCGATGCTTCGTGCTATTTGGTATTAGTGCTTAGGTAGGGAGCTTCTTTGATTAAGGAGAGGGTCTTTTGAGACGAATGTGCGTTGTAGTGTGGGTTATTAACTAATACTCATTCTCATACTTAGAGTAGCTACATGGAATGGAAGAATAGGGGGGAGATGAAGACTACATCTAGGTGTATATAGCTTGTATCATTATATCCTTCTCTATTCCTTATTTTTGTACGCTTTGTTACCCCGATACTACTTGACCCATCCCTCGCCTTGGTATACTTTTTTCTATTAGGTCTGTAGTTGTGCACTGTTGGACAGCCTAGATGTTTCGTAGCAACAGTCGACAACTAAAAAACAAATTAATTCTAGAATACTAACTGTCATGACTCGACGCTTGCCTTCCAACAGATGATGGGCCCTTTTTCGTTGGTTTTACAATCTATCTCTAGTGGGATTCTTTCGACTAGGCTTTCTTTCTCCCCCTACTTCCCCCCTTGTGCATCTCATCCTATACTATTTATTCCTTGCCTCGCTAGTATGCAGGTGTATATCTCTATAGGCTTTTACTTTCCTGTTATGCCTTACGTCACGTTAACGCTTGCCAATCTAGATCTCGGAGAATACCAACATTCCGGTCGTTGATTGGAGCGCGTCAGTAATGGATACCTATGACATATTTTCCCGCCGTACCGGGGGAGCAGGGGGGTAATTATATTGTACGAAAATGATCGCCGGTGAATACGAGTGAGCTAGAGTGTAATATGCCGCTACTAGCCTTCTGCATCATAGTATATATGGTCAATGTGTCGGCATTTACTTCACTGAGCCAGGGTGCTGCACGAAGGGACTTATGTATTCATTCTTGCACATGCTAACATCGGCCTCCTTACATGTTAGGGAATCCGCTCTTGAGACCCGCCTAGGCGGTAGAAGTACTGTTTCATACAAAGGCCGTGCGATTTGTCAAGTAAGCTATAGGTCTATAGATGCGGAGCGTAGAAAACAAGTCACTCGTATTGAAATAATGCAGTAGGGCTCGGACTGCTGGTGTACTGGTGGATGAGGTCCAAGGGGAGTTTGGTTGAGAGGGCATATATATGCTAGTGACATGCTCTTAGATGTGGTCATGAACAACCCTGAACGGAAATGCCCTGCTGGAAAGAACCAATGCATTTATAATGAGGCCATCTTTCTCTGAAAGAGGCTACGAGGAGCTCTAGCTCACTCATGGCATATTCATAAAACCAGTACGTGAGGACACTCGATAACGCCTAGGTCTGTCTTTCTGTGACCCTCTTAGCATAGCTGAGGGTGAATTGCAAAGAGAAAACTCTCATTAAAGATACTATATTATATAGCTATCAGAAGACGCCGTTCCTGATAGGCTCTCTGGAAGGTGCCGTCAAGGCAAGATAATTTCTGATTAACGGACCACGATACACGAGGGTACTATGAAAATGGAAATATCTTCCCAAGATGAGTTACTGAGATAGCTACTAAAAATGACTGGTAAAGTCATGACATACTGGTGCTTTCGAAAAGAACATATTTTATATCGTCGATGCCTCTTAATCGAGATATCTTGAGCCCCCGAGAGTTATACCTCGTGTAGATCGCAGAGCACGGCAAAACATCTAGGAGGAGCTCTTCAAGCGTTTATATAGAAAGACCGAGTGATAGAAGGAGGAATAGTTGAGTTATAGTTGGGAAATATGCATGTGCCATGTGTTGGCTTATTGGTTGAGAGGATGTCCTTGTACGCTGAAATTAGTATGTCCCAAAGCGATAACGGTAACGACGAGCCTAAAATACAATGAATATTGATGGATATCAGACTGGATGTGGTCTATGTAATCCGGAATATGCCAACGATTCACGTATCGAACAATCATCAATTTCACCGGCGCCAACAGTGTTCAGAGGAATAGGTATTCTCTGATTATTGCCACTTTTCGGGCAATAGCTGCATAAGTACAGACGAGACTCTTGCGAGTAATGACCAAGCCAGAACGATGATGCCGTATGACTCCCTAATGAAGGATGCAAACCCATATGCATCCGTAACCACCGTTTCGTCTCCCATTCAATTCTGAGTGCGGTTGAGCAGGCTGTTTTTGTTGTCTGCCAGATGCCGTAGAGGTGGATGCTCAGAGCAATATCGAATCAGATGTGTATTCACATTTCCAAATCCTCTAGAATAAGGCAACGGCTGCTCTCAAGGGGTGGGCGCTATTGCCAAGCTTATGTGCCGGGGTTGGGGTTCATCTACATGAATGTTAGTATTTTGTTGATGTCGAGGTTCCGAATAAGCAGTAAAGCGTACCTTGCGCTTGCCACCGGTCAGAGTGACATTGACGAATCGTCGGGTGTATGTGAGTCTCTTCTTAGCACGGCCCTTGGGGGTCTTGGGCTTCTCTTGCTTCTCGACCTATTTCCACGTATTAGTTTTCCGTATCGCCATGCTTGCATCTTTGCCAGATTCATCGCATAGGAATGTCATTTGATGGGAAGCGCGCGTTCGTGGTGTTCGGAATGATCGGAGATGTGGTCGCTTGTAGATATTTTCGGTCGGAGATGGTCATCAAAGAAACGAGTGGCAAATCATTGCGACCGTCAATCATCAACCATCAACCGCCTAGTCGTGCCGAATTCCAAATGTTCGAAATGTCCGAAATGTTCGTCGCAATCGAATGATTCGTCGTCAAAGTCGAACGCGCGCGCTCCTTCATCGTGGAAACGGAGGATTTCTGATAATTTCGAGTTCACTAACCTTAGGAGTCTGAGACTTGACCTTGCCTGTCGCATAGTCAGCATTTGATGCATCAATTTTTACCTGATGAAATAAACATACCAGCACGGGCGAGAGATCCGTGAACTTTTCCCATCTTGTCGAACTTTTGGGAGTCGTAAAAGTTGGCTGTGTGTTGTGGTGTCGATGAAGTTGGGAAGGGGTTGAAGAAACGATGTGGGTGGTTTTTTGCAGGTGGGTTTTGCAGGTAAAAGGGTAAATGGTTTTTGCTGATGAATTCGCAAGTCTCGGCGTATGAGAGTGGACCGTGGCAGGGTTTCTAGGCAAAAGAAGAGTCATACCGGAGATAGCTTAGACACCTAGAATTCGTTAAATTTTCCACAAAAGGTTAAGCAAACCCTGGTCATGTGACTTTGTTTAAGCGCATTTCCTGGAGTTAATCTCTTAGCGGGAACTTTACTGAACGGGAATGATTAGGTAACTAAGAGTAAAGGGCAATTATCGGCCGATCGGCTGGGTTTAATGGGGCTAATCTAGACTTCCAACTCAATGTTCCACTCATGCAGCTCCTGTCATGTTCCGACGCTGTGATCTGTAACTAGGTAAACCGTTTGTCATGTCAACTACTTACGGTACATATACATAATTAACAAATCCACGAAACGAAAATATACCTGCGTTCTGTCTCAACAAAGGCAGACAGACAAACTAAAGATCCCTTGAGAGTATCTTCGCTTCTTGGAATTACCATTATTTGCCTCTTTAACCAAAGGATAGATATCAAGGTACATACATATGCTTCACTGTACGTAATAGGTTTCAGATGACTAAACGGTTGAGGCAAGCCCCAGACCCGCAATTCCCCCAGTCGTCCCACCTGATACATCATTCACATGGGATCGTACCTACTTTGAACTTCAGACCGGTGACCGGCCTCCTTCTTCGTTTGATGAAGCTTCGACAGACCGCTAAACGCCATCTATCAAATAGTGCTAGCATTTAATAAAACCTTCATTCATCTTCCAATTGTGAATTTAAAGTCTCAGCTCTATTGTCCTTCCCATACTCCCGGACTTTAACGCCTCAGCGTTCTACTAGAGCCTTGCAGAGCTTAGCAGCTACCCGCTTTGGTACTACATCCAATAACCGCGATGAGGTTCCTCCACAGCCTATCGTTTATCTACTTAGCTGCCTGCTCCCACGCGGCCGAGCCTGTTCCGGACCAGCAATATGTGTTCAGCAATCCTCCGGCTTCGGAATCCAGCTACAAGATTCCGACTTCTTATGAGTCCGCGGTGCTCGGCCGCCGCATCTTAGCTCTTACTCCACTTGGGACGCTCTCTACCGTCTTCCCGGACTCCTCCGGCCTCCGCCAGCCAGATGGCCTCGGAGGCATGCCTCTCGGGCTGATGGAGTACGTAGCCGATTGCGAGGAGGACGGCAACCCGACCTTCCTCGCCATCAAGATCGGGTCTAGTTTCAAGAATGTGGATGCAGGCTCGAATATCAGTCTTGCGCAGGAATGGACACCTCCGTACCCGCCCGACAAGCGCATCAAGTCAACCTGGTTCAACTGGTTCTTCGGAAGCGACGACGATTCTAAGGACCGGGTGCCTTACAGCGCGGTCAACCTTCCTCGGTACAGCCTGCTGGGCTACATCGAGAAGGTCGGCGAGGCGTCTACGAAAGCCCTGGCATCGTGCTACGTAGATACTCATCCGGATTCGAAGTACTGGCTTCCCGGAAACCCGATCCATGAGTCCGAATTCGTGAGACTCGTTGTTACCAAGGTCTACTGGATCGGCGGCTTTGGCGATAGGGCTTACATCGGCTGGATCCCAGTTGATGAGTGGAAGAACGTCACCAGGAAGGAATGGGAGAACGTAAGGCTGCCCGGTGAAAAGAAGGGTTGGAATGAATGGAGCTTGGATCTCTAAGCAGATAGCAGTTCAGCACTGCTGCTTTTGACGACTTATTAAGTTGTTGCACTCGTACTTTGAAGGATTGTTAGGGAATACTATATGTTGGATGGTTGACGATACCTACGTATCACATATTTGTAAATTCATCTTCATTCTGTAGCCTGTGATGGCGGCTGACTGCACAAATTTATTCAAAATGGCTATACAAGATCATTAAGAGTTATATGAGCTATCGGTAACATGAAGAAATTCGCTTCGTGCCATTCTCTTTCTGAATTGCTCCGTTCGGTTGAAGGAACTTATAAGCCATACCGGTGACTAGCGATAATACACCGGGATTTCTACGCTGACGTAACTGAGAAACGGGCTATCACGGCACGGTTACAACGGGGACGAGTGCGGGGCTAGGCGTTACCGAGACGGAGTTTAAGTAGGTATGGGTAACCTCCATATCGCTATATGCCATGTGAAACCCACCCCATACTCCCAAATAAAGTCATTTTCCAGTCGACATTTTGATACACCAGGTTCTATCCATCGTAAACTTCCAACATGAGTACCAGGCTCAGGAATAAAAAACAGCCAGACGAGCCGCCCCGGCCACTCCCGCTGCCGGAAGGCATCACATCGGACTACGTCGACTGCACCCCGTCATGCGGCCTCAAGTTCCACGTCCTCAAAGCCGGCGAGCCCGGAAAACCGCTCGTGCTCTTCTGCCACGGGTTCCCGGAGCTCGCGTTCTCGTGGCGCAAGATCCTGCCCAAGGTCGCGGAAGCCGGGTACTACTGCGTGGCGCCGGACCAGCGCGGGTACGGCCGCACCCTGGGCTGGGAGCGGCACCAGTATTTCCCCAACGTCGAGCTCGGCGACTACACGATGACTAACCTGGTCCGCGACCTCGTGTGCCTGGTATACGGGCTGGGCTACACGAGCGTGCACAGCATCATCGGCCACGACTTCGGCGCCGTGGGCTCGGCCATGGCGGCGCTGATGCGCCCCGACATGTTCCGCTCTACCATCCAGATGAGCCACCCGCACCACCCACCCCCTCTACCCCCGGACCCCGCGGCGCCGAAGAAAATTAATATCCAGCACGAGCTCTCGTACCTGCAACCGCCACGGAGTCACTATAAGTGGCACAACGCCGGCGGCAGCGCCGCATCCGACTGGGAAAACCCGCCTCAGGGCATAGAGAAGTTTCTTCGCGGGTATTTCCATGTTAAGTCCGCGGACTGGGACAGGAATGACCCGCGGCCGTTGAAGAGTTGGAGCGCGAAGGAACTGGCGGTTATGCCGGAGTACTACATCATGCGGGACTTGAAATCGATGGCCGAGACTGTGATGTCGCTCATGAACGGCGAGGACTTTTCCAAGACGGAGCGGTGGCTCTCAAAGCAGGACCTTCAGGTATATTGCGATGACTGGACGCGCAACGGGTATCAGGGCGCGTTGAACTGGTACCGGGCGCAGACGGAGACTACGCCGCAGTCGGCGAGGGATATGTACCTGTGTGCGGGCAGGAAGATCGAGGTGCCGTGCGTGTTTATTAGCGGGAAAAAGGACTGGGGTACTTACCAGCAACCGGGTGCTTTAGAGTCATATACAGACCCGAATTGTGTCAAGGAGTCCTGCTTCAGGGGCGTGAAGCTGTTGGAGGGGGCGGGACATTGGGTACAGCAAGAACAGCCGGAGGTTGTGATTAGGGAGATCCTGGCATTTTTTGATACTCTATGATGTTCTACAGGGATTGTTAGCGGGTTGTGAATAGTATCATATATCGGTGTTTGCATGTTAAGCTGTTGTCAATGTCCCTACTTAAACATCTACTTACAGGCAAGTGAACCTTACTAGAATAGAGAACAGGATAGAATAAACCTCAAGGCAGAAAAGGAAATAAAAAGAATTAAAAAAATATCACCGCACCCCGGACTCGAACCGGGAATCTTCGGCTGTAATTGATGATACAACTAGGAGGCCGACGAGTTAACCATTTCTCTAGTACGGCTTGGTTCTTCCATGTTGGACTCGAGGAAGATGGATGAATGAACAATTTGTTATTATTATTTATTAAAGAAACTAGGTAGAGACTATGCACGGCATTTCTACGGTTCTACGGTACAAAATTACCTGTAGCAAGGCAGATGACGTCTATGTGTGTATGCCTACCTTAAAAGCCTTGTCATATTTTCTGCAAAGTGGCAGGTGCGTGAATCGATATAACATCCATAATTCCTAGGCAGCTACGGCTGGCTACCTGTCCAGCTGGAAGCTGCACCTTCCCGCTCCACCAATACCTGCCCTCCTTTTTGCTTCAGCTTGATTCTTAATCGCCCGATCTGGCTGAGTCACAGATAAGCAAACAATACTAAATGCAGTGCGGTGTATAATTAGAAATATGACATTTCTATATTAGTTGTGGCTATGACGTTTTTCACTTTCGCATTCGTCTGGTGGACCAACTTGACTAGATTCACGATAACGCTTATGATGTATTACCTTGAGGATGGCACTCAAGTCGGCGATAAGATCATGATGTTATTTCTATAATCCTTAAATTAGCTTAAAATGGTTGACTGATACGTGTTGTCCCCCGAGCATTTATGAATGCTTGATTGGTGGCGTGGTAAGGCTACCTAGGTAAGTCGGCAGAGGGTATTATTCAGATCAGCTCAAGTTCATGGAAATGTCTCATTACTGTTGCCGTAAAGAAAGCTCCAGTTACATGTCTTGGTAGACTCTACAATAGGAGTCTGAAGAAAAGAGAAATATTTCCGGTGAGCCCCTTTTTACGAATCAGAATCCGTACCTTAACACACGTCACAACGTTTCCTTGAATACTGTACAAGGTTTTACAGAATTTACTGAAGCCAACGCATTCTTTTTTTATTATATCCAAATATAATGGTTTCTGTTACTACTATGGACGTATTCTTCAGCCAGTCAACACCGGAGTTAGCGAACTAGGCAAAGGCGAGTCTAGGAGAAGGGAAGTCGTCTTTTACCTCACCAGCTCCCTTTTTAATTGAATGATATTCCTTAATAGATGCCAAACAGTTGGCCAGGCGAAGGAGACACACCAAGAAATTATAAGCTCTAAGTCAAATACGCTCCCTGATGATGAGACCGGCAATGACCGACAGGGGTATGATCAGGTAGTAACAATCTTATTAAATTGTGACGATAATCTTAATACTTTATCGGCATTCTCTAATTGATTCTGCTTGCCGCCAGGAGTTGACAAGTTTGTATCGTTGCGGGATTTCGGCTCAAAGCCACCCAGGGACATTAGCACCAGCTGCAAGATACAAGCGGCGACTAAGGAGAGTGTTCTACACTCACTATTTACCTACGAGGAAATAGAATTTGCTTCGGGCTATGTGGATGACGTTCCATCCAGCGCATCTAGCAGCGATGATACGGACATGACGTTCTGCAGGGAATGCCTGAGAATGCCTGGGAATGCTGGAGCGCGGCGAGACGATATTCATATTCAGGGACTTGATCGCGAAGATACTCATGACTGACTGTAACTCCACAAGCGCGAGAAGAGGGAGTAACTGGCGTGTTTTAGCCTAAGGATGGTAGATAAGAATCATCGCTAAGATAGCCATTCGAATATAGGCTCCGAATTACAAACTCGCGGACGGTAGGGCGAAAAGAAGTAACAGAAGAAGGAATTAGTCGAATTCCTTTCGCGGGACCGTGACTACCGAACTCCAAGAGACCTTTGGCCTACAAGACCAGAAACTCCGCTTCCCGGAACGCCTTTCTATTCAATGTCAGAGTAGGCCCGAATTTCATATTTCATAGGAAAATCAAAACCATGCGTGAAAAGCTCATCAACCCAAGTAATCCACAATATTTGACACCTAGTTCCTCGTCAGATGAGCCAAAGTATTTTGAACACTTTGCCCCAATAGCTAGAGTTGATGGAGTCCAGGACGCCTTAGTATAAGGTATTGATATCCTTAGGAATATCTTGGGTCAAGATTTCCAATTCATCATTGCCTCGTATATCTTAATTGTTTAGCAATGGTTAGACGTGCCCAGAGGAAGGTTTATAGCCCCTATTTCTCACGGCATAGGCAAGTAGCACTCTATGTCATAGTCGATGTCAAATAGAGCGTTGGAATTGTAGCCATCAGAATATTTGACATGATATGAGCGGTTCTCAACTTTATGAAGTAGGTGGTAATGCTTCGTTAGTAGTATCTAGTGGGTAGTCCAATGTTGTAGATAGGTACAATGGATAGGCGTTAAGGTTGTGGTAGCGAAATAGTAGCCACAGCATGACTAAGCAGCGTAAACCTTATCTGCTCGATGCACAGCCACATTCTGATACGGAGATACGTACCTCAAATTATCAAAGTTCATCCATCAGATCCATCAGTTAACCAAACATCATCATCTACTTTTCCCTAGATACCGCTACGACGACGACGGATTCCTATAGACCACCCCTAATCTCCTCCCGGGGATATCGATCCCGCTAAATCCATCAAACTCCCTCAAGAATCAAAGCCGCAGCCGCAACTACACACCATCATGCCACCACCTCCCCCTCCGCCGCCCTCGCGGCGCGCCGACTCCAAAGCCTCGGCCGCGTCGAAGGAAGAAAACATCTACATCCCGTCCTTCATCAGCAAGCGGCCGTTCTACGCGGGCGAGGAGGGCGACGGCACCGACTACCTCGAGCACCAGCGTCTGCACAAGGCCAAGGACGACCAGTCCAAATGGTACGACCGGGGCCGCAAGCTCGGGCCGGCGGCGACCAAGTACCGCAAGGGCGCGTGCGAGAACTGCGGCGCGATGACGCACAAGGCCAAAGACTGCCTCAACCGGCCGCGCGCCAAGGGCGCCAAGTGGACGGGCAAGGACATCCAGGCGGACGAGGTCGTGCAGGAGGTCGAGCTGGGCTGGGACGCCAAGCGCGACCGGTGGAACGGGTACGATCCGAAGGAGTACCGCCGCGTCGTCGAGCGGTACGAGCAGCTGGACGACCTACGGAACCAGCTCGCGGGCGGCGTCGGCGGCGGCGACGACTCGAAAGACAAGGACGGCGAGGGCGGCGAGGAAGACGACGGTAAAGACAACGCGGGCGAGAAGTACGCCGAGGAGTCGGACATGGGACGGCACCAGAGCACGGCGACGCGGCAGCTGCGCATCCGCGAGGACACCGCCAAGTACCTGCTCAACCTGGACCTCGAGTCCGCCAAGTACGACCCCAAGACGCGGACGATGGTCGACGCCGGCGCGACCGCCGACAAGGCGGCGGCCCTGTTCGCCGAGGAAGGGTTCCTGCGCGCGTCGGGCGACGCGGCCGAGTTCGAGCGCGCGCAGAAGTACGCGTGGGAGGCGCAGGAGAAGTCGGGCGACACCCGCCAGCACATGCAGGCGAACCCCACGGCCGGCGAATACTACCGCAAGAAGGAGCGGGAGGAAGCCGAGCGGAAGAAACTCGAGCGGCAGAGGATACTAGCGGAAAAGTACGGCGGCTCGACGCACGAGATGCCCGCGTCGCTACGAGAAGCCGCGGTCACGGAATCAGAGCAGTTCGTCGAGTACGACGAGTCCGGCCTGATCAAGGGCGCGCCGAGGGCCAGTGCCAAGTCCAAGTACGCCGAAGACGTGTACATCAACAACCATACCTCGGTATGGGGCAGCTGGTGGTCTAATTTCAAATGGGGCTACGCGTGCTGTCATTCGTTTATTAAGAATAGCTACTATACGGGCGAGGAGGGCAAGCAGGCCTGGGAAGCGGCTGAGAAGCAGAGGTTGGGTGTTAATTTGATCGAAGATGTCCCAGCCCAGGAGGAAGAGAAAGCCGCCGAGGAGAAGGCTGATGAGGAGGCTGAACCATCACGACAAGCAGGCAAGAAACGCACGATAGAGGAGATGAAGGGTGGTGTTTCGGAAGCCGAGCTCGATGAGTACCGAAGGAAACGAGCGGCGGCGGATGATCCTATGGCAAAGTTCTTAGGGAAAGATGAGTTAGTGCGATAGTATCGGTCTCATCGGTGGATTACTTTAATACATTGAAAGAGTCAAATCAGTAAATCACATATCACGTAGAGCATAAATCATTAAACGGTGGTGAAAGTTCTTCATGCATTCCGTATCCCATGGCCTAACGCCGTGAGGTATGATCTTGTTTCATACCGCCATAATGTAAAGTTTTCCCCACCACCGAATTATCCACATGATTTCATGGAAGAAGGCGTTACATTTACTCCTCTTCCTCCTCCTCCTCACCATCGTCACCCTTCTCGGCAGCCTTAGCCTTCTTTCTGCGGACACGGCCAGGGCGACCGCCACCGAACGGCGAGGTCAAGGAGAAGTCGATGTGCTTCTGAGAGTCAAGACGGACGATGAAAGACGGGACGTTGACGATCTGCTTGCCGACGCGGATGTGTCGCTGGCGGATGAGGACACGGGCGTGGTGGATGGACTTGGCAAGACCGAGCTTGTAGACGCAGGTCTGGAGGCGGCGCTCCAAGAAATCTTCGACCTTAAGGGCAAGAACGTAATCGAGCTTCATGCGGGACTCATCGAGAACACCGACACGGACGAGACGGCGAATGAGGGCATTTCCTTCGAAGAGACGCTTGGGGTCCTTCTCGTCGAGAGTAAGAAGCTGACTATATTTCGGATAAAAATTAGTATGGATGATGAGACATGATGCGCGTAGAATTTATTGAAGATGCGAAGATGCGGAGGGAAAACATACCGGGCAGCACGACGAATCTTGGAAAGAGTGAGCTGGACACGCCAGACCTCACGCTTATTGCGTAGACCATACTCTCCAACGAGCTTCAGCTCGGAATCACTATATGCGCGACCATGTCAGTTTATTTTTCACAATCGACTTAAGTAGAGGCAAGCTCTAGCTCAGTGGCCGGTGATTACTGACAGACGGGCGGCCTCGAAGGGACGACGGGGGACCTTTGCGGTCTTGGAGTAAGACAAAGGCGCCATGGTTGCGACGGCTCAATTGTCTTTCGAGTGGTGTTGACGAAAGAGAGGGATTGAAGGAATTTGAAGTTGTCGTGGGATTTCGCAAAGTAGAAAAGCGAATCAGAAAAGTTGGAGGTCAAAGTTTGTAAAGAAAAGAAAGTGGGTTTGTGGAATGGAGTAGGGCAAGTGTGGAGCTAAGCCAATTGTGGACAAAGTACCCCTCGCTTAATTGGCAGCTGCGTGCAGTGTCCCAGGTGGGTAGTAACTTCTAACGTCCACAACCGCAACCAAGCCCCGAAAAAATTCCTAAGCGAATTTCTTGAGTAGCGACATCCATCGAGAGAAATCAACCAACTCCCATCACCAAAATAACTTTCTCTCGCGAAACCACAACACCGATAAGATGGGTCACGCCGCAGGTCTTCGCGCTGGCACTCGAGTATGTTATTCAATTCTGGACAATTTCTATTGATTGTATTTTATTTTACGGGGGAAATAAAACTAACAAATGCTATAGTATGCCTTCTCTCGGAACTTCCGACAGAAGGGTATGATCCGCCTGTCTACATACCTACACCAGTACAAGTACGCTTCAATTTGGAATTTTTTACGCCGGGGAAAAATGTTGACAATTGGACAGGGTTGGCGACATCGTTGACATCAAGGCAAATGGTGCTGTTCAGAAGGGGTAAGGCATTCCAAATCCTACCGAAAATGCGATCGATCCGAATCCAGATAGGCGAAAGCTGCGAATTTGGCGAGAAGCAAGATAGCTATTAAGGAACAGGAGCTGACCAGAGGAATAGTATGCCTCACAAGGTCTACCACGGCAAGACCGGTGTCGTCTACAACGTTACCAAGTCGGCAGTCGGCGTCATCATCTACAAGAAGGTGAAGCACCGGTACATCGAGAAGCGAGTCAACATTCGCATCGAGCACATCAGCCGATCCCGATCAAGAGAGGACTTCCTCAAGCGCGTCAAGCAAAACGCCGAGCTCAAGAAGAAGGCCAAGGCCGAGGGAACCACTCTTACCGTTAAGCGACTGGCTACCCTCCCCCGTGAGGCGCACACCGTGTCCATGAAGGACAACCAACCCGAGACAGTTGTCCCTATCGCGTACGAGACGACCATCTAAGGAAGGGGAAAGGTGATGGATGGATGCGGCGGTCGCGTGGTGTTTCTGGGTTCTTCTGCCGGTTGCTCTTTTCTCATTGCATTAGGGGTTTTTCGCGTGGCCAGGAATCTCAATCTTCTGTGCATGGCAAGGCATGGAGGGACATAGGCACAGCCTGGAGGAATGACAAAAATATACCAATGCTAACAATGCTGCTCTGATACGTGACAGGTCTTAATATCGTATAGCGCGAAAAACATATCTTGATCCTAGGTAACCAGTAAAGAGTTCCGGATATTCGAGGCTATAGTCGTCTACATCCCCTCATGTCAATATTCGAGTGGAACTGGGCTCTCCCTAGAGAGACATCGAAATTGCTACAGCTCCATTAGCCACTAATCCACATAATGGACGGACGGACGAGTCTACTATTCTACTATTAATAAGTAGAAATTACATACTGGGGCCGATCCAATATCTATCTTCATATTCCCAACTAAGTATATCCATCTCATAGACAGAAATTCAATGTCAGCATCCGTAGCCGTCGTCGTTATCATACATCGTTCTAGTAGTAGCCATCTTACGAAGCGAGGATAGCGTGGCCATTCCGTGAACAAACGGACCAAGAACTACCAACACAAGCCGAGAGGACCATCGCCGGGTACTCCCTTTATATCCTTTCTCCAGTCACCTAAGGAGGGAGACGTGCTCTCCAACGCCTAGACTCAAGAAGCGTTCTAGGACTTTGTTAGAAAGGACTTTATATATGAGGAAAATACCCTATCGTTTAAATCCCCTTTTCCCGTGGCCCCCATACTAGACACAATACGAGCTCCCTAGTACGACACAGAATCAATCATATCATTCTATCTGTCCACAAGCCCATGAGCAGCAAACCAGTTTATCCTTGGCAACTCCTAATGCCACCCAGCGCCCCTCAACCCTTCTCATTAAGGGGGCTCCCTTTCTCACCAAAGACAGCTCAGCAGAACATACTGGACCGTCACTTTCGCTCTAAGACCAATAGTTGGAGCACTACACATACTTTGATGAATAGTTTAGACATCGAAAACGAACCTTTTAGTCCTACAGCACACCCTACGCCAAACATTCACAATCACGATCATCACCAAGTCATTTCCATTTTTGTTCATTCTTAGCATTCAGCGCTACCTGCTCTGCTCTGCCCTGCTCTGCCCTGCTCTGCCTAGCCCAGCTCCGCTCAGCTCAGCGCATCCGCATATCAGGCAATAGCATACTCGTATGCTACTATTCTCCGCGATCGACATACAAGTCGGCTCAGTTTACCCAAGTATCTACCTAGATAGTACGCTATCCATACATCAGGCAAGCCGAGCTTAGTTTTTCAGATTTTGCATTACCCCAACGCGCAAAGCAAAAACAAAGACCCCCGAATACATTCCCTAGATAACTTTTACAACAGAACAGGGGTATATGCCTCGTCCCGTGCAGTTACTGCTACTTGGTCGGTCTCCAAGCTCCTGTCCAATCAATGGCGGTAGAGACTGATTATTTGCTCGTTGCCTGAAGGGTTTTAGAAAAATGAGATAAAAATGGTGACGATGAACCCCGTTTGTCCCGAGATTCATAGATGATGAGGACAAAGATTATCCGTTCATAATCCGTACTATGCCACCAAGGCATAGGTACATGTTTCTGACGCCGGCAGGGACTTTGGCAACGAGCCGTAAAAAGTCATAGGTCGAAGAGAAATGTTGCTGAAGGTATGAGGGTATATCGGAATTGATGATAAAAGAGAAGATGTCAGTTGTGAGATCGGATTGGACTATGTCCTGATGCGAGAAATGGTGCTTGAACAGCATCCGTTATTAAAGAATCGTATGCGAAGTATTCAAATCCGCAAATAAAGCCACCTAGAGAAATGACTATTCCCCAATGGCCCGAAGAAAGGATATTGATGAATGCAGTGTCTTATATGCCTGGGTATGCGCTCCCAGGTATCATGCCTCCTCCCCTTCCAGCACCTGGTCCTCCACGGGTCGATGGCAGCTGAAAGTCCGGGTTACTATTAAGAACATTCACTTCGTTTCGGCCGACCGGCTTGCGTGGTAGCATTCCCGGGTTGTACCCTTGGCCAGGAGGTGGGTTCCACCGAGGATTTATACCCCGTTGTGAGACTGATGTGAAGCCTGACTGTTCGGATATAGCTGGACTTCTTGGTGGTGGTATGTCGTCGTAAGACACCGGCTCTTCGTGGATAGGTTGTTGCATTGGTCTGGATGCTGGTTCAGTGAAGCGAGGATCTACGTCTTCGTAGTAGTTGCCTGTCTCACCGCTCGCCGGCTGTTGTTGCGTCGGCATAGGTGGCGGTGGTGTCCTGTTACCCGTTTCTTGCGGATTAGTAGGAATTTGAAGAGGCGATGGTACGGCTGAAGGCCGCATGTTCCCTTGGTTCCACGCTTGCCGAGCCGGAACAAATTGGCTACTAGATGAATTGTTAGTGGAAAGATTTAATTCCGCATGAAAATTTCACTTACTCCTGGCTATATCTGCTTCCTTCGCTCATGAAGGTATCATGTCTATGTGCTGGAGACGTCCTTGCCTGTTGCAAAGCTAACATGCCAGCTACATCTGCATCGCTGTCCCGTATTTGATTGTTGAATTGGCCGAAACCCCGAGGAGGATGTGCTGGGCTTCCTGTAGCAGCATCCATTTCCACCGCCTGGCCTACTGGGGTTTCATGGGCATCGTCTATACCCGGCATCGGGGGTGGGGATTCCGCTCTGGGTAATTCACTGACACGATCAGGTTTGTATGCTTGGAAACCACCCGCTTCTGCCGCGCCGGTTGGGACGTTTGGCATAGGCGGAGCGTCCATCGCATACGGACCTCCTGGCGGTGCTGGAGATATTTGTCGGGCCGGACCGTAGTCTCCATAAGTATTGGCCGGAGATGGTCGTCGATCATAAGGCGCGCCTCCTTGGTAAGCTGGCGGTGGTGTTCTTCCACCCCTCATCATCCCAGGAGGGCCATAACCTCCACGTGGTCCGTAGCCTCCTCGTCCATTTGGTGGTGGCCCGTATCCACCGCGGCCGGGTGGGCCATATCCGCCTCTTCCCGGCGGCGGCCCATATGCACCACCGCGTCCGCCCCTTCCGCCTCTTCCACCAGGGGGACCGTAGGGTCCATAACCACCTCTTCCGGGGCCTCCTCGTCCCCTAGATCCAGCCGGAGGTCCACCACGACCTCTCGAGTTCATACTTTCGAAAGACGGCCCTCGTCGCATATTATAATTATCTTGAGGTTGATCTATCGGATTACCGTATTGATCCCTTGCCATTGAGGTATTCGAGCCTTGTCGCTGGGGCGCATTGTAAGTAGTGCCGGACATGCTGGTATCAGCAGGAGCGCCATTCGGAGACCTGTCAGACGGAGACCTAGCAGTTAAAGGCATACGCTCGTCGCTGCTACGATCGTCCCTTTTCTCATATGAAGAAAATTGGGCCATCTTGTCTGCTGGGCCATTTGCTCCACTAACAACGGGAACAGTCGGCTGTCGTGCAATAGCTGTGGTTGAAGACGGGACATCTTGCTGGGCTTGGCGATTGTAGTAATTCTCCCCACTCATCTCGGCATTCTCTGCAATTCGCCTCTTCCTTGCTTTTCTGCTAACCAGAGTGCGGCGCATAGCACACGAAACAATGAAACTCAGGAATACAAGAATAGTAGCAGCTAAGACAATGTAGGAGCCCCATGCCATGTGAGGAACAAAGAGTAAGACGTCGATTAGAAAGGCGAGAAGGCATACTAAAAATGTAATAATGCCGAAGATGAAAAGAAGCAACAGATAACGAGAAGAATGAGAAGGCGAATGAAGGTGAGCGACGATGGCAAGAATCAACATGACTAGCGTGAGAAGACATGCAACTGGGTGGACTACGAGAATAGCGGATAGAGTTGTCCGAGTCCCAGCAGGCAAGTCGAAAGTAGCCGAGTCTGCTTGAGAAAAGAGTTTCGCTATAAACTGTTAGTTACGATCCAAAATAGTCTCCCACGACGAGGACAAAGACAGAACTAGACGTACATGTGTCGTATCCGATTTCTATGGGACTGCACTTGTTGCTGCTGTCACAATAACCGAAGACTCCAAAGCTCACGCCTTTGTAGGTACCTAAAGGAATCGCTTTAATAATAGGAGTCGACAGGACGGCGAGCAACAACATGGCGAATGCTGCAAAGAGCAGCACCGTCAGAGGTGTAGCCGGTCGCAACATGGTGGCGGCTCAGGAGCGTGCGCCGACTCGGATGAGTCGCGACGCCGTAGAACTTGTCGTCGCCTTCGTTGGATAGGAATTCAGAACCGGTCGACCTAAAGTTTAAAGGCAATAATATGTTTGCGCATGCGAGGGTTGCCAATTGAAATAAACGGATCTCGACAACGACGACATGTAGAGGGATCGGATGTCTTCACGTTGAAGCGCCTTCGTGATTCGATGTTGTTGCCGTCATGAACACCTGATAGCCAAATACGCGAACTCGTTCCACAATTTCTTAATTTCCTCCTTCTTAGACCTTTTAGACCCTGTTCTTCTAGTTCTTCTATTGTTGAAACCCAAAAATATCGTCAACCTAACACGCTTTCCAGAAACGAGTGACTAAAGGTAATCAAGGACGATATCGATCGGAGTGGCGGGATCGGATTGCCTAGGTAAACTGGCTCGGTGGCAGTGCCAGTGGTGACGGAGAGTTGAAGATCGGGAAATCGACTTGAGTAGTCGAGTTGATTTGGGGTTGATTGGAAGGAAGAGCGTCTGTAAGACGGTTTGGGTGGGTGGGACGAGAGACAATTCAGTAAGGATAACCACACGACACTTTTACGTTAAAAAAACGACACCTTCCTAATTGAGATTAGTCTGTGGCTGCAACGCCACACCAGCTAATTTAGTAATACTTTTGTCGCACACCCTTAAATTACCTAGTATACACTTACTTACTTAGTAATCACTTCATTACCTAATATCCTCAATTGACTTTGAGCCTCAATTTTAAAGTTGTACCTATTATGCCACCTGCTACTAGTTTTGTATGGCCACTGCCATTGCAGGTACTGTTTGGCCCCTGCAAGACCTAGCTGGGATATGGATTACGTAAGGTAGTCACGTGGGTGGTTTGGCCCCAAAAAAACAACAACAATCATCGTGAACCTTATTATCCTTGCTACTAATATAGCACCAGCACCACCCACATTATACTAATAGTAATATCCTGCGAATTGATATAATTGACGTTTTAATCCTTTATATATCCAGCAATTTAAGTGCGTGGTATTGGACACTTAGTTGTAAATTATTCAACTGACAAGAATCGATTAAGTTTGATTACGTAATTGAGTGTATTAGGTAATTGAGTGTATTATGTAAGTAGGTACCTAGGTACCCACGTACTAATCTTGTCACAGGTGTACAATTGGTAAAATTACGTTTAGATAAGGTGTGCGATAAAAGCATGTGTTAAATTAGGTATGGCGCTGCAGCCACAGACTAGCCCCAATTAGGAAGGTGTCGTTTTTTTAACGTAAAAGTGTCGTGTGGTTATCCTTACTGGAGACAATTGGTACGAAGGGTACAAATTACTTACATGCAAGTGGGTCGAGTTTGGAAAGACTGGAAGGACAAAGGGGGGAATTTGCTAGGGACCGCACGCAATTGATTTGGCCGTCTTGCTGGTCTGGATCTGGCAACCCTTGTATTCCTCTTGTATACCCCTGCAGATGTGATTAAAAGAGTGGCTTAGCGCACTGTTAGCCCTGCTAGCCCACTTGCCCACGCACTCCCCTACGCTCAAGCGTCAGATGCGTTAGAAGGCGTCTTGACGGTGGATACCGTACCTGCCTAGAAGATTAGCAGAGCTTATTAGGGAACTGGGCTGTTAGGGCTAGCGGCCGGGGCTAATCGGAATAGGCTAGGGTAGGGCCGGGTGAGAGCCCAGAAGTGACAAGTCTCAACTAAAGATCTAGCAGAAAGAGCACTAGAGTTACAGTACTTGATACTTAATACCTGGCGCTTGAATCTCGAATCTTGAATCTTTCCACTTGGTTTAGTTTATTCATCCTCCGCATTTACATACATACATATTAATAGATAATCCAAATCGGTTCTAGAATTCGTCATCATGAATACACGTACAACGCCGATAAGGACCTTCATGGACCACCGAGTTCGACAGTAGCGTATGCGACAAGCCCACCATTACGCCGTAGCTCGGTGATAAATCTTGAGCGACTCAACTGCAAACATAGCCCCGTCAGATATTAACAAAAGCAACATGACATCCATACCTCCATGCAAACAGGGCATAGCATTACAGCCTAACGGGACAGCAAGCTCCAAGCTAGTCATGTGGCGTTTTTACCCAACCTACCAGTCTACCAGTCTACAAGTTTGAGAGAAGTGTTCAGGTCAAATGACGTTGAAATCAAGCAGTCGATTATCATGACGATAATTTTATGCGATGCTGTGCTTCGACAAGCCGGAAAACGGTGCCGCCTTGGTACCTACCGCAATGAGTGAACCAGTGACAGACAACCTAGCCCTGGAGGTACACAGGTCGAAGCCTGAGTCCCGTCTGAAGCGAACGTCGGAATAAGGCTAGGTACCCTACCTGGGCGGCTCCCGTCACCGCACGTCGTATCGATGCGATGAGCTGGCGGCCAGTAGCTTATCCGTAACTTAGAAAGCCGAAGTGCTGCAGCCCTCCAGATAGGCTAAACATGACTGCCACGGGCAGCACGGGATTTGCCGTTGACGTGCTTTGGTGAACCCATTGCATGTGTCTGATGCTTCGACTGTCGGAGAATACTCAACCGGACATATATGCTAACCTACATGCCTACAAGATATTATGTTGCATTCTATCAAATTCAGGGTTTACAAGGCAAGTGGCATGGTATGAGCCGAATAGTTGATTTAGACGGTTATTGACTACCTACGTTATCCACTCAGCACAAACATGTCCGATACACACCATAAAATGGAAGATGCAAGGCCTCGGAGAACAAAGCTTAAGATGACTATTAACAAACTACAAGGACTAATAATAGCCTTATCGTCGGCCCTTAAATCACTGCGTAGGCCAACAGTCGAGATACACAAAGGTAGCTCAAAGAAGAAGGTCGGTGGAAAAAGAATGAATTGATCGACAAGAAGACTGAGATTATGTCTTTCGTGATGCAGTCCACCAATGGTAGTAATTGGATAGGTCAAGCCACGGATATGATTCAAAGAGCCGAGACTTAATCATATACCTCATACAAACAAGCAAACATCTTCTATTCTTGTAGCGTCGGTAATTCGAGGGAGATTGACATTTCTAACCTTGGAAGGGAATGATTTGCTCGGGCTGATCTTAGTCATCTGAAGTCTGGCGAACTGATCCCATCTGCGAAACAAGTTGATACTGAGCCACCCAAAGACAGCAGCCAACGGATTCATAGGTCGATCACGAACCACAATTAATGATATGTGATAGAGATATGCGTACAGCATACCTATACCGGTATAGTTAGGTATTAAATCCAAAGTATCACTCGATCGAGACTTTGGCGTCGAGTTCATTCTCATGAAAGTCTTTTAATCATCAAGAACCTAGACTTTAGGTGCTACCTAGTAGGGTGCCAACGTAATTGATAGAAAATAACCTTTCATGTAAGATGAACCAAACAGAAACGAGGATCGAGAACGGTATAAATCAAGATACGATCAACGACGAGAGAAATCCTAGCTGCCCAGTAGCTAGAAGTTTGACCATTGAACAAAAAGTGGTCGTGGATCCCGGTAAATGATCTTAGACAGCGTGGAGAAGCGCTCTACTTCATCGATGGTACGGTAGTTCCCAATCGGCGTTTCTGATTTGCGCTTGAATTCGAGGAACAACCCGGTGAGGCGCGTTTCGTAATGCGTAAGCTTTCTCAAACCTCCAGGGATCCCAGACCAAACTTGTGATCTACGCTGCTACAGCATATCGTTGGCTTCTAATGCAGAGCCTCAGATTACAGGGGACGACCCTCAAGCGGCTGAAGAGTTTAGGTGTTATGAATTGTTATTTTGGGTTTTTCTTATTAAGAACAAGTTTGCGCGACTTTTCCTAACCAAGCGAATAGTTCTGCCCATTTTCCGGACATATAATAACTTGCGGCCTTTCATTTTCAGTTTCCCCGAAACAGTGGAGAACAAGGACTTGAGCCTTCAGCTCCAGGCAGGTATGTAAGCCAGCAGTGGTCGTATTGGCTCCGAATTGAAATGTGCTCATGTGGTATTGAGTCAAGAATAACACTGAAATATTTGCTTCTAAAGTTAAGAGGCATCACTTCATCACTAGTGCTTTACCTAATAATAGAACTTGATAACTCAATTTTGAACTCAATTGAAGATGACTTGATGAAGAGTTCCCCAATTGAGAATCGGCCCCGACGGCCAAACGGGTCTAAGTCCTCCGATTCTTGGCATGTTCAACGGCGGACTCGGCGTCAGCGGAGATAACAAAAAAACGAATAAAGATAAGAAAAAAAGCATATTTCGTCATCGATCTCAGTCTGTGACTTCCCTGCGTGATTCTTCCCACTCGTAACAGCAAACCCTATCTAGGTTCGTCATACTACAAGCTCGTAGAACGTCTTGAGGGGAAAAGATCACCTTAATGTACCACGAGAGGCCGGAAGCTTGCCTTCCGCCTCTGAAGCCTGTCACGTGCGGCAGCTATAGGCAATAGTAGCATCCCCTACCTAGCCATGTTCCGCAACGGAGCAGCGAGGCTCTACGCCCGCCAAGTCCTGCCCCGGCACGGCGTCGACGCCCGCATTGTAGCCCAACCCCACGCGACCCGATCCCTCGCCGCCCGGCCACTGCTTGGCCAAGTCCGGTCCGCGTCCTTCGAGCCGCTGCGCCCGCCCTCGCCCGCCTCCCTCGGCAAGCCGAAGCCGGCGCGCGAGTACACGCGGACGCGGCGCTGGGGCCGGCGCCTGGTCTACATCTCCGTAGGCGCGGGCGCCTTGTACGCGGTCGACGACCACTTCTTCGCCAAGGGCGTCGCGCGCTCGCTGCGCACCTTCGGCACGGGCCTGCTCGTCGCGCTCGACTACAAGGTCAACTTCCGGGCGGAGCCGCCTTTCGGGGGGTCGATAGAGGACCTGCACCGGCGCAGCGCGGAGAGGCTTTTCGACGTGCTGAGGGCGAATGGCGGGTTGTATTTGAAGATCGGGCAGGCTATTGCGATGCAGAGCGCGGTGCTGCCGCCGGAGTTTCAGAAGATGTTCGCGCGCATGTTTGATGATGCGCCGCAGGACGAGTGGAGGGATGTGGAGAAGGTTATTCGTAAGGATTTTGGCGGGAGGAGTGTTGAGGAGGTGTTCGGGGTTAGCTTTACGGGTGAGGAGGGGAAGGGCTTGATGGAGCGGAGGGCGAGGGCTAGCGCGAGCGTGGCTCAGGTCCATTGGGCGAGGTTGCCGGATGGGAGGGAGGTTGCGGTTAAGTTGCAGAAACCGGAGATCGCGAAGCAAGTCGGTTGGGATCTGTGGGCGTTTAAGTAAGTCCGGTGAAGTTGTTGGGCGGGCTTAGCGTGTTGGTCAAAGTATGCTAATTGGCGAGATAGGGTTGTGATGCGCATTTACACATGGTGGTTCGATATCCCATTATACAGTTTGGTGCCCTTTATCACGGAACGTTTGCTGCTGGAAACGGATTTCGAAGCCGAAGCTAGGAATTCGGAGATGATGCGGCAGCTCGTCAACTCGGAGCCTAGCCTTAAAGGCAGGGTGTACATTCCCCAAGTCTACCCGGAGTTCACGACGAAACGAGTCCTAGTTACGGAGTGGATCGAAGGTGTTAGGCTCTGGGACAAGAAGGCAACGGGTGGTCGTTGGTTGGGAGGTTCTGGGTCTCCCGGCGTTCACGGTGCTCAGTTACAATTCAGCCAAGCCGATTGGCAGGCTGCTCGGCGGGAATTGCGAGAGAACCCCATGAAGGAAAGGTTAAAGCCCGACCGGGACACGTGGAAAGGACGAAATGGCAAAGGCGGGTTAGGATTGTCTAGCAAGGAGGTTATGACGACGATGGTGGATCTATTTTCTGCTCGGTATGTATCAGAACATGTTAACCTTGGATCCTCTCCCCTCTTTTCCAGACGGTGATTCATATACTAACAAGTTGGCAGTGAGTAACCCATATTTTCTATTTCTAGACGTACTGTTCTACCGGATGAAATGGCCCATGAAATACGTTATCTGCACATATCAATATTCATATGCCTACAATAACATACCCAGGCAACTAACATACTATAGAGATATTCAAATGGGGTGTTGTACATTGCGATCCCCATCCAGGTAACATTTTCATCAGACGTTTGCCATCCGGAAAGGCAGAATTGGTCCTCATCGATCACGGGCTCTACGTTTACATGTCACCTAAGTTCAAGCATCAATATGCTTTGTTTTGGAAGTCGCTCATGACTTTCGACAACGAAACTATTGCTCAGATCACGAAGGAATGGGGTATCAATGCGCCTGATCTATTCGCAAGCGCAACACTCATGCGCCCTTATGACGGAGGCGATCATAGCACGAGAGGCCATATCATGAAAGAACTTGAGGGTAAGACGCCTGCTGAACGGCATTACGAAGCCCAGCGACGAATGAAGCAAGGTATTCGCGAGATACTGTCAGACGAAGAGAAATGGCCCCAGGAGCTAATCTTCATCGGCCGCAATATGCGCATTGTGCAGGTAAATGGCAATTCTTTTTATGTTTGGGATCAATCTCATCGAACCAACTCAACTTACATGTCATTCTAGGGCAACAACCAATATATGGGATCCCCTGTCAACCGAGTTAAGATGATGGGCAATTGGGCAAGTCGGAGTCTATTCCAGGACATGAACCTTCCGTGGAGAGAACGCATGGTGAACATGTGGCAACATTTCTTATTCAAGACGGTCTTGTTTGCTACCGATGTGGCGTTCTATACCTTTAAGCTTAGACAATGGCTTGGATGGGGAGGGGGTATGGAAGATGAGGTCGAGGCTCGGATGAAAGATATGGCGAAAGACTTCGGCGTCGAACTACAACATGAGGTTTTCGACGGTTGAGACTAGATCTAGAGGACATGAAATCTCTGCTAACTAAAATACCATGTAGAATCATAAAAAGCATAGACGGATTGGGGGTATATGGCTGCATATAGACACGGCCGACTTGTACTATAAGTGTAAGGTACTAGGAACCGCCCCTAAAATATTATGCCCACTTTGCATGAACAGTTCGTTATGAATGAACAATTCGTTATGTGATAACAGGGTGAAGCCTCTTTTAATATTCTTATATTGATTTTGGCGAATATCCGTGACGTGGAATAATTATAGGATCTGTAGCGATTGTAGAACCTTAGAAACGGCGTGGTTTGGTTGGTTCACAAAGCGGTTCCCCAACCTATCCTAGCCATGTCTTGATCCGATCGAGGCATATACCTGTATCGAGATCGTGGACAATTCATACATGATAGGATATTGGAAGAGGATCATTAGATGTTGCTAGCCGAGACAAACTACGTGTACCCAAATTCTGCAAGGAATTTGCTAGTAGAACCCGCACGTGGAGGAGAGCCCACTTGATCCCACGCGGATACTGGGCTGGTTGAGCGGGATACTAGCAATATATTAATGCAGGTAACCGTGTGGCCGTTCGTGTGATAACTCCTACCGTAAGCTGCGTAAGGAAACAAGTTTGGTAAAGTCGTTGGGATGGTTGGTGCTACGAACCTCAAGCAATCGTTAATATGGATGTATGGAAATTGTTTCCTAAGGTAACGGTCGAGATTTTACAATCCAGAAACAAGAAAGATTACAGCGTATAATCAGGAGATACTTACCAGATGTGTAAAGACCCCGAAGTATTGGATATTACAGTGGCTATTACATGCATCAGACCTTAGCAATCTAAGCTCTTTTTTTATGACGCCTTACTCGTTCAGGTAGCTAAGTACCTCCAGACTCCACCATTCAGCCAGGCCGTCGGGATATTTCTGTGCCACTTGGCCCGGAACCAACTCTGACTAGCTTCAGCGCTAGGCCTGCTTGGTTGCCGCACCTAGCCCAATCACGAATCAAATTTCACATGAAACCACCAACCCAAAGCGTGGCATCAGCGTGGATACGCGTGTATATGTGTGTACATGGGTACGCAGGTACCTGAAGGCTAATGGGCACTGAGTTAGCTTCAAATGTTGTTAGCCTGCACTTCTGCACTTCCCCCTTTTCGAACCAGATTGGCAGAGGGAAACATTTTAGGTTAGGAGCTCATCTCGTGTAAACGTCGCGATGTTTGAAGCTTGACAATCTCATCTTCTAATCTTCACATCGATTTTTCTTCGATGATGTGTGCTGTGTACACCCTTGCCAGCGGATCCTGTTGAAGAAGCTGTGACAGTTCATCGCTTTAAACATAACATTGTCTTTCTCTGTTTATGCGTTAACTGTAGGATATTCCTTCAATAATCCTCAATTCTGCACGAAATCGCACTGTCGTCTGATCTTCAACGGCATCCGTGGGACGGCACAGAGACCCTTTTTTTAATCTGCATCGACCGACCCAATTTTGCGAACCACCCGCTGAACGCCCTTCCCCAAAGGCATCACGTACGCACTACGCACATCTTTTAACCAAGATCTGTTCGGCGCGACAATCGCGAACTGGCCACTTTTTTGCGAGTCGACATTCATTCACTATTCATATTTACGTTCTCTTTCGAAAGGTTAGTTGGTTCATTTCATTCGTTAGCAACGTTTCTACTTCGTCGCATGTACACAAGCTGTTTCGATATGTCTTTTACGAGATAGTTCCAGCTGGTTTGTGTGGGTTGTATGTAATCGCACTGCTTCACGCTGTTGCGCTCTCCTGCAGGACAGTAGATCACAGGGAAAACTCTCGATTGGTCCATTCTACCATTCCATCTCAGACTTCCACTTTGGTTTACGTAGTACATCGGAGAGGGTTCCAATTGAGGTGCAATACGGTCCAATCCAATTTGCGCCCACTGCTACCGACGCGCCATTCAAGATCAAGTAGGAAGCGAGGAAAAAAGAGAGCTTGAAGCTAGTTGGTTACAATTGCTGCAACTTCCTTGGTTCACCTTCTACCCCTACCTAGGTAGCATCTTTTATCCTAAAGGGTGCTTTCTTATCCCCTTAATGCGCCAGACGTCTCTAAGGGGAAAAAAAGAGGGACGAGAAACATTTAAGAATTTTTGTTATTTCCATCAGTTCTATGCCAATCGTGTCATTCTCATCCACATTGGCAAGAACTTCGCTTCAATTCATCTCAAGACGACCGACCTTCCGATTCCGATTTTAACAGCTGGCTGACTTTAATACCTGCGACTTCTAGGTAGTTTCGAATTACTTTGCGTTGATCGTCTGTCATTTGGTTTTGTCCATTTGCCCTCGTTCTTTAGCCGGCAGTAGAATCTGCCCAAGTTGAGATACCCATCAGTCAACTGGTTTATCGAAGTATAAACCCATAAAAACATCCATTCAATTTCAGACTGGGAATAAGAGACGAGACGCCCGATTCTCAAGATTCGCACGCGCATATCGCTAAACCTTCCATCGAACTCGGATCTACCTACCGCATACCTTTAGGTGCAAACTACTAGGAGAGATCGAATACGAGATAGGAGAATACTCTTTCCCCAAATCAGACGCAAGCAGCAACCTTTTTTTCAGTAGCTCGCCCTCCTTCACCGTACCTACCAAAGTACCAAGAGAATTGCGAATACACCTTCGCAACCCCCTCACCGGGAAAGTTGTTTGGCAAATTGGGCAGATTAAGGAAACATCGGTCTTGTAGTCTAAACCTTCTTTTCATGCTATAAACCGTCCAGTTGCGGTACCTTGTCACCTATTTTCGTCTACGAAGATACCTACCCCCTGACAGGATTCCAAGGTAGTCGTCATCATTACGTCGTTACCTGTCGTTATCCGTCGTTTATACGAACGTTTGAACTTTCGATAGCACCCGGCATCTAACCTTGAAGCCTGGATAGCTATTTGAGTTCCTAGCATAGGCTAGCTAGTTTGGGAAGAATTAAACTATGAGCGAACCGCCTCGTCGATCTAGTTTCGGGATGTTGCTTCGACGCAGTAAATCGGGTGACCTCGGCAAGGGGAAGAAGCACCAGAAGGACCAACACAGGGAAACCGTGCCCAAATCTCCTCCACGTCTTCCGGCTCTCTACAATGGTGCTCAACCTCCTCCGCCTCTACAAAGTTTTGGAGGCGATGCCCGCCCAGATTCCTTAGCAATCGTTTCTGGAACCGCAGACCACTCGTTTCACCGTTATCCTCCCAGAGCATCTATTGACCCTGGCCGTCCTTCGATGTCTTCAACTTTTGCCAGTCCTCCAGTGCCGCCTGTTCCCAACGGAGGTTGGGTCGACCCCTACGCCCGCACCGAAAGTATGACGCACCGTGGCCGGTATAGCTATGCGAGTAGTGCCGTTAGCACCATCAACAGCCCTAGAAGAGTTCGTCGAAGGAAGGATCCTACCCCTTTCAAGTATGTTTTTTTTGTCCTCCTTTTCCTCTATGCTGAACCTGAAACTTACAATTGATTTACAGCGTCTTGATTGTGGGTACTCGTGGTTCCGGAAAGACCTCATTCCTCGAATTTCTCAAGACTTCTCTGGCTTTGCCAGCTAAGAAACGATCTCAGCGATCGACCGAGATCGAACAGGAAGTCACCGCCAATGCCACTCCTTCGGGCAACTTCATACCGCATTACCTCGAGAGCGAGATTGATGGAGAACGTATTGGATTGACCTTATGGGACTCAGAGGGTCTCGAGAAGAATGTGGTGGATCTACAATTGAGAGAGATGTCAACCTTCCTAGAGAGCAAATTTGAGGAGACGTTCGCGGAGGAGATGAAGGTGGTTCGATCACCCGGCGTTCAGGACACGCACATCCACGCAGTATTCCTCATCCTAGATCCGGCTCGCCTAGACCGAAACATCGCTGCTGAGAAAGCTGCCTCTGTTAATGGTCATGGTGGAAAGTATGAACAGAACGTAGGTCGCATCGTAGGCGTCCTAGACGAAGACCTTGATCTGCAAGTCATGCGAACTCTTCAAGGCAAGACAACGGTGATCCCGGTGATATCAAAAGCCGACACCATCACCACCGCCCACATGTCCGTCCTCAAGAAGACAGTATGGGCTAGTCTTAAGAAGGCAAATTTCGATCCTCTCGAACCCCTAGGGCTTGATGACGATGATGAGGCCACGCCAGACTCTAGCAGAATCGACGAGGCTGAGGATGAGGATGGGGAGGGCGAAGAGGCGGCCGAACCAGCGGAGTCTAAAGAAGACAAGGAAGATTCTGCTATAGTAGAGGATGACGACGTTGATGCGGATGAAGACGATCTCCCAATCCAAGGCAGGGTCTCGCCAGCCTCTAAACGCCGATCGAATAACTCCACCCGCAGGTCCAAGTCATCTGAAGAAGAGGCAAATGACGAGTCTCCTTTCCTCCCAATGTCTATCATCAGCCCCGACATCTACGAGCCCGGTGTTGTTGGTCGCAAGTTCCCTTGGGGTTTCGCGGATCCGTACAACGAGGAGCACTGCGACTTCACTCGCTTGAAGGACGCTGTGTTCAGCGCGTGGCGCGGCGAGTTACGTGAGGCCAGCAGAGAACAATGGTATGAGGGATGGAGAACTAGCCGTCTTAAGCACCGACAACCTGCGACCCGACGTCGATGAGGCTGAAAGCTGAATGGCCGGCCGCTAGTAGATGAGACATTTCTCTCCACGCTTAGCACGTTTTCTTCAACGCTTTATGTTTCACTGTTGTCATAGCATACCCACTCAGATTTTTCATTTTTCATATACCACGACGACGTTGTTCTGATCAGCCAGAGAGAAGCAGGGAAAGGATTCCGTGGGCGTTGGTTCTAGGCTCGGGTTACTACAAAAAATTTCTTCCATCTCGATCAGCAACAACATCGTCACTACTAGCAACTGAGGTGCCTTCGTCTGGGGGAAACCACAACTCATGGTGCCATGTCCACCATTCAATTCTTTTGTATGACAAACACTATTTCCCACACATTCTACCTAGACTCAGTTACTCTCTCATCAGGCGATTGCTGGCACGCAATGGGGAAACTTACGGATCACAACTTCCACATTTTTTTCTTGGCAATTCAATATATTCTTGGTCCGCTTCTTACAACCCTACTTCATGCGCGAATGCTAGGATGTTTACCTTTTTTTCTTGTGCGCTTTTTTATTAATTTTGCTGCTTCTTTTAGTCGATGCTTTGAGGATATCCCACGTGCAGAGTGAGTTCTTGGCAGGGGGTTGGGCGAAGAGGTGACATGAGGAGGTCAGGGGATGGATGGGGAAAGGGGGGAGGAGAGGATCAGAAGTCTATGTTTACAATATGCAGAAGCAGAGGCTTTGAAAAGGGGAGATGGAAGGTGGTGAACTCACTCAACTGCTGTTGGCATTGCTATTGCTATGGCGTGGTAGTCTGATAACTTATACGGAAAACCTTGTGAGCAGTGTTGGACGGGGTTGGCAGTGGATAGCAGAGACGACTTTTTTGTCTTCGAGAAATTTTATTCCCATTTTCTATGGTGACTTGGGTTTTATGTATAAGGTGATGTGACTTTGCTTGGCTTGGGGGTCGTGAAACGAGGGCGATATGTATGAGTTGTGTATGTGCTTGGATGTAAGGGGGGGGGTGCCGTCGGTATTATATAGGGCAGCCCCTTGTTCTTACCTAGATATGCGTATACCATATAAGCGATGATAACCAAGTATATCATCCTAATCTTAACTCTACGGTAAGTATACTGGATGGGAATGCTTGGTCTATGTAGTAGCTACGAACTTGACGCAGGGTTAGACGAGATCCAAAGGAGGGAAAGGGGAAAAGGGGTGGTTCTGGGCTAGGGTTCATGTGCATAGGTATATATATCTGGATCTCGGCACTCCTAGGAAGAAGCTGCTCTGCCATGACGCTTCCAGTTACGGGGCTGGGGGATTCCAAAGGACACCATGAATTCCTCCTGAACTAACTTTTGTCGTACGGCTGTTTTTTCATCCTGGTCCCGTTACATAGTTACCTATGTTGAGGGGATGGAAGGCAGAGGGGTTGAATTAGACTATGGGATAATAGGTGATAAGGAGAAGGGGAAAGCAGTCTAAGCTAGGTGAGGTAAATGTAATGAAGTTTGGTAAAATCTACTCGTCCTTCTAAGAGCAGCAACTGCTTCACTTAGATAATCTAATATCGATGGGTTAGTACTGTTTCTATTCCACATTTCACTTGGAGCTAGGGGCTTTGCCACCATTACATTACGCACCAGGCAATCTTTTACAATCGCACATATCACACATTGATCACAATAGGGTAGAAAATATCTCAATCAAGTCAAGTTGTGGGGAAGGGAATGCAATCGTGAATTAGCGGCAGTCCGCCCGAGGATACCAAGGGGGAGTCGTATCTGCGTGAATACAAAGCCAGGTCCATAAAGCCATATCGTGCCAACGGTGGAAGCATAGTATCATCCTGACTGACCAACGTACGCCCATTACACCCCGTAATCAGTCAGACGGATATATGCACCGCCAGCGCGATTTCCAATGCCAATGATTTCGTTATCTGCAATTTGATTGCCGCCGGAGATTTCGACGACAAACAATAAGAAAGGGTATCAAGATCCACAGGCGGATCGCGGTTATCGGTTACGTGGGTTTTCTTATTTCTCTCATTCAATATCCCTTTCCACCCTCAATTCCATGTCCAGTCGTTATCATCCTGTTGTCTGGAATACTCCTTGCTCCGCTCCATAGCCAACGCGCACATCAGAATGCTATTGCAAACTTCGATTAACTTCAGGGGAGGAGTATTGGAAGAAATCAGGCAGAACCATCCTGCTCAGTCGAGTCCTCGGGCTTCTTTTTCTTCGGAGGAACGACATACTTGGGAAGACGTGGGTGAGGCGTGATGGCCGGATTGTTAGCGAGCGATTGGTACATTACGCTCAAGAGCGGCTTGGCGTGCTCATGTGTAGGCATTCCGTTAACCTCTCCCATCGAGAGTTTTCGGTTTGCAACCCTACCCGCGGGCTTCTCGGGCTCTTGGAACATGGAGCCGACGGCGCGAGCGACATCGCGACTGTTCTTCTCATGGACTGCCACTTCAAAGTCCTTGTTAATCATTGCATTGCCAGAATAGAAGTCTCGATGAAGCCAGGCTTGGCGAGCTGCTTGCCACTCGCGCGATTCCTGCATTCTGACCTGGTTCTTCGCCCTTTCTTGCTCTTCCAGCTCCTGGATACGGAGCTCTGCCCAGTTGTCTGGGATCGGTTGGTAATTGTTATTGAAATCCGCAGGAAATCCGTTCGGGAAGAACTTCTTCGCCTCTTCATAAGTAAGTGTGTCAACCATTCTGCCACTACCGCTATTCTCTTTACCCTTGTTCATCGCAGGATATTGATGAGCAGAGGGAGCTCTGCTTAAAAGCGATGGGGTAGGCTGCTGACTCATAGGCTGAGCAGCTTGCTGTGATTGAAAGGACGAAAACGGGTACTGTGGAAGGCGTGGAACCGTATCCTCGAACGATTCAGCTCCGCGTGGCTGATCGAAGCCCTTTTGCCAGTGACCCATCGAGGGATTGAGGGCAGAGGGTCCTTTCTGGAAGGCGTTCGTAGGGTTGGAGGCGGACGACAGGAATTGACGTTGACCAGGAGGACCCGCGGTCAGGGGAAGAGGTGCGCCAGGTCCCTTGGACAAGACAGCTGGATAACTGTCGCGCTCTCGGTTAGGGTAATCACTAATGTTCGAGTTAAAAGGTCTTAGAGGTCGGATGGGAAGACCGGATTCATCGACTCTATCGGATTGGAGCAGGCCCTCTACGCCAAGCGGGTCAGAACGATTGTACTTGAGACCGGCGCCGTATCCAGGAGGAGGAAGTGAACCTCGATTCTCCTGAGTGATATCTGACTTCTGATGCTGAATGGATGAGGGAGTCTGTCTAGCTCGAGTGAGAAGCTTCTGAGCAGCCTTCTGCATGGGGTTGGCATAAGAAGCCAGGTTGGTCACGCTCTTGGTAGGCATCCGGTTGAGGTAGTTGAGGTTCATATCTTCATCATCATCGACGTCGGAATCATTGTCGCCATCGTGGTGTTTACTTCCTTCATTTTGTTTACCAGAAAGGACAAGTTCATTGGAGGGCTGGTATAGGTTGGAAGGTTGCTGAGACATTGTTGTCGAATAAGGAGAATGCTTCTCCTCTAATTCAGCAATGCGGGCGAAAAGTTGACGGTCGGGAGGAATAGGACTGACGGCGCGGTCAGAATTCTGTTGTAGGGGTGAATAATATTGTGTAGGGTGGTGGGTGGCGGCAGAATAGTTGTGGTCAAGTGGTTCAGGCGCGACAGAGCGAAGAGTGCGGCCGCGACGCGTTGGTGGCTGCATGGGAGTTGTCTGAGGGTGCCAGACAGAACCGACAGTTGTATACTTCTGAGTGGAACTGCATTGCGATGACTGCTGGGACAGACTCATCTCCATTGTGACTGACGTGACTCACACTACCTATCTGGCAGAGAGAAAGGCGTATGGGGAAATATCGGGTGTATTCACAGGGGATGGAAAGAAATGTATGATGATGAATATCTCGCGCTTTTGCTGGAAATGATGATGGTGAAGAAGTTGAGTAGAAAGGAAAGACAGTACCTTACCTTTTTTTTCATCTATTAACTTTAGAGTTGCCGGCAAGAGCTCTCAAATACATCGGTATTATGGGACTAGTTGCTCCTTGTTCGTCTTAACAACTGCAGCTGCCCAGTCTATGAAGATATTGCACCTATCTATTGGTTAGGATCGTTTCACTAAAAGTCTAATTAATTCAAGAGGAAGGTGGGTTTGGGTGTAAATCAATACAGTCGTCTGGCAGCAGCTTGAGGAAGGCAACTGTCGTGGAGTATATAACGGGAAGGTATAGCTAAAGGGATGATGTCGTGAACTCACTTGCTAACTTGGCCTTGCGCCTTCCACAAGTTTAAAGAAGATAGACTAAAGCTTGTTATTTTGAGCACTTTGAACATCTTCAATAGATTCCCCACTTCATCTACTTTATTCAACTCTAATATCATGAGACAAACATGATAACGACTTCGGATCGAACACCTAGTAGATTAGTTGGCCAATCCGCACTGGTTTTTGGAAGATGGCCACCCATTTGTCCCAATCTGTTCCTAACACTTCTTCGGATGAGGTCACATGGTAAATGATGGGGAGATGGCCAATCTGATAAATCATCCATTTCCCAAATTATTGGTTTTTCTTCCGATCCATCAATGTCTAGGTATACATCACATGCGATGTCCCTAGCTGTTGTTTGCGTTCGGAGACAAGTCGCATTTAGAACCGGATCTTTCCCCAGCTCAAGAACTACCTGGTAGTCTTATAACGACCAAGGGTGCAAAAGTTTGTCGATGAGGTGAACTAAGTTCTTCTATCTGCCAAAAGTTTGCCTTCGCCAAGTCGCTGTTACAATGTCTCTAGACACCGCTATTGATGATTCAAATATATTGACTGAGACGAGAGGGCCGAACCATCACAAACCGTGCATTGTTGCCTGCTTCGAAGTGATTCCACTCATATCATCTTCCTCGCTATTGAAGAAGTTAGGCGTACCATGTTATCATCGAATGGTATATGCCAGGGGCGGTTCATTCGGCTCCAACTCTCGATATTCTCGACAAATTTTGCTAACCGTATTTAGCGTGGTACACTATCGATGCTGGTTAATCTTCTACTCGCATCTATAGTATAGTTTAAGTTACGTACCGACTTGGACATATCCTATGATTACATCTTTTTAGTTAGTACCGCTCTATTAATAAGCCTATATTGTTCACTTCGCCGGCAAGAATTTCATGAAGGGACGTATACTAACCTACTTAGATATAAGGCAACCTTCTCGGCCCAGATCTGCCTGGTCAGTGAACAGGAAAAGTCTTATTATATAAGTTGTGGTATGGAATGGTATTTATAGTAACGAGAGCTAGCTTCCCTGTTGCGATCAACAAGGAACTAAGCGATCTCTTCTTCCACATGTTGGAGGTCAGACTTCTATGCTGGGTCTCGGTCGAGATCCTACTAAGACGGTTGAAGATGGTAGGGACTGCATCACAACAACCAACCAGAATAGAGAACGGTAACCCCATGTTATCGTCTGGGACCGTTGGGCTGCAAGCATCAGAATCGGACCCACGCTCTCGAACTTTCCTTCGTGAACGACGTACCTGATGTGTCCCCAAGTTCTGCAGATACGGCGTCTTCCAATCCCTCCCAATAACGGTTCTAGGGATTTACTCCAAGGCAGTGTTATTATTACGCCGCCATACAATTACTTTAGGACCATACAAGATTAGTTGGAGACTAGATACTGGAAGCGTACCTCTTGGGCTTCTTGAAGAACTCAGGGTGTAGCAGGTCAGGGGTAGCAAAACACGTGATGTCCTCATAGGTACAACTTCTACCCAGATCATCTGGTAACGTGATATAAGCGTCGATACTTCTGAATAGTACAACTGTCGCACTAACTAATACGATACAGATGCATTGCGAGCCCGCCAGTCACATCGAGAACTCGTGGAGACGCAGCACTGCTTACGAGAGCACAGCCCAGCGTAATCCATCTAGGATCCGGTGCGGTACCGTCGGACTTAAGTTATCTTCGGTGCTGTCTACCATGGATAGAGTTAAACGGTTCTGCATATTACGTCTTGCGGTACGCGTCTTAGACACCCCGTGAGATTGGCGAGTAGGTAGCAGAGAACCTAGCCACCTCGCCTTCGTAGTCAGCACCGAGCGTCAGGCTCCGAAAAGAGGAGATTGGCATTTCAGGGGGTTCGATAGATGGCTTATAGGTAACTTTGCGTCTAGGCCTGCTATTTTGAGGAATACTCGTGAGCGCAGAACATGAGTAAACACTAGGGCCCGGGTCTTGTCATTACAAACTGTCAAGGGTGGGACGCTGTGGCTGGGAAGGATCGAGACTTGCTGATCCTCGTCGTTTCCCGCCTCAGCCTGCAGACCTGATTGCCAGAAGTTTGAGGGGTGTCTGGTGGAAACATTGTCCAACGTTAGTGAGTGCAAAGTGCTACCGATAACCCTAGAGGCTGTCTGCGATCCGGCGCTGACAGTTGGTTTTGTGGGGACGGTTGGCCGCGAGCAACATGCAATGACAGGCAGGTATGATACCGCGCATCAATTATGGCTGTTGTTGAACAGAACTACGCGACTTGAAGATCGCAGCAGCTCCAATCTTGGTCTTTGCGTCTGACAAAGTGCGAGATCCTGCATTAAAAGAGGTCAGAAGGATCTTAAAAGGTGCGCAAAGGCTGAAAACTCTGCGGAGGGGCCGAATTCCCGCCTGCTTCAACCATGATCATTTCTGATGTATTGAACAAGTCATTCCCAAATCTCGTCATCGCCAAAGATGGCACGACGTTGAGCCATATTCTACGATTTCGGACACGTATCCATCCAATGGGAATTGAAGCGTTTAGCCCAAATGCAAGAAGGGACTGAGGGAAGAGTAGGGTCGTTAATATAAGATTTGCCCTCGAAACGAACAACTCGTCGTCTCTCCTTTCGCTAAGGCCTGGGGTTGTCGAATCATCGAATGTTCTAGGAATAGCGAGGGGGGTGGGACATGGAGATATTTTAAAAGTCGACCGCATCTTTCTACCATACAATCCCTTCTAGGTCAAGTTGGGTACGGGGCATCCCACCCTTCCCGTCTGTGGAGATAAAATAAGCGGTTCCTATTTGCCATCTTAACCGAAGGAACTTGGCATATTACCAAAATTAGTAAGACTAACTCCTTTATTTCTGTGGCGGCAGGGATTTGAGGATATATATGGTAAGTTTAGGGGGTTGTTAACGGCACCCCCTATGAACGGTACCCCTGAGCGGCAAAGGGTTAAATTAATTAATTAAACGTTTATATTACTCACGGGCTTTTTTTTTTAATATATATTTTATTATATTTATTATTTTTATTGTTTTTTTTTTTTTATTTTTATTTATTATTATATTTATTATTTTTATATTATTTTTTAATTAATTAAACGTTTTTATTTTTATTAAAATAAATTATAATTTTTAATATAATTAATTAATAATTTAATCGGTTATATAAATCGTATAAAAAAATATATTTTTTAATTAAATTATTTTTAATTAAAACGTTTTAAAATTTATTTTTAAAAAATAAATTAATAATTAAATTTTATATTAAATAACCGTTATAATAAAATAACGTTTATTATTTTATTAAAAATTTAATTTAATTAATTAAATTAAATATTAAAATTAATTAAATTTAATTTTAATTTATATTTAAATTTAAAGTTTAATTATACGTATTTTCCGGTTTAATAATAATTACGAATTATTTAAAAAAAAATAAATTTTTATTTTTTTTAAATTAATATTATTTAATTAAAATATTTCGTTTAATTTTAATTAAATCGATTAAAATTAAAAAAATAATATTTATAATTATTAACGATTTTTTTAATTATTTAAAATTATTTATAATTTAATTAATTAATTAATTATATCGTTATAATTTTAATAAAATAAAAATTATAAAAAATTATAATTTTAATAAACTTATTATTAATTAATTAAAAAAAATAAAAACTTTACGCGAAAAAAACGGTTTTCGCACGTAAACTTTTATTTTAAAATATATTTTAATTAATAAAAAAATAATAAACTTATTTATTATTTTTAAAAAAATTAACGTGTAAATTTAATAATTTAATAAATATTCGTATTTAATTTTTTTATATAAATAAAAATTTATAAATTTTAAAAATAATTAAATTAATAATAAAATTATTATTTATTAATTAATAAAAATTTTTATTTTTAAAATTATTTTATAAAATTTAAATAAAAAAAAATTATTTATTTTTAACGATTATAAAAATTATTAATTAAAAAAATTTATATAAACCGTTTTTTAAATTAAAATTTAATTATTTTTTTTCCCGCTTTATATTATTTACGTGTTTTAATCGTTTAATATAAATATTTTTAATTTATTAAAACGTAAATACCGAAAATTATTATAAATAAAATTAATTTTTTTTTATTATATTATTTAAAATAAAATAAAAATATTTTTACATTTATATTAATAAATAAAATTATTAATTTTTATTTTTATTAATATAATTAAAATATAATTTAATATAAACTTTTAATTAATAAATTATAAAAAAATTTTTTAATTTTATTTTATATTATAAAATCGTTCGCGTAATATATTTATCCCACGTTTTTTTTTTAATTAATTATTAACTTTTAAAATATTATATTATATAATTAAAATTATTTAATTATATTTTTTAAATAAAATATATAAATTAATTAAATAATATATTTTCGAAAAAATAAAAAAAAATATTAATTTATTTATAATTAAATTAATTAAAAAAAACGTTAAAATTAATTACTTAAAAACGTTAATATAAAAATTAAAACCGGTTAAATAAATAAAAATTAATTTTAATTTAAATAAAATTTTTATATAAATTAAAAATATTATATATATTAAATAAAATTTAAATTTAATAAATATTAATATATAAATTTTATTAATTAATATAAAAAATCTAGTTTTAAAATAATAATTAAACCTAAATATACACTAATATTTTATTTATTTTTAATAATATACCGTGTTATACCCAAAACAATTAAACAAGCCCGCTTTTACAAGGATACCGCTCAAAGGGTGCCATTCATAGGGGGTGCCGTTGACAACCCTCCGAACTTACTCCCCCCCTCCATTTGCTCAAATACCTCGAGCGTATTTTGACCGTCGGCCGAAGGAGACACAAAGGAAACGGAGAGACTTCTAGTTGCATAAGTAACTTGACTGAGATCTATCCGACTTTATGAGCTGTTGTGCTGCATACCTGTGTTAACCTCAAGCACGCTACGCAGGTTTGGCAGACAGGTAGCAAGCCTCCCCTGGGCTTCGGGAACGGCCAAATAGAAAGATAGGTGGTAACCCCTGGACCTGGACCTGGACCCGGCCCCCGTTACTTCGGACCATCCATCAGCTTTCCCTCGACTTACATATTACTGGGAGAACCGAGAATAATAATAACACCATTGAGCCGCCGGTCTCGCCGTGGAAACTTCTCTTTGCTTTTCTTTTCACGCTACTCCCGACCCCTACGCAAATCACCATCTGTATTATAGATCTTTAGCGGCGACCGAATCTGCAATTCAACCTTAGACAATGGATTTCTCGCATACCTTTTACGGTGGAGCTCATCCCTATCACTTTATCGGAATTCCTCCCTTGACCCCATCCCATTCCAACTCAGCCGCATCAGACGAGTTCAACAACCACTCTCCACATGTTAGTACTAGCTCTTTTTCAACTACTTTTGTTTCAGCCTCAGGACTATGTGACTCTACCTTGGCAATGGAGCACTGATCCTTTTGCGACGTTTAGGATGTTTACGATGGATTCCAGAACAATGAGCAATTCCAACAGAACTTCGAGTCCTTTGCCAATTTCAATCACCAGCCTCAGGCCTTCCCAGGTCCTCCGGGCCCTCCGACACCACCAAACCAATCCATGCACGGTCAGAATGGCCAGGGCCAATCTCAAGTAAACGGTTCAGAGAAGAACAGCCAAGTCGATATACTACCGATGGCTAAGCCGGATCCCGACGGTAGCAGACAGACGGCGTCTAATTCGGACGAGGATGACCTGACACCTGCCCAATCCCGTCGGAAGGCGCAAAATCGGGCCGCGTGAGTGACCCCTAGAACTTGGATCGGATTGAACGATCCAGCAGGCAGTCGATTTATATCGAAAGACTCGGTCTTAGACTAACATAAAATTGATTCATAGTCAGCGCGCATTCCGAGAACGCAAGGAGCGTCATGTCAAAGACCTCGAGGCAAAGCTGGCCAATCTAGAAGCGCAGCAGCACCAGACGGCTAGCGAAAACGAAAAGTTGAAGCGTGATCTGCAGAAGATGAGCACCGAGAATGAAATCCTGCGCGCTACGTCTAGTGTCCAAGCTCAGAACGGCTCCTTGTCGCCGCAACCCGCGACGACTACGGGACCCATGCAGTATAACCCCACGGAGTTCTACTCGGACCTCCTTCAGAACCATGCCAACAAGACCCCAAGCCACCGCATAGTGGAATCTGGTGGCGAACGCCTCTTAGCTGCCGGCGCTACGTGGGACTACATTATCAACCACGAACTGTTTAAGAAAGGTCTGGTAGATGTTGGCGATGTGAGCCTGCGTCTCAAGTCTCAGGCCAAGTGTGATGGACAAGGCCCGGTCTTCGAGGAGCGCGTCGTTCTCCAGGCTATCGTGGAAAGCGTCGCTAGCGGTAGTGATGAGCTGTTATGAGTAACTACGTTTATCTAGCTGGTTCTCCGGGAGTTTGATAGGCGGAAAAGGCTTGGCCGAGATAGTGACACGGTTCGACATATGGGAGAGATGTGCTACCTTCGAATACACGAAGAAGTAGCCGAAAGTCGTGATCACATTCGGGGCTTCACCCAATTGTATCTCAGTCTTATTGAGATGACGGGTTTTACGTTTGACGAAGGAATGGAAGCAACTGTTGTTGGATATTTTTGGTCGGGTTTATTTGCATCGAAGTTGGATTATACGTTTTTGCGGAATCGATGTGAACGCCACTTGCTCTTGCCGACATTCGAAAATGTAGGTAAAGAGAGTCAATGAGCGGGTGTCATGAAGAAGCGGCTTAAGGCAAAGGGAAGGATGTATGTGGAATGATTTACGGGAACAGCAAACCTCAAACATGGATGGGGCGTTTCTGGTTCGAAAGGTACACTATATGGAGGTGCTTTTATTTTTATTTTTTCCCCCTCAAACAAAAACAGGATATCAACTAAAGGATAGGGCACTGACGGGGTGCTGGAAGCTTTACAACTATCTATAAGTATCGATCTATCGTGGCTTTTGGGTTATTTTTGTGCATTGAGAAGGGATATGGACTTTTTGCTACTTGGTTCTTTCTATTGTCACGGAAATTGGGCTTGGAGATGTTTGTACTTAGGTATGGCTTTGAATTCGAGAAATCTACAAAACTTGCGGTCTTCTCTTCTATCGGGTGAAATACTAGATACCTAGGCTGCATCAATGGGATCGCAATGGAATGAGAGGCCTCCCATGGTTTACAGAGTTCTACAGAACTTTTCTCATTTTGAAAGGGGTTTACGAGTCTACTACTTCCCTCACCAACTTCTCAACACCACGAGCATCAGATCAGTTAAAGGGGCAACGGGCAAATTAGCCCTCTAGCAAATCAAACCCACCGAGCAAAACTCAGCTTATACTCCCCTCCCTAAAATCATATTCCCCCCGCTGCCCACGTTCCACCCCATCAGCGGAAGTTCGAGATCGTGTATGGCCCCCTCCCCACCTACGTGCCATCCATACGACTTTGCTAGCTCGGGGGGGCCCCCCTGGAGCTAGGCGAACATACCTACCTAGCTATCACCTAGCTTAGAACTCCGAATCGGCCGTGTCGTCGCATCTGTCGTCTTTCCTAGGTGTGTACACGTTTCCCTTGCCAATCTCGAAAGCCATCGGGAACTTTAGATCCTTCGCTCTGAATGCTCGCTGTCGGCCCGTGCCTTCTCTCCCTTTTTTTGGTACTTTTGGGGTGCTATCATACGTTTTTTTTTCGCCATCGCCAAGGTCCGGGCGTTGGCAAACATCGAAAAGGTCCGCGTAAGACTGGCAGCTCAGTGTATCTGCCGCGAAACGCCGAATCCTACGGTATCGGGGTACGGTCGGCGACCGGGGGTGATGGCTTTCAGATCAGATCAACAGATAGGTATGTAGGTCGATTTTGAATTATTAAGCGGACCGTGTACGCGTTGTCGGGGCCTAGAATTCTGGCAGCGGTTTGCGTGCGGGTACGGGCTCGTGCTTATAAATCCGCGATCGAAAGTTTTCGCCTCGAACCTTTTCTACGGCCGTCACGGCATGGCGCGTCGGTTAGTGGTAAGGGGGACGGGATGGATGTGTGGGAGAGAATATTGGTGGGAGATCGTTATGTGGGGAGCGTATAGGGAGCTAGGTCTCGTAGGGAGGGTTATTGTATGGTAACGCTCGATGGCAGGTTACCTACCTAAGGTAGGAGTGGTATAGGCTAGGTACGAATGGTAGGCTAGATGTGTGCGCAGATGTAGGGGAGTTATGTATGTATGTATGTAGGTAGCCCTACGTATCATACAGATAGTGGCGGAGCCAATACTGTAACTTAGGACGTTGTAACTCGGACCTGTGACTATAGAAATTTCTTTCTTTTTCATTCCTCGGAGCTATCTACCGGTCTTCATGGAGGGGGGAAGTCGATTTTCGTTTCAGATCGAGAGAGGACCGTGCTTGTCTGTTACCTAGCTAGCTAGCTATTTATAGATTCTAGACCCGAGCAATGGATCTGGGCCGGGAAAGGGGGTAGTTATCTAGATGATCTTTCGTTGGCTGCTTCGTTGGCCGTGGCGAAGAGGAGATAGGACAGTCGAGTGTTGTTGGGGGAGAGGAGTTGAGGAGATGATGATGAATAGAATACCTAGGTAGGCATCGATCGAGAGGCCAGAAACTAGACCGACATGAATAGCTAGGTAGTGAATGAAACGCTGGGCCTACGTGCTCGACATGTTACATGGCCGGAGGACTCGTGTTCAACAAATTTCCTTCGTGCAGGTGAAAAGCGTCTCTTACTTGCAGGTATAGAACCATAATGGTAGTATCTTGGAACGCCTACATGACCACGTGTGCGCCTCGATTTTATATCCCCACGTGCCATGTAGCCTCAGGTCGGTACCACATTGAGCCGGAACCAGGGCAGCTAGACTTCGAGCCGATTATGATATTTCAACTCTGATTGGCGAGTATTTTTGTCCCATACGGGATACCTTATACACAGTTCTTGCCGAGGTTAATGGGATGTAAAAGAATATCTAAATAGGCTTCTGAGAACTTCGATGGGCTTTCGACATACCACACACGCTCTCACGTTGGAACGATTATAGAATATCATTTAATGGGTATTAACTGACGCGGGCATTAGGATTCGCCCTTCCCTCCTAGGAGCTATTGCTCCTGGACCTTTAGCTAAGTACGTAGACATCAAAACTTCCCCAATCCCGACCTAGGGGTATACCGAATTCCGAAAAGCACCTATCATCATTACAAGTAATGTAAGCAACGTAATGAATATCGCAGAGCAGCTTAGACACTTCGCGCTCGTCGTCCCATCGTTATCCCGCGTATACGCCTTTCAGTATACCTCCTTTCAGAACCAGGACCCGGGCTCTTAATTCCGCCTTTGTATCCTCTGGCCTCCTTACCTAGAACCTAGAACCTGATATTGCTTCCATCTAAGCCTCGTAGGTAGTAAACCTGCAAAATTCGTAGCCCCATGCATTAAATTCATAAGGAATATCGGATAGGGGACATCCATCCCGTATCCCATGGTTATCAGAACAAGTTCAACCCAAGGAGAGTTTTGAACCTCATGTTAACCCCTTTGCCGACTCCTTCCCCTTTCAAAGCATTCGGTCATTACCCCCATTCCTGCTTAACCACACAGCCTCAACTTCAGCCCCCTTAGTTTTCCATTACATACTCTCTCCCCGTAGCCTATCCTTTAGTTCACCTTCTTAGCCCCATCCCCATTAGCCTCCTTACCCTCAACGTACGGGTGCTTGATCGTAAGACACCAAATATCGAGGTAATCGCAAATCGTAACGATGACATCAACCACAAACGAGCCGTAGACACCGATCGCCATACCTAACATACAGAACATGAACGAGACCTGGTATACATCCGCACCAAGCGCACTCGGCCACCCGGAAGCCCAGCCGACGTGCTCCTGCAGAACCGGACCCAGGCTGTCGATGACGCCGTACCCAAGGGGTAGGGCCAGCACGTTCCAGTAGGGGAACGGCAACTTGACGAGGTGCGCGGTGATGACCTGGCCAACGCTATACGCGTTGATGAGCCCCGCCAGAATGACAAACGGCACAAGATGCTGGGTGCGGATCAGCGGCTGCAAGTACAGATATGCGACGACCAAGACCCAGGTGCCGAAGAAGGGCAAAAGTCCGAAAAGCGCCCATCTGCTACGGTCGCCGCGGGCGCGGCGCGCGCGGATGACGTTGCGCGCAGACTCGACGGTGTTGAAGACGAGGACGATCGTGCCCTGCACCATGTACCACTGCGAGAAGGACAGATCGTAGATCTGCGCGGGGATGCCGAGGGTCTGGGGGACCTTGAGGGTCGCGCACATGCTTTGCTGCCAGAACGAGGCGCCGCCCATGTATCCCGTTAGCGCGTACACGCCGACGAGGATCAGGATGCCTTCGACGGGCCCGTTGACAATGCCGAGGGTGAGTGTCTTGGTGTGGTATTCTTCCCAGGTCTGGACGTAGAAGGTGTTGAGGGCTGTTTTGCCTGCTTGTTAGCACTTGTATAGTATAGGGAGAGTTCGGAAGTCCGGAAACTGGGAAGTTTGGGTATTTGGGGGCACGTACATGCGAAAAGCGTGGCGACGGTGTACCAACTCTGTCCCATGTTCTGGGAGGCAGCAAAGATGAGGACTTCCAGGGCGGTGTTGAGGGCATCGACGCCATGGTCGAACAGCTCGCCGAGAGGTCCACTCTGGTGGGTTCGTCGTCTATTAAGCCGAGCAAGCAATACGTTAGCTTCCAATTTCCATATCGTTATATTGTATATTGTTTGTTATAGCACGTACGCTTGGGTCCCATCCACCGCATCAAAAGTCTGATACAAGAACAGACCGGCAGCCCACGAATAGTAAACCCATGGAGGGCAGTCCTGGTCGAGCGTGGGATTGTACCATAACAAGGTAAAGAAGTTGGCAACGACGAACATAAATCCGGTCAATGTGATTAGGTTCGGGGCCATCGACATGGGAAAGCATTTGATGACGAAGTTGGTGTAAAACGGCTTCAGGATGTACTTGGATGTCAATGAATGGTCGACTCCCGAGTACTTGTACGCCTTCAGATTCGGCAGGAATTCCTGCCGTACGTACACCATCTTGACTTGACGATGCCGTCGATCAGTGAATTAGGTATATCTTAATTTGTTACTCTAATGAACGTGAGGCTTCAGCTTTGGTTGCGACGTTACTCGAGGCTTTGGGTTGATTGACTTTTAAGCGACGGATGGTAGCGAATGATTCTGTCTCGGGCAAGACAGAATGGTCGCCTTTGTGTAAAGACGCCAGCCGTCGAGGATCAAAGAGGGACACAGTTGTCGATAGTGGGGCTATCTTCATCAATTAGATAAAAAGGACAGGGAAGTTGTGCTTTTTTTCTTTGAAGGCTATCGTGCGAACTGGAACTGGCTAGGGTAATGGAAAAAAAGTAAAAACGTCATGGTGTGCACAAGTGTCAAATCTAAGACCCATCTTCAAGAATTTTAGTGGATTCCAATTAGCGCGACTGATTTGCGCGTCTGACGTGTTAATGGGGTACAAGGGTCCCCAAAGTTCGCGCTATCGCAACCCCTGTGACCCTATCAACCCCGTCAACCCCTGTTATCCTTGTCAGTGTATAACCTCAATGTTCGAATTGATTCAAATCATCCCATATATGAATCAAATCAAATTTATATTGACCAATTCATATTCTGGGTTTGCTCTGGCACTCAAAGGCCTACCGCATCGTTCTCCTTCCCTTCTCTTCTCTTATGAACACTGGGGATTCCGTCCTTATCTCATCTCAACTCGGGTCAACACAAGTCCTGCCAGCCGCCCCTTTCTCCATTCTCTAAAAATATGCAGACCGGTGAGATACCCTCAAAACCGAAAGGACATCGCTCGTCATTTTTTGCAGAAACGCCTTTCCAGAAACCTTCACTATTATGCCACGGACGCTACTACCATCGCAGCCACGTTCTCCTCTTCGCTGCGTACTGTGATCTTGGTTGTAACGCCCGACTTGGATGAGTATGCCATCCTGACATTGGCTACCACCCTTCCACCATTGACCGTCTTGCCAAGAAGCTTCAGTTGATGCGTTGTCTGGTTGACCGGTACGTCTGTGCCTTCTAGCGGTTGTAATGAAAGTGTCTTGGCGAGTTGTTCCGTAGCGTCTAGTGTCCAAAGTTAGCCATGCAGCCGTAAAGCAATGAGATGAAAATAGCAAGTACTGACCTGCAATGCTGTTGACTCCTGATAATTGCAATGTCTCCTCGGCCTCTTCGCCAGCGGCGCCTACTTGCTCCCACACATGGTTGAAATTGCCTGCGAATGTGGGTATCACGTAGTCGCTACCCGCCAGGTCAAAGTCCGCCACTTCGTATTCATCTTCGTAGCCGCTCTCCTCAGGTTCGTTTGTAGTAGGGTCGATCTCCTTGCTCGTGAACTTGAGTATGTTGGAGAAAGTGGCAGTAGGTAATGATCCCTCGCCGCCGATTTTCTTGAAGGCTACATATATCTTTCCGGGTTCGCCTGTAGCAAGTTTCTCTGCTTGGATAATGAATACTTCCTCCAGTTCTTCCTCATCAGAGGGAGTGGCCACAATCGACACATTTTCGAGGACTGTCGCTTCAAGGGTGTTCTTAACCTCATATTGGAGTACGATGTGCTCCTTGAAGATATGTTTGACAACAGATACGGCATATTCTGTCTCGGCTTCGGTCAGTTCAACGACAGGCGATGACTTGAGGACGCTGCCAAATTCCTTCATTTCCGGGATCGCCATAAGCTCTTGGGCATATTTCTGAGCCGCAGCAACCGCCGAAGCTTGGGCCTCGGCGCCTGTCGCTGCCGCCTTTGTGGGTCCTGTCTTGGGCGGCTTCAAAGATGGTGTAGTTGCCGTAAGCTTCTTCGTCCTGTCCTCGGCATCTGCTTGTTCCCGGGTGACGACCGGGATCTGGCTGATATCGAAAGGAGTCTCGAAAGCCGACTTGTCATCCGAGGTCACATACATGACAAGCTGGTGTTCGAAGTAAGGAAGAGAGAACATGTTTTCTGTGATCTTCATTAGAATTTTCAGTTCGCCCCGAAGAGAAAAAGATGTACTCACCGTTCTTGATGAAGCGGTCACCTAGGTCGTCTTCCTCGTGCATTAATCTAAGGTTAAGCGCAGCGCGGTCGCGAACTTCATCATCAACATCATCCAAACATCGAGTTAATAGAACATCGACACTGCGTTTCACCTCGGGGTCCTTCTGCCCAACACCAAATTTGGCAAGAGCAGTTACAGCTGCCGCTCTCACGATGGCGTTCTCGAGAACAACTCGATTGTAAATATATCGAATATACTTCGTAGGTTGAGAGGTCTTGGGCCCTTCTAAACCGAGCAAGTGCAGGATACGAACAGCCAACTTGGTAAACTCGCAGTCTTCGATGAACTCGCAGAGGTGGGCGAGAGCGTCCTCCTTGGAGTCTGGCACAAACTTGATGAGATCGAACATGCTTTCTACTACAGCCCGCTTGAACTCGTAGCCCCCTTCGTCGCGTAGAATGCCGCTGAGGAAAGCAAGCATGCCAGCCTGTTTGCTTGGGAACTTGAGGCACAGGGTTCGGATAGCTTCGACAATAGTGATCTTGAATTCATCCGTGATTTCGGACATAAACCCAGTGATCTGCTTCATCAATCGGTCCACACTAGCTTCGTTACCGGTCTTTAGGAGCGTGGTGATAGCAAACGTAGCGATTGACCGGTTACTATTCGAGATAAGCGCCTCGATATCAGGGTTGCAAACGTTGACCGCCTGTGGTTTGAAGGACGCGAAGTTGTGTAGAATTCGGAGAGCAGCGAATTTAGTAACGGCACGAGGCGAAGAAAGGAAAAGCTGCAACACATGGACAGCTTGAGTGACCTCGGCATCCGTAACGTCTCTTATATCACAGATCGCCTTTGCAGCCTCGAAGTTGACCATTTCGCTCTTGTGCCTCAACCATCCGTCCAATAGCTGCATCATAGGCTTCCTGAGCGATTGATCCTCCTCAGCCAATTGCGCAGCTAACCTCACCAGCATCACTATGGCAGCAGGGCTCTTGACAGCACCGGCAGCACCGAATTGTTGCACCATCTTGACGAGAGCCATCCTATCGTGGGCCCGCATTTGGTAGAGGAGACCAATGGCGTGGTATTGGGTCATAGTAGAGTTGTTGACCGGAAGGGAGGCTGAAGAAGAGGAGAACCCTAGGGAGAAGCCACCCGAGGACTTGGTCGAAGCTGCAGCCTCCTGAGTTTCAGACTGCCATCGTCGAACGACATCTTTAGCGATAGGTAGGAGGTGGTAGGAGGATACGAGGGCGGCGGAGGATACTGAAGGATTCTTGTCGACGATCGCGGTCTTCATCACACGCTCGATCGATTGGACGGTGGTCGCCTATATTGCATCAGCAGGGTGAGTTGAGGCTATGGGCCGCTAGAATGTCCGGTAGTCTCACGTCAATAATGCGACACAGAGCTCGTATAGCATTTGGTCTGTAGATTGCGTCGGTGCTACCACCCGTGTCCTTCATTATGGTGCTCGTGACCATGATGATATCCTCCGCGGAGTGGGCAATCTCCTTAATGACCAGGTGGACCATCTGTCGCAAGCTGGCATCTTTATTTTGGAATAGCTTCGAAATACCGAAGAACAGAGTGGTGGCTTCATTCGTTGGGAACTTCTCCCCGGTATATAATAGGAGAGCAATCTTGGTCAAGAGAATGCGACATCTTCGGGGCTGGATAGGGGAGCTGTTGAACAATCGAGCTTCACACCGTTTAGAGGACAGCTAAGAGAGGTCTGTGGAATTGAAGTAGACATACCTTCTTGGAAAACTTGAGTGCGGTCGACCTTGACCAGGCCGAGGTCGGCATCTTCATCTTTCTTGCCGTAGCTCATGGTGGGCGGTGAGACGGCTTGGGTTGAGGGTGAAAGTTGAAGAGAATCGCGGGTCGTTGGTCTAATTCTCGAATTCTATTAACACATAATTTCGGGCCACCACATAAGGTTTCCTAGTATTAAGGAATGAGCGACGTTGCAACTGCTTGAACCAAGTCACATGATAAAGGCCGAAGACCCACTTAGGCCACATTTAGGTACGTACCTAGGTGCCCCTTTTATAACATGGAACCCAGGCCTTACCTGCATTTATTGGCGATTTTATTGTTCGTAGATGCCGGTAGCATTGCTGTATAGGATGTTAAATATAGGTGTGTTTTGTTATTTTAACTCTCGATTTTCCATATATAATCAATCAATGGCCTCTTGCCGAATTATATACGAGCTTCATCACATTATCTCTATATCCTTCTGCGCCACCGTATTTAGCTATGATATCTTGTATATCCACGGATAAAGTTGGACAACTTCTTTTCCTACCAAGTAGACCTGTATTTCTTGTACTTGGTATCCTCAGCATCTCGGTTTCCAACTCCCACCCGCAATCCGTTGCAATTTTTGTTACCCACTCAACAAGTGACGAGTATGCTGATGAGGACTTGTTCTGAGCCTTCGGCGCAGGTGCTCTAAATCTTGCTCCTGTCAAGCTATGACTGCAACATGGTATCATAATAAATGGACAGTCTGACAAGGTGGCAAGTATTGGTGTCCATGGAGTCAGCTCGTCGGCATGATTAGAGATAATAAAAGTCCCTCTAGGAAATAAGCCATCGTGGATAATATTACTACTCTCTACGCCGGAGACGGTCTCGCCGTTCTCGCCACTTACATCTCCTACATTCGGATGACGACCGATGACGGAAGGGAGCAAGACATGCTGTCGAAGAGTCTCTTTGGGCTCAGATTCCCCGCTCATTGCGCGGGAATAATTCTCCCAAGATTTGCGTTTCCGTGCGTCAAATCCCCATCCCAAGTAACCTTCCTCATGGAGGATGTACACCAGGAGGCCATTGCCACAGCCAATATCAACAAATCCAGGGAAGGGAGAGCTTTGGTACATCTGAGCCCAGAGTTCAATCAGGAATGCCGCAATACTCAAATCCTCGAATACGTGCTTGGAAGGATCTGTAACCTCAGCCCAGGTCTGGATAAGTTGTCGGGCATATTTTTCCTTTAGTCGAGCATACGTATTCTGAACAGATATTTGAGGGATGATGGTATCGTGGTGAACTCGCTTGACGTACCCTGCTCTTGTCCCTTCTCCATGCTTGTGGAGCGTTCCCAAGAGGTTGAGACCGGTTCTCACCAACTTTGGCGAATGGTCTTCGTTATCAAAGAAATGGTAATGAATGGACACCGAGCCTTCGTTGCTCTCGGCATTCCACTCATGAAGAAATGCCATACCTTGTATTTTAGGATGATAGAATGGTATGTCGGCCGGAGATGAGATATGGGGTTTGTAAACGACCATAGACCTCTCTATATTACCCGGTCCACTACCATGGTATATTAGGCAGGTTTGATCTAGAGGTTGATCTCTTAGGGTGTTTCTGGGAATAAGTTTCCGCACCAATACCTTATCAAGGTGCATATTTTGGAAGTCGAGGATAGCTGACCGTGTGATCAAGGGATCAGTCGATATCAGTTGATCAGGATTTTGCTCGACCAGTATGTCAGCCCGGAATAGCCAGTTGGAATTGATATTCGGGTTGCGAATGAAATTCATCATAACGTCGAAGAAAATTTTCGAATTGAACTCGCAACTCTTTTGGAACAGAGGAGTCCATCTTGAACCGGATGAATCTTCGATTAGGCTTGGGGAACCTTCGGTAAACTCTTCCGCCTCGAACCCCATCATATACCCAAGCACGATCTGACAGGTCGCCTTCAATATATGTTATCTGCAAGACATGCGAATATTGGGATATTAATAGGCAGATGGTAGATAAGTTGCCCGAGGACATCAGACACGGCAAGCTGACATAAGTACGGCTATCCAGTTGAATTTATCAACGACTAGACCGAAAGTCTAGATGTGTCCGTTTTTCAAGCAGGCCACATGCAGTCGTGCAGGGGGTCAGCTGCTAATAAAGGTAGGTATCCTCGTTGCAATGGGGGCAGGATTTTCCCAATAAGGATGAAAGCCTAGGGGATTGATTGTCTAGACGCCCGGATAGTGCAGATAGGTAATGTTCGAGATCTCCAATCGTACTAAACAGACAATGTCTTGGTTTAGGATTTTGTTGTGGCACATGCCGCTATCCGATTGTTGGCAATTGTGCAATTCAATTGTGTGACATGTGCTTTGCTGCATACTTCCGGCATTTGCAACTTCCAAATGACCCCAAAAGCTGGAACTTAACCAGTGAGGAGGCGCGCTGTACTTAGATACTTCTGGGTACTTTCGCCTACTCCGCAAAATGTTAGAAAAGGTTAGGGGCCAAGCGACGGTAGGGGCGAGTAGTTGCCTGATAAGGCCGCTATTTTTCCATGGGAGTCACAAATCTTCCACCGTACGTGAGGCTAGGACAGGGAAAGACCAGCCAACCCAGCTTGCCAGGTGCCAATAGCTCCACACCACCCCTTGCCGATTTGCAAAATGACCCACAAATGTTGCCCCTCCATTCACTGCCACTTGCTAATTGCGGCCTTTCTCGTCTCCCTCTTTTCTACTTGAACCCACCCACCAACAAGCAACGTCAATTCTATCTTTTAAACATTCATCCATCATCAACAAAACAATCCGCACATAAAAACATCCTTCACCCACACCGCCAGTCCCATCAACAATCGTGAACATCTAACAACTACACACCCCAACTCACAGCGAGGCCACTAGTACAGTCGTCTGTCGCTGCACTCCGAGTTTATCTCAACAAACCATTTCCCCAAGTCACCCCCGTGAATTCGAGTTTATGTCAATCGAAAACCTCAAGACCTATGGTACGTGCAATCCAGCACCAATTCCCAATTCCAATTCAACTAGGAGAATTGTGTATAATGCTCGAGTCCAATAGCAATTCCTACAAGATGGATCTCGAGTTGTTGTCACCTTTCTCGCCATTGTTTTCTCGAGTTGATGAAACGTATCCCTTGTTTTGGTAACGTGTACTAACGGACAATGCAATAGACCCCTTCGCCGAAGCCGATGAGGATACAGGTGAATCCAAGCAGTCACAGAACTACATCCATATCCGCATTCAGCGTACGTGTATTCTACAAGTTCGATACCCTCGCATCTCATACATGGCGTGTGACCGACCTACACGATGCCTCTTCCCCAACCCCGCCTTCACACCATCATGTGAAACCATTGTGCTGACTTGAAATTTCTAGAGCGGAATGGACGTAAAACCCTGACTACTGTCCAGGGTCTTCCGAAGAAGTTCGACCAAAAGAAGATTCTGAAGGTCATCAAGAAGAAGTTCGGTATGTTGTCTCATTCTGTCGTACACCATGGGTATTTTGTCATGATTCACAGCTAACTTGACGTGTCCGTGATAGCCTGCAATGGAACCATCGTGAACGACACCGAGATGGGTGAAGTTATTCAGCTGCAGGGTGACCAGCGCAAGGATGTGCAGGAGTTCCTCGTCGACAAGAAGGACGGTCTAGAGCTTGATCCTAAGACTATCAAGGTCCACGGATTCTAAGCCAGCCATGTTCTTGCACCAACCGTAACGCCTATTACCGATCACGAAATACGCAAGTGGATGGTCAGCCTTGCATACGTCAGTATCGCCGACTGCTATGTGACGGCATCGATAGCTGTTCGTTACATCGTGCCAAGGGCTGCACTATCGATCAAGGCGTTTACGGAATGGTTAGGACATGATACCCCTTGTTGAATTCTAAGAGGCTCCTTGCTTTCGGATGCGATTTGGCGAGGTTGAGGCTCGTTTTAGGAACGTGTTACTCGACACTTTTATTTACAGAGATGAGGTACTATGGATGGCTTGGACTTGCAAGGCACTCTCGTTCTCAGTTCTACGACAATAGTATTGCCTATAAATCAGAACAGTCTCATCAATGACCGATAATAGCGTGAATCGTGACATGACTGCGAATGAAGGAGTGGCCAACTACTCTGCCAAGCCTATTACGTATGTAGTTTCCCAATGGAAGAACACCCTAGAGTAGGCAGGAGCCAAATCATATAGCAGGAATTTTAAATGGTCCGTTTCTGATCATTAACCTTAGCTTAATGATTGTGGTTTCAATTGATGATTTGCCATGGATATTATCACGAAAGGCCGTGGTTTTGCCACTATTGGTTGGATTTAGCTAACTCGAACACTGCAAAATTTATTTACTTAAACTCACTGCCATAAGAGCGTCTAATTGCAGTTATACTTCAAGAGCCATATTATTCATATTACCACCATCTCACTCATACTTGCTCATAACTACGAGCCGCTTTAACCTAAATTTGCATTTTGCCAGTTTGGAAGGAAGTGATAGCTGAATAATAGTATCCCGTAGGTGCGGCAAGGAAGGCCCAGCCTCCACAAATAAACTCCGGACGGGGTAAAACAAACCTCTTGCTTTATAAAAGCAAAAAGAAGGAAAGGGGGGGTTATTTGAAACAAGAAGAAGAAAAAAAAAGAAAATGAAGGGCCTCACCCTACCAGCCTCGCCGCCCTCCTTCGTGCACAGGAAGGAGAGGATACTGGCGCAGCTGGCGGTGCCGGAACAAGAGTACACGGACGCCTCGCCGAAGGGATCGGTGGATGTGGGGATCAGGGAGCTGATTGACGAGATTAACGGCGTGGAGGGGTTCGTCACGACGAGTAGCTGCGCGGGGAGGGTGAGTGTGTTTCGCGAGGGGAGGAGGAAGGGTACTGGTGTCGGAGCCGGAGCTGGAGCCGGAGTTGGCGATGGGGAAGAGGGGCTGGAGCAGGGAAATGGGGATAGGGATGGGGTGGCAGAGGGAGAGGGAGAGGGGAGGAAGTTGGCGGGGGTAGGGGGTAAGGGTGGAGGCGGGAATTGGTTGTTCGTTTCTCATGATCCGGTTCCGCTCGAAGGGGACGGGGAGCCGGAGCGGGATTTAGAGACATTATTGGGTCTTAAGGGAATTCGTGAGACGGAGAACCAGGAGGTTGGTGATGGACAGGGAGACGGTGCTTTAAGGGATGTGACGGCTACAAGGCTGGTTCACTTAAAGTTTGAACCTATGGTACGACTTACTTGTTTTATTTGGCTCCTTATTCTACGATGGCTTTCTGGCCCCTTGCTGACTTAAATGCCATTAGATTCTCCACGTCCTAACCGCATCCCCTGAACATGCTCAGTTGCTTCTACGATGCGGCTTGCAGGCTGGGTTTAGAGAAAGCGGCGCCGTTAGTTTGACTGCGCCGGCGGGAGAGCAGCACGCCACCCCGATGGTTGCCATTCGGTCTATGGGCCTCTCGTTTGAGTCCTTGATCGGTCATCAGTCTGGCGACGGCGGTGATAAGATCCATTGTACCGTATCGTCAGCCTATTTGCGGACGCTTATCCGTATAGGCAACGAGCGATTTGTCGAGAACACCAAGAGGATCGAGAGATTCCGTGCGGCTCTCGCGGAGGCAACGAAGCCTTCTAACAAGAACGAAGAGGCGTGGGAAGACGCCGAAAGCCGGAGACGGAGGAAGAGGGAGGAAGGGTTGAGGAGGAGAGAGATGTTAGAGAAAAGTAAATGTGACGATGCTAAAGTTATAGATGTAGAGGATGAAGTCCTAGATATACCTCTAGATGTAAATCTCACGTAAATCAGTCTTCACGCACAAATCAATTTACAGAATTGGGTGTTCATCCATCATCTATACAGCTCTTTATCCCGAGCGCTCCTGTAATGCTATGCCGTAGGTAGTGTAGTGTCGAGTATTGTTACAACAGAGTTATCTACTCTCTAGAAGCCCGTCTCTCCTTTTTTCTCTAGGTAATCCGGCCCCCCTCTCTCCCCCCCTCTTGACAGTCGTAAACACAGATATTCCGCATTATAGGTATCATCGTATCGGCACCAGAACGAATAACGCTCACGAAACGACCTTGTCGACCCACCCCTTCTCCAGCCTCCGGACCTCCTCCTTGAAGGCCTCGACCTCCTTCCAGCAGTCGAGCGGGCGCCGGTCGTGCTCCATCAGGCACTTGACGACCTCGCCGCGCGCCAGCTCCACGCTCTCGGGCACGGGCCGCAACTGCTTCCGCTTGTCGAGCCGGGCCCGCAGCGCCTCGACCTCCTTCGACACGGCCTGCCGGCTGCGCTGCTGGTCCGCCGCCTCGTCCTTGGCGTCCGGGACGGCGGAGGCGATCTTCTCCTGCGCCGCCTTCAGGAGCGCGCTTTCTTGCGCTTCGAGCTTTCGGAGTTCGGAGGCTACGCGCGCTTGCACGGCGAGCTCGAGGGATTGGGCGCGGGAGGTGTCTGTCTGGTGGCGGGTGTGAGTATTTGTGTTTTTGGGGATGGGTTATGGTGTATAATGGAGAGAGAGGACGCGGCTCACCTCGCTGCTGGACTGAAGGGATTCGACGACTTCGTTGGAGACGCCTATGGGCGAGGATCTATTCGTACCCGAGGAGAGCGAGTTAGTTGACGGACGCTTCGAAAAAGGATGAACGGGTTTTAAACTTACGCCTTCCACACATGTGAGGATTGGCTCGCCTCCGGCTTAGACGAGCTCGAGCCCATGGTTGTCGGGTTCGTGGCTGGACTGGGCTGGGCTGGTTTTTATATCGCTCTTGACCTTTGGTCTTCTGCTTGCTGTACGAAATAATTCCCGAGCTTCTGATGGATGCCACCGGAAAATGTTCACCGTGCGAATTGGATAGATTCATCGTGTCTTACGGTGACGGATACTGTGAGGGTTGAATGTGCGATGTACCTCCTACGTAGTATCACGTGATCTTTGTATGAGTGCATAAATCGGGTTGGAATTGTGCAGATTATGTAAGCTTTATGTGCAGCTCCATATTTACATACTGCCTATTTCACTCAAACAACTCTACATCAGTAAATTCATTTTCAAAGTCCTGGGGCGCAAGGAATACACGATCCAATAATCGCAGGTAACGGGAGCCGTTAAGTGAATGCGTATATCGAGGGGACCAGGGCGAGTAAGTGACGAGTTGATAGACACTGAAGTAGAACGATGAAATGCTAGAAGAATGATATTCTCACTTTTCTACTCAGTCCCGTAACCTGGGCTCCTAGGACCTAGGTATTCATATATCAACGACATCTTATCGTTACTAGAGGCACGATGAATATCCCTTTACCTAGGCGAGACAGTGTCATCGTTTCACAGCTAACTGATACTGCCTGGTTGCGAGGGTCCAAGAAATGGGCTGTAAGTATAGCGTCGACGAAAAGAGGCTTCATTCCATTGCAACATATCCTTAGTGACATATTAATCTGAACGATGGTTTTAAGACCTATCCATATAGGTAAAGTCCTTCCAATCCTAGGTCATAAGTAGGTATCTGTCGTTTAGTCCCCATTCACAACATCAACCCTTCATTAATCATTAATTCCCTATACCCGCGGCTTGACCCTGACCTGGAAACCCACCGGCCTTAAGTTAAACCACCCATCCTGCTCCAACACATACCCCGGATCAACCCTCTCAAAATCAAACTCGTGAATCAGCTTCGCCAGCGTCGTCATGCTCCACTGCCAAGCCCAATGCTTGCCAATACACTCCCTCTTGCCGTTGCCAAACCACTTCTTAACCCCGGACGGCAGCTCGTCGAACGCCTTCCCCATCATGCGCTCGGGCTGGAAGGCCAGCGGCTTCTGGAACACCGTCGGATCCCTGTTCACGCCCGCGAGCACGACGATCATCGCCTGGTTGTGCGCGACCTGGTACTTGCCGCCGCCCAGCAGCACCGGCGCCTTGCTCTCGCTCGGCACCGGCTCGATGTTGAAACCCGGCGCCGCGAACGAGAGACGCAGCGACTCGCGCACGATGCCCTCCACGTACTTTAGCTGCGCCAGGTGTTCGTACCGGAACTCGCCGCCGCCGCCGCCCTGCTGCCCGATGACCGCGTCCAGCTCCTCGCGCGCCTTGGCGACGGCGTCTGGGTTCTTGGTTAGCAGGTAGATGGCCGTGGCTAGCAGCGCGGGCGCCGTGCTGCTCCCGATCGGCATCGATACGATTTCGTCGATGACTTGCGAGTCCGCGAGCGTGGTCCCCGTCTCTGGGTCTTTGGCGCTCATCATCGCGGCTAGCAAGTCCTGGCGGTCCGTCGGATGCGCCTTGCGGTAGTCTACTAAATCCTGCGCGTACGCGCGCATCGTGTTCGTCGCCGATTTGAACTTGTTGCCGTAGAAGAGCCAGTTCATGAAGCCCGGGCGCGTGGGGCGCATCATGGCTTCCGACGTCGAGTCCTCCATCCCCTTTATCATGGGATGCTCCGGCCCGGAGAGGCAGTTCAGCTTCTTGCCGAACATCGTCAGAGTCGTGGCCTCGAGGTTTAGCCTGTTCAATTCGTTTATAGGAGTTATCTCGTTGTTATCAGCGCCTAGGCCCTTCCACTTCGCCGCGAGCTCGGAGGCGCAGTCCCGCATCTCGACGAAATGGCCCTCGAGCGAGGCCGGCTGGAGCCGCGGAGCGAGGATCCGGTGCGCGACGCCCCAGCTCGGCTCGTCGTCGAAGGCCGTGAACAGCGCGTCGTGCACCGCGTACCGGATCTCGACGATCGGGCCCCCGACGTACTTCCGGAACCGCTTCTCGTCGCACAGTTCCTCGGCCAGCGCGGCGCCGGCCACGAAGACGACGGTCTTGCCGAGCACCTGGATCTGGAATATCTCGCCGTACCGTTCGGAGAGCTCCCGCAGCGACTCCCACGTGTTGGCCGGGTTGATGTCGAAGACGTTGCCCAGCAGGGGCATGCCTGGAGGCTTGGGGATCGGATGAGACATGGTGTCTTTTTTGTTGAAGAGTTGGAAAGGAGGGAGAAAGAGAGTACGAGGTATGACTTACAAGAGAGCCACAGGGCCAGAGTTTATTAATATTAAGAGGACGGATAGCTACGATGTTTCAGGTCACACCGCAACTGCATGCACACGGTACACGCCCTCTACGTCACATGTATCAGTACGAAGCCGTCTCGACTGTGCTTCCTTAGACAACTCATCGTGCAGCGGGTAAGCATGCTGAGCAACGAGACACAACGGCAAAATGGTTCTGTCCAATATCGAAATCGGCAAAGTTGTCTCGACGCTACGCGCTCAATTCGATCTATTGCTACCTACCTACCGGACTGGAGTAGCTGGATAGATCCGTCGAGTTTCCAAGATATTCGGATACAGTACGGTATAGCTTCCCATTTGCTCTATGATATCGTTGGTTTCCTTTTTCTTATTCTCTTCCCTTTCTTTTCCGATGCGCCATGTGGGGTTGTCTAATATTGAATCGACTTGGGAAGAGAATCAGCGCCGTGGCGTGCGCAAGGTATGCCGATCATGAGGGGAGTTCTGTACACTATCGGATAGAGCTGCAGGCTAAGATGCAATAGCTATGCCGCGCCTGTAACTCATTGAATCTAGCGAATTGGTGGTCAGCGAGAGCCTATCACAAGCTGGATATTTCAATACATACATGTAGCTGGAACGGGGGGGGGGTTGGTAGGGTACCAAGATAATACATGTCATTCTGCAGCGTCACATTTGATCTGAAGCGGCTCTAATGATTATCACATTTCAAACTAGGGTCTTGATATATACATGTTATAAATATCAAATCATACTTGGAATCGTAAGTCCCATTGTCGCATAGTTCTTGCTCGTAACCCCTACTAATTAGTCTTCAAATTTAACATAAATACCTACCTATGCTTGAGACATTCGAGCCCACCATCTTTCAACTTTGTCCTGCGCGGAGTTAGTTCTAGTCATTGATACAAAGTACTACCTCCAGCAAGTCTAGTTAGTGCCTAGGTACCTACTACCTTGAGAGGCATTTCAAAAATAAAATCGACATGTCGACACGTTGACCAGCAATCTTTCTTTGGTATTCTGCATTACCTAAGACAATACAGGAAGCTCAACGCAAGCGATCGTACCGAAATTTTACCTGCTCTTGCATGGCGCAGTCGTGTTGAGTTCGGCCATTTCATCTAAACTGATTATCTTCATATAATTACTAATACATAGGTACCCTTTCCTATCTGTGTAATGGCTCAATAGAGAGCGGGACAAGACGGTATTTTGCAAACGGTTTTGTGTACCTAACCGAAAGTTTCGCCATATGTATGCTGCTTGTTGGTATGGGGGAGGTATGCGGGCTAATGCTGTTACCAGTCTCGATAGATCTGATTTGAGGTTGTTTATGTTTCTCTCATGGTCAGCCGTGGAGATAGACCGGGAAGTCAGGAAATAACTGGTGGTACTTAACCACTTTCAATCGATCGTGGCCACCTCCCCAATCTATGTAGTCCTAATAGAACATCTATGCTACATCTTTTATAATCGCAGCCTTGTAGTATCCTCCTGCGAGGCGGTAAAACGTGCCTTTGGTAGCTTCACTGTGCGTACTTCGAATTCCTCAGTAGATGTTCCATCAGCTTGTCGAGGCGGCTATTCGATCTGGACACCCTTCTCCAAGATAAGGGCAACATATTTCCAGTGTGACCCCTTTTCAGATGGGACTAAATCAATGATGTGTCTAAATATTTTCCTTCGTTGATGTCAGCTTCGAGAAGTTATAGTATCATATATATTGGAATACAGGTTGAAATTACCATCACAAGTGTGTACATGATTGTAGAATGGCCGGTACGTTCGTTCTATGTAAGTAGGTAATCATACACTATTATATATCCATTGTATATTCTCCTATAAGAGCATGAAAAAGAATGGTCTCGAGTGTGTGGTCTCCGTTGATTAAAATCAGAAGTACGTTTTGGCTACGTACCATCGTTGTTTTTTTGCTTAAGAATGTATTTCTCCTAGTTTGTAGAAGTCGGTAGATAAAGGGACCATAGTTACCGTCGTTTCTACGTGAAGACGGTGACTAACTATGAGCACTGTGCACCTCCTCCAGAGTGAAGCTTAAATAGCACAGTAGAGGCACTGATTTCCATCGGCGGCACCAAATTCACGACCTCAACATACGGAGTGGTCAAGTGGATGTGTCACAGACACCACATCGTTCCTGCTTAGTAACGGCGCCTCTGAGATGGGGATGGCCTAGGGTTCGATTCCTACAGAACACAATCTTAGGATCTTGAAAAAGAGTGGCAAAGAAATTCCCAATAGCGGGGGCGCAGTAGCTAAGAGCCGATCAACAGATCTTAGGCTGGGCCTTGAAGAGGGTTCTCTTTTTCACCTTTCTATAGTAAGTATTTTTCTGTCATCTGCTGTCACGATGCCCCTGGCAGGGGAAAGGGGCTAGATAGGGGTTATTGAGTTGCCCACCAACCAATCATCTTACACGATTCATCCACCATCCAGAACAGAGCACGATTGGAATAGCCATCCTTGTTTTCGCCTCATATTTTTATTCTCTAACCCATCCAATCGGAGATATAACCATTCACAATCATTTGCAGACATTAGCGACGCTTGGTAAACAGAGAATATTCTCTGAATTTTCTATGTACCTAATCGAATTGAACCCATGGGCTTGGTTCCCATTTTTGCTTGAAACCCTCCATGCATGTATATGTTTACACCTATGCTATAACCAGTTCAATGCCTCGATGACAAAACTGCCAGAGCTGAATACCTATTCGAAGAAAAGAAAAAAGACCCAATGCCCCAGCGCCCCGTCCTGAAAACCCCCTAAGTAAATTTTGGTGTGCACGCCGAAGCGAAAGCTAAAACAGTCGCCACTGGACGTAGAATATCAAGTACAGCACTATGCCAGCGAGTAGTATAATCTCGAGGATCTGCGCGCCAACATTCATCATCTGGCGCCTATTCCGCCTCCGCGAGCGCGTGATGAAGTCCCTGTTGTCATTGACGTTCGGGAACGGCACATCCTTGGGCACGGGCTCGCCGAGGAACCGGCACAGCGGCTCCCAACCATCAGTAACTCTGTATTCCAGCAGGCGGTCGGCGGGCACCATCTTCTTGACGTCCTCGTAGTGGCGGGTGAAGATGTGCTTGCCGCGGTTGGGGAAGTCGCCCTCGAAGAAGGTGTCGAAGAACTTCTTCAGCATGGGGTAGTACATTCCCGCGGCCCAGCTGAAGTGCGACAGGAGCCGCAGCTCCGGGTCGGTCGCGCGCCAGTAGACGGTGCGCATCGTGCTCGCGTGCCACGAGTCGACGTCCCGCCCCGTCAGCACCACCTTGGCCTCCGGGTACGCCTCGATCAGCTCCTTGGCGAACGCGCACGCCGGCCAGTCGCACACCGCCTGCGAGTTGCCGAGCAGCTTGTCCCAGTCCTTCCGCGTGAAGGGCTCGCCCACGCCGTCGTACTTGGCGCGCAGCGCGTCCATCCAGAGCAGCGCGTCCGGCGGGTTCTCGATCGAGCAGCTCATCATGTGGTATGTGTCGACGTAGCCGAGCTGCTTCATTGCTGCTCTCATGGCTGTGGGGGTGGGCGGTGGTTAGTATACTCTTGGGGTCTCGGGATTGGAATTGGATTAGATTAGGAGGGGGAGGTGGAATGTGAAGGAGAGAAGGAGAGCCTTACATGTTGTTCCTGTTCGTCCGCAGCCGAGTAGGAGGACCTTCATGGGAACTGTTCGGGTACATTGCCGCCTGTCAATGTCTGTGTCGGCGGTGAAGATGTCCGTTATGGGCTTTGACTTGTATTTCGAGGCGTAGGCCATTTTGTCGAGGTTTTTGTTCTCTATTTTGATACTGGTACGAAAGTTCGAATGATCTCAAAAGGGTATATGGGCTATGAAAGTTCAAAGACAGAAATTATACTATGGGGTATCTTGAAGGAAAATATCTAGCACTTCCGGTAATAGGAGAGGTAGTGTACAGGAATAAGGCGGTCTGAAGTGTCGAGAGTAAATAATCTATGTTGCATGGGATGCTTCAGTGCAAAGCCTCAAGTCTTCTATAGATCTTAAGAACTACTCGTCTCCGCGGTCGCTCCCCTTTTACTGTAGATCTACATATATGTATGGAACAGGTTTCTTAACCCCTGACTTACATTAGCGAAGATAGATCCTATATCTCGCCTATCCGCCTTACCTAGGTAGGTACCTACGTAAGGACTACGAGTACGTTGCAAAGAGGTCCAGTTAAAATGTCCAATATGTTTCGATAAGTCTCTCCAGCACATTACTTAATAAAAAGACTACGTATGTGCATGACATTCTCGACCCCAATTAGGGTCGAAACAGCTCTATCTGGCAGTGATTGGATTGCAAAGCCACAATGTAACGACGATATTAGTGCCGTTTGGGCGTGATGAATGGTTTTATCAGATCTAATTTTGCCTACTAAGCTCCGAGCGGCTGGTTCGGTAGGCCCATACTTTCAAGTCTAGTATTGAAGCGGGCTGAAACTCCACATCGAGCACCATGACGCGGCAAGGCCAATGAAATCTCAATTTTTAGCAACTATTTTGATGACGAGGACGCCACTTGAATCGTGAACGGATGAACCTAGGTACTGTATGAGAATGCGACAGATCGCGAACCGCTAAACGAGTTGCGGTTTTGAAACCAGGGGACGGAGGACGCGTAACCGTGATGGACCCGGCTTAATCCCGCGATGAGCCCGGGTCATTGGTGGAGGACTCTGCTACGAATGGGGGTGATGGGGGGGTGCAGAATTTCTAGCGTCTTTAGACGTTTCACTTTTGGTTATTAGAGCGCCTATACAACGAGTCCACGATAATTTCTAGTCATTCGATAATAAGAGTAGTTTCGTTGCTGATGTGAATTAAAATTTTGATAACTAGCAACCAGCAGTAGTCCTTAGACTGATACTAGTAAGTTGATCTTTTGCGATCAGTTATAATAGTCTATGTAGAAGTCAGTTAGTCGAAGAGAATAGAAACCCCGAATAGCTTACGCGTACTGTTGCAATCCACGTTGGATGTGACGACATCTGATTTTTTGCGAGATAACGATGCTACGACCAACATTTCCAAGTGAACGCACTCAGAGAAATTTGCACAAAGCCTGTGGAGGCCTCGTCTAAGTCGTTAGTAATCAGTTGAAGTCGAAAAAGAGTTGGAAATTGAAACAATTGCAATTGAATTACAACATCAAATCCGACGATTGCAACATCGGACTGAATAGGAAGATCCACCGCTTAAGCTTCTAGTGTCTTGGCGAATCGAAACAATTTGGCGAATGCAAACAGTGATAGGGATTGAAATTAAAGGCGCCGACGTTCATTTCCAACTTCCGGATTTAATACTGGGTTTTCAGGAGACAAACTCGATGAGCAAGTGATCGTGAGTCGGCATCTCCAAGGAACGGTGAGCATGCAAGACATGCCGCGCAATGCTTCGGAAATGAATTGGACATCAGATGACTTTCTTGGAAGTCAGCAACCCTCGTGAGAGCAAAGTCTTGGCAAAGGGTTGTAGGGTTGTAGGGTTGTAGGGTTGTAGTGTTGCGGAGTTGTAGATGTTGTCCTACTGAGACATGAGAGGTTACTATGTGTTGCTATGTAGTATGCTGCAGCATGCAGTCAGTCTATTGTCACTTTGGAATGCACTAAGAGTCGAATGGTGATGACTTCAAAAACATAGTAAATTCATGTTGTAGTCTAGTTCTAAATATTTTAACTATCTTCAGTCGAAACTCGCTGGTAGGCTTTCCGCCGGGTATTCCATGCAATTATTCCCATCCGTAAAAGTGCTCCTATGCCCAAAACTCCACCACATGCCAACGCGATCTGCGCTATCCAGACCTCGTCGTCCGTGAAGTTGAATCCGTATGTGTATTGCAGCTGCGTCGGGTCAATCGCCGGTCGTTGTGGACTTAGGGGTGAGACTAGGTCCGGACTCACCTCGTCCTTTATGGCTTGTACGTCGAGCGGCTCGCTGCGACCTAGCATGTGTCCTTCCGAGTGCACAGCTACCGCTCTCAAGAATGAAGGATACGATTTGCGTATCTCGAATGCTGTCTCGAATCCCGTCCTCTTCGTTCGGTTAAGTTCCCTCCATTCTTCTTCCGTAGCATTGGAACTGTTAGACCCCTGAAGAATCCACTTCGACACTTCCGTCGCGCCGTTCCAGCTCACGAAGAAGTTCCAGCTCCTCGCGCTGTTTATTCGAAGCGCCGACGAGGGAGTCGTCCTCGGCCACCCGTGCCACTCGTACTTGTACACGCGATATGATTGCACCTCCGCCGATCCGAATCGGCTCTCCGGCCCGAAGTGCGTGTCGCAGAGGACGTCGCCGTTGCTCGCGAATTCCGTAAATGCTGCGGAATTACCGTAGCCCAAGAGAACATTGCCGTTGGATAATGACTGGAAAGACCCTTGCGAAATACCGTGGATCTTGTGCGGGTTGAAGTATTCGGTCACCACCTCGACAGTCATGTTTTGTTCGTCGATCTTCAGTTTCAGACCCCGGGTATCCGCGATGTCGCGATGGACATCATCGACACCATTGTCGAAGATCGTGATGGTGTCGTTGCCGGACCATCGCGCATCGTGTTGGTAGGCGAAGTTTGTCGCCGTGCCATTCGACAAGTCTCGGAACATGTTTCTCTTCCCGCCAAGAATCCATATTACTTCGCCAGTAGTACCGTCGATGTATGTTAAGGCATGCATATACCGACTCGAGGTAAGGTAGTTGCCCCGTGCATCTTTGTCGATACTATTCATGTGGAAAAAGTCATACGCACGATCGCCCTCCCCGTCGCCGCCGATCTCTTTGTAAGTATCGACTAAATTCCAGTGATCTAGCGCCCGCCATTGGAATACCGCGACTCCTGTTTCCAAGTCAATTTCTTGGATGAGACAATCCCATACGGGTCCGATATGATTCTTCCCGACTTCAGTCAGATCTCGTTGGACAATTTCGTATACTGTGATTAGAGCAGTCCCACTCTCAGTGATTCGAAAGTCGTGCAAGTCAGCATCTAACCCATATGCTGCTCTCACTTCTTTAAATAATGTATATGTTTTGTCCAGCTGTCGTCTGTTATTATCGATGCCCTGTGATCATGTTGAGTTCGGGTATATATATCTTACCATAATTATGGTGCCAGCGCCATGTCCACCAACGGCATCGTTGCCCGCCCAGAAAGTCAAGTACTTTTCACCTTTGTACTCCTGTACCATTAAATTATATAATTGCTGCCCATTCCATTCCGAAGTCCATATTAAATCTCCATTGCTGTCAAGAATAGTAGTTTGCGGTTTTCTCGTGGCGCCTCCTCGTGGGGTTAGAAGGGTGTATAGCGAAGACTCGCATAGCTTGCTATGCTGCAGTACATCGAGCTTGGGCACCTCCAACTCGGCAGCCGACTTGAACACTGTTAAGGGATGCGCGCCATATGCATCGTGCTCATAACCAAAATCGTAGGAACCGTCGGTAGGTTTAGACGGTCTTCCGCTGGCAACGCCGACGGCGACAAGAAAGAAGGCCCATGACGACCACATTGTAGAGTTGTATTACCTCGCCTTACATCGATATCGACATCAACATCGGAAAGGCATCAACAGAAATAGAAAAAGGGGTTTCACAAAGAGGGTGTGTGAAATTTGATGAGCACCGGGATACTGGGGACATTCCACATAATGAACATTACATCCATCACACATCCCTTCGACATAATTCTAAACCTCCTACTCCTATCGCTATGCATGCTACGTAACTCAATGATACGTACATTGGTCTGATCCCACATATTGTCGAGGCCAATGATAGGACGGACTACTTTAGAATATTTTTTCTAAGCATAGCTCAGCAGCTCAGGTGGCTTGTAAGTGGTGTTTCGAAACGGTGATTACGATTTCTAGCACGGCCCCAGGGTGGTATGGCATGGGTTTCGGGACCTGGACCGTGGCAGCGTGGTAGCAGTTTGGAGTCGACTCGTCCCCACAATGCTATTGGAATCAAGCATTGCGTCGACACGCGGCCTGCTAAGATCTTTTTCCAATCTAGGGCGGCGGCTCCACGCCCACCTTTTTTTCTAACCACATCCCGGTCAGATTCATAACTTCCTGAGGCGCAAATGACATCCTGTACAATTTTGTGGGCGGGCCAACCAGTGGCTGCTGCTGGTCGCCTGCGCAACATGCGACGCTTACGCAGTCTCGATATTCGATGCCGCGCAGTCGGCGATAACGTGGGCGGGTGCTGCGTACGTAGTTTCTACGTTAAGTGGCGGGAGACCTCGGAGTCTACCAAATCCATCTTTTGTTATTATTCTCTGAATGCCTCCTTATGTAGGTAGGTGTTATAATACTATTGTATCCATACTATTCATCTTCATATTCTTGCCGAATGTTGAAATTATTGTCTACTAATCAGTGTGCGCTCTGATTGTCTTCTATTGTGTCTCTTTTTCTTTTCTTTCATTTTACCTTTCGAGTTTCATGTCCCTCTTTTGACATCATTACACTATTACCATTACCATTACCGACGATTTTTGTTTCTCTTGGCGTGTATCATAGTATACCTAGGAAGGTGACCATGGAGAAACGCGTGGGCCAGATGCGGCTTGCCAGAACGACGTCAATAGACTTGGCAACTATGGAGAAGAGAGCAGCCGAAAGCAGGTTACCAGCGCCGGGAGAGTTCGATATAGATAGCGACAGTGTCAGCGACGCCGAGTCTCTGAAATCAAAGAGCGGCTCGACAGAAACGACATGGATGTCCTTACCTAGAAAAGACCAATTAGCGATCCTATTCCTCTGCCGACTGGTCGATTTCCTACAAGTTGCATCCTTACAGGCTTATGTCTTCTTCCAACTGAAGAGCCTTGACGGCACTCTCTCCGACGCCCAGGTCTCGAGTCAGGCTGGAATATTACAAGGTGCTTTCACCGGTGCGCAAGTGTTGACCGCATTCCTCTGGGGTAAAGCTGCGGATGCTAGCTGGTGTGGTCGCAAGCGGGTTCTCCTTATTGGACTTTTCGGCACAGCCATATCGTGCTTGGGCTATGGATTCTCGACTAGCTTCGCATGGGCTGTATTCTTTCGCGCTGCAGGGGGCGGCATCAATGGCACTGTCGGAATAATGTAAGTTGAAAACCACGTTTAGAATATCTCCTAGATTGCGCCATCTAATCCCACTTAGACGGACCATGATTGCAGAGATTACTGTAGAAAGGAAGTATCAGTCGCGAGCTTTTTTGATACTCCCTATTAGCTTCAGCGTAGCGAATACACTTGGACCTTGTAAGTCATTCGCACCACCAACATCATCATTTTGATTCTAACCCTCTTTTAGTGATGGGAGGTCTGCTAGCAGATACCTCAAGGAGTCTTCCAAGTCTCTTCGGCGAGGGTGCATGTTTTGGGTTCGACTGGATCCAAAAATACCCCTATGCGCTGCCAAGCGTCCTCAACGCCATCACACTAACTATTACGACTTTAATCGTGTTTTTCGCCCTCGAAGAAACATCGAGCAAGAGGAAGGGTAAAGAAGACGTCGGACTACGCCTTGCATCCCAAATAAAGGGATACATATTCGGAAAGTCCGTTCAGGAGTATGGCTTTTTCAAACTCCAACCCTTAGATTCTCCCGACTCCATGTCAGAACCTAAGGATAGCGAAGACGAATCATTTCCTCCTATTTTACAACAACCTAAGCGAGACGGACGAACACTGCCGTTCAGTCGTGTATGGACGCGAAACGTTATCTTCACTCTTATTACCGAAGCTTTCTACGACTTCCAGCTCGGTGCCTTCACAAACCTATGGACCCTCTTTCTATCTACGCCCCGCTCTTCATTGGAACAGGCGGCATCCCGATCGCTTCCGTGGGTATTCACCGGCGGCTTGGGTATGCCCGCCGCGACAGTCGGTCTCGCGACATCCATCCTAGGAATTCTAGGCATGGCTCTTCAGATTTTCTTATATCCCCCGGTCCATGCGCGTCTAGGAACTCTCCGTGGATTTCGGTGGTTTTTACTCCTATTCCCCGTGGCGTATTTCCTTGCGCCGTATCTTGCGGTCCTTCCTTCATCTACTGAATCGCCCGCGCCCGCATCCGGTCCCGTCATTTGGCTTTATATGACCCTGGTCCAATTACTCCAAGTTATGGCGCGCACCATCACGCTGCCGGCTAGCATCATATTGCTGAACAACTGCAGTCCGCACCCAAGCGTGCTGGGCCTCGTCCACGGCCTCGGACAGAGCGTCTCAGCCGGTTTCCGGACAGTTGGTCCCGTCGTTGGCGGTTGGTGGTACGGCGAAGGCCTAGAGATGGGAATGGTCGGCGCAAGTTGGTGGGCCGTTGCCCTAGTTTCTGCTCTGGGATGCGGATCTGCGATGTTTATTTACGAAGGGAGCGGGCATGAAATCCTCCTCGAGGGTGAGGAGGATGAGAAACTTTTGGAATAGGGGGCGGATAGGGATAGGGATAGGGATACGGACGGCCGGTTTTTTATTCACGGGATTATTCATGGGATGGCATATACCCTGGCTAGGGACCTCGTAAAGAGGCGGGATTCACTATGTTCAACTTGCATAAGCATTAGCATTAGCATATGACACATTTAACACTGGATTACTTTGTCTATTGGACGAAACATCTGATGTAGCTGGCGATGATGATGCCACCTCGGTTTGTAAACGTGCATCTCCACATAACAAGCCTTACAGCTCGTTTCATTGCCCTTGGCACCCCAAAGACGTGATCGATGACGCTAGAAATAGATTTCCCAATTAGGGCTTATTCGCGGATTGGATTGGAGCGCATCTCGAGAGGGACCAGGTTCTCCGCAATGACCAGCTCGTATATACCAAATTGAGTAGAGTGGAGTCAGGAACGGCGTCGCCAAACCGGGTTTACTGTAGCATCACCACGGACGTTGCCGCTATAATTACTCCAATTTCTCCGTCCACTGAACGACAGTTGGAGATCTTGCGATGGCATCCACTCCTGTGCCCACATCTTGCCGAAGATGCCTATTTATTCTGCTCTAGGAAATGCCATTGGACAATTGAATGTTCCTGTAAAGTTCACGCAGGACAGGTAGTAAATTCCGATTTCTCAAGATGCACGCGCCCTCTATTCTGCTTGCCGCGGCTTTTGCCGGCGTCGCAATCGCGAGTCCTACGCCACGAGCAACTGAATATGTCGGATACCTTATCTCGACCTTCAGCGATGCCGTCCCAAAGGTCCAATTCCACCTCTCAGAGGGCAACAGCGCAACAGAATTCAGCTTTTTAAACGGTGGAAATCCTGTCCTGACTTCGACCGTGGGGTCGAAGGCCGTGAGAGACATCTTCCTCGCGACGAACTCTGCCCGATCCGAGTGGTATCTTCTTGGCACCGGTACGTACTCAGATCATTCAAGTCCAAGGTCCATTTCGTTCTAGCTAATTGTCGAACAGACCTCGATGTTGAAGCAACAGGGTTTTCATGGGACGTGGCCACACGACAGGGAAGCCGCGGCATCGTCGTTTGGAAATCGACTGATTTGGTCAACTGGTCCGGATCTTCCTTAGTAACGTGAGTAATAATCTCTTTCACTTGACGGTTTCTATGGTTTCTAAAAAGCAATGTGCCATGCAGTGTCGAAGCGGATACCGCAGGTATGGCCTGGGCTCCTTCAGCCGTCTGGGACGATGAGACATCCCAGTATTACGTATTCTGGTCATCGCGCGAGTACGCCGAATCCGACACCGCCCACACCGGCAGCGCGACGCTCGACAAGATTCGGTATGCGACGACCAAGGACTTCGCGACCTTCAGCGCGCCGCAGGACTACCTAGCGATCTCCAACACCCCCATAATCGACCAAGAATTCCAGTACCTCGGGACGCCGGGCAACTTCGCCCGCTTCTACAAGAACGAGACGACCCAGCAGATCGTCGAGGACATTACCACAGGCGGCCTGTTCGGCACCTGGACGAACATCGGGTACGCGACGACGGATATCCCGCGCGAGGGCCCGGCTAGCTTCGCGGATAACGTGACGCCTGGGCTGTACCATTTGCTCGCGGATGATTACACAGAGTACGTGCCCTACGAGTCGACGAATATCCGCGCCGGAGGCTACACGGCGTCGAGCACGAACGGCTTTCCTTCGGGGTTGAAGCATGGAAGCGTGACGCCGTTGACGCAGGCTGAATATGATGCGCTCGCTGCCGCGTATCCCGCATAAAGAGCATGTGGAAGGTTGTTTTTGTTATATATTAGGTATGGATAAATTTAATTATATAAGACATATGTTCGTAATTGATCGCACGGGCTATTTGCGAGTGTTAGACTGAAGTAATGTATTGACAACCCCTTTCCGGTCATGTGATATTCCCTATTCTGACCGCAACGCGAATTCTTAACGTATATAATAGACATAATATCCAGGCGTTTTGCCTATTTAAACTATTTATTCTTTTATACTCTACACCATTGAGTCAGTGGGTAAGTCACTCATCGATTTGTTGTCTCGGTACGCCTTTGTAACTATGATCATAGGATCTTACACCTACATCCTCCATATCTATGCAAAATGCTGACCTACCTGGTATATATCATAGTGCCTTCACAAGGAATCACATTAAATCCTCATATGACAATGATCAAATAATTGGTCTATGGTCCAACAAAGTATTCAGAGTTGCAACGAGGTTCAGTTTGATACTGGGAGAAAAAAAAGCACATTGTAGTCAAGCAAATATGTATCAATTATTTGTATTTCGTACAAGAATGTTGCTTAGGTAGAAATTGTTCAATGTAATAGTAGTTAAGTACTATTAGGCCTTAACCTCATAGGATTCGAATGCCCTTGATATTTATGGGACTATTTGGTTCAACGTCTGGTCGAGGCATATTATGTGAAACCTGCTGAGAACTAACGCTCAGGAGAATAGACAAAAGACTCATGTATGCATACCGTGTGCCTAGGGGAGAGTATTTCGGAAGGCTTTATATAGCAACTCTTCTTTTCGCGCCCATTAAGAGAAAAGGGGACGTCAAATGATAAGCAGTTACACTAATAACACAGCATCTGTATAAAGAGCTCAATATGATTAGAAAGCAGTGCGACAGTAAAAGGAGACTTAGCTACATACCTACCCAAGTATAATCCTAGGACGCGTCAACAGGTCATTCCTCGCTGCCCTTGGGGTTGACACAGTTTCCTAGGAAGTTCCTAAAGTCCTTTCTCTTTTCCTTTTCCTTCACAGAAAAGGGGCCACCAGGAGCATTTATATACAGATATGAGTGGACTGTACCCTTGAATATACAATATCCTTTTGACTGCTACACCATCAGGAGATACCCGAAAACTTGAGGAGTTTTATGTCTTATCTATAATGAATTCCCCATTCATTGCGGGCGAAGGTAGGTTTTCTTTATTTTTGATTACCCTGTTATTCTTCTTAGTCACTTCCCCGCTAACGTTAATTATTTAACATGTGTTCCCATACTTATATAGCCAATTTTCTAACATACCTCATGCTCTATGGAGCAGTAGCAAGAAGGAAAGAAACACAGGCGATAGTTTCACGTCGCCATATATAGGACGTAAGTGACGTCTTATCTTCCACACAAGCCGTTAATAAGAAGCGAATTCTCATTACGGACCGCACACTCACATTTGCGCCGGGTTTCTCTACTGTATTGAAATACCAGTTATCTAGCGTTGAGGCCTGAATTCAAGAGAAGGCTCCTAATCAACAAGACTTGGCTTGTCACCATTCGTTCATATGTTGAACATTACAGCACGAATTACAAGCTCTATAGCCATACCAAAGCTCATCAAGCAGAAGCAGTAGCTGGTGGCGGGCTCAATGAGAAATTAGTCACTGGCGTGGCTCTGACCGCAATGGCGGCAGCACGAAGCCCATGGGACGCATTCTGGAGCATATCATCGTCACATCAGCTGGATACTGTGGCCGATATCCATCCCACAAGTCAAGATACTGGACGAAGCTGACTGAGTCCAGCTGGAGCTAGAACTAAAGAACACGGAGAACTGATGAAACAGCTGGGAGCAGCTGGGGTGACAGTGCTCTTTGCCTAGTCTGATGACTATTCTTGAGCTCTCAACACATTCTCCTTCCCTCCTAGATGGCCGTCGACAGGACCTAGGCTACAAACAGTCGTATTATAGCTGCTAGGTCCTATCTGCCAGTGATTACCACCAACAGCCCGGGGGATGGAAAGGAAATCTAAAACTATATAATCCCATTGTCAACTTCCACTCATTTCTTCTTCTCGCACCACAACAATCTCTCACCTCACCCAGGTACGGCCTTCTACTTTATTCGGGCCTGACCTCAAACTTCACAAACCCACCCAGCACAACACCCATCAACCACTCGAGAGTAATCTCATCATCCAAGCAAATACTTCAATCTTGTCTACCTCATTCAAAAATACTGCTTCGAAGGATAATTGTCAAATTGACAGATATCTTCTTCGCAATGGATCCCACTCACGGCTTCAACGCTGGAGGTAAGTATTCTCAATATTTCTCAGCTTCGTGATATCGCATGTCGCAGCATAACTTTCGCAAGAAAATTATTTCCGGGTCATTTCCTATGTTTTCGTATTATTTTACTAAGGTCTATGTCTTTGCTAGGCTACCTCGTGACCACTGAAGCACAGCCCGTGGCCACTGTTTATGCTCCTGCTCCGGCATCTCAGTATTATCCCAGCCCCTTCATGCGAGTCAACCAGTGGCTACACGCCACCCACCAGCAGTATGCTGTGCCTGGTTTTCCACAGGATGGAAGTCATGTCGCTGCCGGTCCCTCAGTCCAAGACAACCTGGCCCAGAACCAGCAGCTGGCTCAAGGCTACTATGCCCAGCCCGGACAGTACCATGGTTATCAGGCCCAACCTGGCCACGCTCAAGCTGGCAATCTTCAAGGCGACCTTGCTCAGGGCAATTCTGACAATCAGAAACGCCGCAAGATCAAAAAGGGCAGACGTGCCCTCAACAAGCGCAAGGGTTCTGCCAACGAGAACGAGAACTCTGCCGACGAGGTTATGCCTCTTGTGCGCTGCCGCCTCTGCTTGAAAGTATTCAAGTCGTGGAACAACCGCGCTCGTCACATGCGAGCTGTTCATATTGGCACAAAGTGCTACCAGGCTGGATGTGGCAAGGACCTCGGCAGTGAGAATGGTCTTTCTAAGCATCTGACTGAAGAGCACGAGAAGGCGGCGAGGGCTCTCGATGGCGACATACTCAAGTGCCGCTGGGGAGAGTGTGAGCGACACTTCAAGAGCAATGCGGAGATGCATCGTCATCTCAAGAATCACAACGGCGATGATGGAGGTAAATAGATTGGCACCATATCATTTGATACCTAAGAATCAAGCTAATAAGGATTACTAGGCCTCCCTCTCGAGTAAATTTCTCGTGGCAAGATACGCAGTCTAACGAGCAAGAGAACCGAATTTCTAGGAGGATGATATTGGGTCGTAGGATGACGGGCTTGGGAAGGTGATAATTGGAGGCGGCTAGTGTCAATCAGGTATCACCCGCTTTTTGATGAAGAGACCGCATTATGATGGGTACCATCAATTGGTGGCAGTATACAGACCATACATAGCCTTCATAAATTCCCATGATGATTCTTATATGACTTCTCTATGACCTTTTCGATTCAATCCATGCCCCATAGGTAAGGTTATAGGTATTTCACCGTGCTTTTTGGAATTATCTCCTTGACTAGCATAAGTCAATGGCTAGGGATTAAAGGTAGGATACTGCTAGTAAACTAGATATATTATACTGGAAGTCTCAATACGTAGAAAGCACACGTATTTACGCTTAATCTGCCTCGTGTGCCAGTTGTACCAGCAACGCTCTGCATTATAAACTAGTGCTCCTCGACAACCAGACTCTGGGTGCTTAAATGCGTTCTACCCTCTAATCTCTGATTTCCGACTTGTACCAGCCAAGTAGATATGTACCTTCAATCGCTCATCTCTTAGGAATAATATTGAGCTACGGATTCTAGGTATTGCGACGGCAAGCTTGGTGATAGGGCATAGAGATAGGGGTTTAGGGGTATTCTCCACTCTTTTCTGATTACTAATCCATCTCAAAATCAGATACAAGGTTAAATGGATCAACTTTCTGTAGATATGACTTGATTTGAATTAATTGAATGTGGCTGATATTTACTGGTTCGGTTTGCAAAGTGTAGTGCTGCAATCAGGACGTGATGCGTCACTTGACACCTGCTCGGGCGGAAACCCAGCTGTCCTAGGCAGCTGTATCGTACATACCCGTAAGTATTAAACTTTCCCATCTGGCAAATGACTACCATCAGTAGCCTACCAGGTACGAGACGAGGAAATACTATATATGGATCAGTACAACTCCGAGAACTTCTACTTCCCTTCTTTTTTTTATCACCGTCGTGGCCCTACCTTTTTGTTGACACATTTCTCAAGTTCCTACTTTCGCACAAACTCCTTGCTGAATATTTATCGCATTCTAACACGAAGCCATTAAGCCGTGAACGACTTCATTAAAGTACGCGAACGCATCTTACGGACCAAGATGAATAAAGATCAGCGCGGCACAGGTAAGCATTGTTGATATTCTTCGATTCCCTTCATATCTTCCTGCCCCCTTCACGTCCCTCCAGTCAGCATGTTCATTGGCAAACTTCATTCATCCTTTTATACTATGCTTTACCACTGTTCTATAATCATACAAAATACTTCTTTATGCTCCTATGAGTATTTTACTGACATCTATACCCTTACTAGAGCCCGCTGACTTCGGCCAAACACAGCCCGTGGCCACTCCTCGCGAGCCTGCTTAGGCAGCTCAGGCTCGCGAGGATGGTCGCGCGGCGCACTCACCTTCGGTCGAGAATGGAGCTACAAGCGTTAACGCTTCTCAACTCCCACACCCACGTGTGATGCCTATGCTGCAGTCACCGCCGGCAGTGGCACCAGAACCAGAACCAGCACCAGCACGACTGCGTTCTGTCTGGTCTATCCCCTTATCACCTTCACCAGCCCCACCGCAGACACGACGACCACTTCCGCAGCATGGAGCGCACTCGACAGCAGCCATCCAAGGACAAGGCCCCAAGAACAAGCCTCGTCCAGTTTGTGATCTTTGCCACAGATCATTTGCATCGACCACGACGCTTAAGAGCCATCGCAAGACCATCCACCTAGGAACCACTTGCAACTGGGGCACATGTCAACAACGATTTAATAACCCCGTCAAGCTAGCCTCTCACCTCCGAGCACACCAGATCACCGCGGCTGTCGGCGACGAACCTGGTCAGTTCCTATGCCATTTCCCTGGCTGTACTCGACACTTCCCCAACTGGGGTGAGCTGTGGCGACACATCAGACATCACAATAGCCCAACTTAAGATGGCCCAGGTATATAAATAAGCTCTACAAAATTACACGTTGATAATTAGCTAACTAGCCGTTAGGGTTCAATGTAGATGTGTTCTATGCGAAGGAATGAAAGATGGAGGAACAAGGTCTTTGGGGTTTTCTGTTTGTTTAGCTGCAATTTTGCAGCATTCATGTGCTTATGATCAACACTCGGCATTCAGTTAATAAAAAGAACACTGCTCTTCGGGTTCCCAATCACTTTATTTACTTCGTAAGGGACCCTCTAAGGTCCTTCTAATAGTACGGCGTAATAAGTAATCCAGTGGGTGAAAGTTAGCTACAGTAAGTTAGGTGTTTGGAATACAGGTACTTCAGGGAACCATATCACATATTAAACCCTATCTGTCAGCGATGTCAGTGATGTGAATGAACGACTGGGTTTAAGTCATCACCTAAGAGACAATGTATCCTTGGATCACTATAATTCGGATAAATTCCCACTACAATTTTGCCCCTCGTACATCTACTCTAAGGTACCTTATCAGGCTTCTATCAGTATTATCTATTTATTTCTCCGGGGCCAACTCGTCTTTCTAATTTTCTACTAATTTTTAACGTTCCTATCAGGATCTCATCCTTCATCTTCCCAAAACATGTCCCTTGGACGTAAACAAAATCACCATTTTGCACGACCACTTTATACACAAACATTCACCAATAATGAAAGGTGCATAGAGGTATCCGTAAAGGTAAGCATCATTCATTTTTATTCATCCCATCTAGTAGTATGCTGGACTTTTCGACGGTCTCTTAACCTCATAAGCCGCTTTTTTGTATGATGACTGCATATCTTTCTGACGTTCACGTTTTCTTAGGACCTAGTTTTTCCTTTATCGCACGACACTCTGGCTCTACCCTCCCTACCTAGGGAGGACACTCCAGACGTCCTATGCGCGAATCGGTGCGCGTCGATATACATAGGTACGCTTCGGTGGTATTTACGTCCCTCAGACGTTAAAAAGCTCATCATCTCACCAGTTTTTAGAACCTACTGCTACGACTACTAGTCCTCTGGACTGAGTGGGCGTATGCACTCCGGCTTATTTAGCCAGGAGACATTCTGCCAAAGTGCAGATCATTTGATCTACAGAAAAGGGCGCAAGTCGAATGGCAACCGCGCTCGTCACATGCGAGCGGTTCACATTGGCACAAAGTGCTACTGGGGAAGATGTGATCAAGATCGCTGCAGACGATCTTGCCCAGGTGTCGGGGACATCCATCTTTAGTCGGGTGGAACACAATACTCCACCCCGTCGACAATTCGATGCTTCTGCGAGAGTGCAATATTGCCAAATCATCGTAAAGAGACTCATTGTAAGCCTTTCCAGCCTGTGCAAGCACCTAGGTACTTATTATAGTGTATGGTTTGCTAACGTCTATCAACTTGCAAGGCACTGTCTCTCCCCCATAACCTAAACGAGAACTCTGAAGAGCTCGACAGGAAAGACAACCTTTACAAGCACCTCAAAACTCCCCACGGGGTAGCAACCGTGTCGGAGGCCTAGTTCATTAGAGGACTAGTAGCTAGGGATTTAGCAAGATGGGAGTTTGGTCCTATTGAAGGCTAGCTCTGGGACAGAGTAGACAAAGGGCATTTCCTGTATATATACCGTGTCTCCTAGGCGAGAGTAGGTTAGGAGCTGCTCATCAACGAATATTGTTGTTTCCACACTATTTGGTTCCACATCGTGACATCTATGCCACAGGTTTGATTGCGCTTGGCGTCCTAGTAAGGTAAAACGGTGAATCTTCGCGTCACCTTGAAATCCTCGATATCATAGCAAAGGAAAGGCAGGTAAGAGCCCTAGTTCTACATAGATTTACTGGCTTATACATTTAATAATCAACTACCTTGTAGGTTTCAGGTATGAACGTGTTCCCCATGGAAGAGCAGCGTTTTCAAAGAGATCTTCGATAGTTTGGCTACTACTAGTTGGCGGCATGTTTGTAGGGAACTTGGCTGGATTTCTGATTAATCGGGCGTCACTATGCCCTTGCTGTCTGGCTCTTTGGTTTACCTAGTATTTTGTAAGGTCCGCCGTAAGTACGGCGTAATAATGTCCATGGCTTGCTCCAGACAGCGTTTGGTGAAATCAGACGAACAATCACTCAGCTATTACTCACATAGCTTAGTTGCATAGATACTTGTTCTACGTACATATGATACGATGCTTATATATATATATCCAAGATTCGTTGGTGCGCTTTTCGTCCACGAAATTATTAGATCGGAAGGGTACTTGCATTTGTATTGGGAAATGTACTATATAGCAGGTATACGCACGATCAAGGTATATGAAAAATAGTTGAGTGGGTCTCTGTCTGATTTTACGGACTGCCAGGCAGCCGTCAGTCTGCCAGTGAACGCCAGCCAGCTACGAGACCGTATCTACCTAGGTACATGGTACTTATATAGATGCCTACAACTCTGATAGTATTTTTTTTATTTAATCGTCCCACTCCCATCTTTTTACCTTGCTAATCCGCGATAAAAGATTTTCTCACGCTGCTGTCTATTTTTTTCTCGGAAGCCAACCTGTACCTCAACTTTCCTTCCTACTTCCATTCACCAATCTCACCACAACTTCTTCTTGCTATCGTCAACAAATCTTTTTTTTGTAGACGCGAAGCTCCAGAAAACTTACCTGACGAAATCCGTCAACAAAAAAACCCGTGCAACATACCGACGGAAGTAAGTATTATTGTCCTTCTCTTCTTTGACTTGAATATTGTCATCTTCATATCCCTCAGATTTTCAAGATCATCCACCGACCACCAACTTTGGTGTGCAACCATTTCACGCCCTGGCAGGCTAATTTCCTACTCTCGTAATCATTTTACTGACATTGAGATTTTTGTTAGAATCTACTCGCGCTATTAGCGATATCTAAGACCGAACAAAATGTCCTTTCCTGTTCAGCAGCCGGACGTCCAGTCGGACCCATCTTTTGATGGCCGTATCATCAGCACCACCAATGCCAATCCCGAAGAAGCGAGTATCTCCTTTTCCGCAGAGCCCGTGTAGGTTACCAAGGCTCTGCGAAAAGGACGCACTCCTCTTCCGTGGAAGGTGCACCCCAATGGTCACATCATGAAGCTACCTCATCTCCTCCACCAGCACACAGACGAGCACAACAGCCCACTTATGCTCTCTCGCGGAACGTCTGTGATCTCATCTACGCATCAGCAACTGTCCCAGAGATCGCCATCCCCAGCACCGGCACCGGCACCGCCGACAACTGAAGAGCTGCACACCACCGCCGACCGTCAATGCAGCCTACATCGCTGTCCCATTTGCTCCAAGTCTTTCAAGACGATCACCATACTTCGAAAGCACAAGTTGACTGTGCATATTGGAACACGATGCCGTTGGGGCGACTGTAATGAGCAATTTGGCAACGAGACTCAGCTTTTCAAGCATATTCGAACACACCAGAGATATGGAGCAGTTGGTGACGCTTCCGATCAATTCTTATGCCATTGGCCTGATTGCAGCCGAGAGTTCCGAGATGATGCTGAACTATCACGTCATCTCAAGATTCACAATAGCACAGCCTAAGGAAGGCCAACCCTGAGTAAGTGGGCTCTACATTATTCTTTTAGTTGATGATATATTAACAATTAACTAACGAAGATAAGTAGGACCTGGACCCAAATGTGTCCGCGGAGGAATAATGGTTTATGAGGAATCCTCACTATTTGCTCGGCTGCCCGTCGGCAGCTCTTTGTCTGGGATATTGATGGCGTTAGGGTAGTAATCATGAGTCCTTTTCTCTTTCCCTGGGCACCAACCTTGTTTTCTTCTTAAGGCTGTGATGGATAAATCTACCGACCAAGATAAATGTGCTCCCTGTCACGCTTAACCACCAAAGCTATTCCATTTGACGCCAGTCATTCTTTCATGCGTCTACAGATCGTTACTTGTAGGCTTGTGAGGATCATTTGTAGAATGTAGTGTACGCGCGGCTTACATAGTGATTGAATCCTGGGTCTGCTATGACTAAGTCGGAGTTTCTGCATTCTGTCACTCCTAACTGGCATTCCATATGCCTATGACTGGGATGTCAGCACTGTTAACGTAACTTGTTGCTTGCTGCCAAGTGAAGCATTCTGCTGATGTTTTCTTTGCGTTCTAATATGAAAGATAACACTCTACACAATGCTATATGATAAAATCCAAAGCATTATTCTAGGTAGGCTACTAGGAAGCAATCATCGCAAATGTAAGGTCGACTTTTCTCCTATTTCATATCTTAAACCTCTCTTAAATACGTACCTAGCGAATGTAGGTCAGGCTTTTCGCAGATTTTCCTAATCAAAGGCGTTAACCATAGCATCCAGTTCAATAAATCCATCTAACTGTCTTTAAATAATTATATATCGAAATATTATGGAGTCAAGGTAGTAATTGATGTATATGATATCACGTGCTACTGCCGGGAAGCACGGCCGGCCATCCGGACCGCTACCGGAGAAGCCACGTGATACCCCTTTGGATCGTCGTGTCCAGCATTACCTAGGTCCTAAGCTACTTTACATAATAATATCTTCTCTCCAAATTGAATTCTCTTAAATGTTTATGTAATCTTATAAATATCTTCGTTGGAATCCCTGTTGCGGATCGCTGTTAGAATATTATCCGCCCTTTTATCCGTGAACCCTTCATTAGCTCGAACGAGCCGCATAACCGTCTTTGGACACATTGAAGATTTCGATACCGAAACCCGAAATCTGCGCAAGTACGAAATATGAGTGCTATTGACAGATACCCATATTTCAATGCGTAGCAACATAATAAAACGCGTATCTTCTAGGTAGACACGATGCCGCCCTGCCGCAGAGCTTTCGCGGCCGCATGTGTCCTGACCCCTCTTCTCTATATCTATTGGTGGAGATTCACAAAACCTGGTTCACTAGGTGGTTTTGGAGGCAGGCTTCTCATTGAAGATATATTTAATAGAACCTTAGGCGTAATCCTCCTCCTCATGGGTTTCCAGTTTTTGTATACTAACACCGCGCACAGTTTTCAGAAATATTCGTCATCAATCTCCCGTCTCGAACAGATCGCCGAGATGCAATGGCCCTGGCGGGAGCCGTCAGCAACCTCACCTTCACCTGGATCGACGGCGTGTCAAGCGATCAAATAGGACATGATAATGCACCAGCTAAAAACGAAATACGCTCTTCTGGCGCGAAAGGATCTTGGAGATCCCATATGAACGCACTGCAAGCCGTCGTCAAGAACGGTATTGGAAGCGCTCTGATTTTGGAGGACGATATCGACTGGGATATACGCCTGAAATCACAACTCCAGATTTTTGCGTCGGCTTCGAGAACTTGGTTAAGAGAATCCAGGTCTGAAGAAAACCCGGTTAGGTTGCTCGATTTTGTTCCATTTTCACTTCAGAAAGAGGACGACGGGACAGCTAACATGGAATCTGGGAAGGACACGATCCAACTGGATCATAATATGGGTGCTGATGGCCTTGCTCATAGAACTGCTTATGGCGATGGTTGGGACGTTCTGTGGCTTGGGCACTGTGGTACCGATTTTCCCTCTGACAAGTCTCAGCTGTCCCCCCTGAGAATTGCAATACCGGGAGACGACACAGTCCCAGTTCCTAAACACCTCAAACCTCACCCATTTGCTTCACGGGACAGGCTAGGCGAAATATACCCACCTCATACACGTGTCGTGCATGCGTCCAACGGAACCGTCTGTAGTCTTGCCTACGCAGTCAGCCATAAAGGAGCCCGAAACTTGCTCTCGAAATTTGAGTCTCACTACGATACTCAATGGGACTTGATGCTGCAGAAATGGTGTGAAGGGGGGTACACTATTGGGGACAAGTCCAAACCTACACCAGAACCGGATACCGATGATGAGGCTATCTCTATGAGCCGAGGGGTCCGACCTGTCTGTCTCACAGTACAACCACCCCTATTCAGCCATCATTATGCCAAGGGAGGTGCTTCGGACATTCAAGGACAGGGTGGCGGTTATGCGAGAGGAGCAGGGACCCCGTATATAAGACTAAGTGTACGGGAAAACTTGAGACGTCTGGTCGCCGGGGCATCGACGGCCGAGATGGTGGACCAATTACCCGATGACGGAAAGCCTATTTGGAATTAGATACGAAGATAAAGAGCACTGGTTAGAAAAGGCGGTGCCCCAAGTCTTTTCTATATTTTCTTTCAAATGTATCACCTTGGCTCTGGCCTGTCGAGGGGCCCCCTTTTCATCCGGCGAAAACCCATATCGCAATATCGAACATGCGGCATGATGGTGTCTGCTGACTCAATGTGACTTAGCATGGGTCGGCCTTTTGCGTCTAAGCGCTGATATTCCGTTTTGCAGCCGGGACCGGACAACGGTTTTCTCAAATGGAGCTGTCGAAAACCCCGGAAGATGTGCTCATCCTACTCCGCATGATGCTGTACGTTATACACGCATACCCTTCCGCATGTCTTTAATTTATATCGCCGAAATCATTCAGAGATGGCTACCCTTGGTTCCTTGCGATGATAAGTCCCATAAGACCGATCCGTTTACACCTTCAAGCAGTACCCCTGATAACCGATGTAAGCGAGAACTGCATTCGGTAAGTGTTTATCGCACTAAAATACGGAGATGACAAGTGCAAGGAACAGAAGGCACAACAATCCTCTGGCATTAATTATTCAGCTTGGAATTCGCCTTTTGACATCTAATTCGACGTAGCGTAGAGAAATTGAGCCTTGCCCATGCGCATAGCCTTACACCTCTCGCTCGTACTTAACCTCCAAAATAACGACTTGGACCTGACCCTGATCCTCGACACTCCAAGATTCCACTACAGTAATGCATCTTCTGAAACGTGGCGGCCATGACGGGATCGAAGTCGCTAAGTCAAGCATTCCGTTAATCGTAGATCCCCGGTGGCCTTACATTGCGATCCATCGAATTGAGAGCGTGGTTATAGATTTCGAGTCCTTCTACCCATCGATTACCAAAGTTATTAATCAGGATGTCTCGCATATCATTAGAGCTAACGTCCTCGACACCCCGAGATCCCATATGCTGACGAATAGTTTCCTGCATGTCTCTGATCTTCTTGATTTCTCCAGCTTCTGCATGAGAAGGCCGACGAACATTACGAGGAGGGCAGTTCTCATCAAACTTTCTGGCTCTTGCCATTACGTCCATGGGGGAACCCTTAGGTGGTTCTAGGAGTGCTTCCAGGCGATTGTCTTTATGGGTTTTGGTGACCGCATCTGTCTTGTTCTGGCCGAAGAAAAGCGAGAAATTCTCTGGTGTATCTTTTCCTGTGAGAACGAGACGTCGTATGGGCAGGCTACGGTTATTTGTTAGCAGAATTCCTTATGCCTAAAGCGAAAGGTTATTACTTGAGTGCGAGAGATGACTTATTGGTGGCGCTAGGAAGGGCGAGACCAATTTCATTGGCAAGGGCCTGTGCTTTAGCATCATGCGCTGCGACTTTCTGATAGTATTCTAGGTCACCAAGAGACGCAGAGCTGGCGCCGTTAGTCGATACGTGCTTACAGAAGGACTTATGCTCTTTCCAGTCCTGTTTCTGGCAGTCCTTGGAGCAGTAGCGAACTTTCTTGCACCCAGAACAGTAGAGGGAATTGTCGGGTGAGCTATTGGCACATCTGTAGTTATAGCATTTGAGTGGTGTTTCTGTCCCCGGTTGCTCCATGATGTATTGATGCTATCGAGCTGCTCGATTGCTTGGCGAAAGGTGGGATAAATTTGGGCAGGATGTAACGATAGATCGCTAGGGGGTCCTGATTTGAAGGTAACAACAGGCGGTTGAGTATATCGTCAGAGGTTAACTCCTTATAGAATTCAAAGAGTGACTATAAGCTTAAATTGACTACTGTCGTAGTCCTACATACAAGAGGAATAAGGGCTCTGCCCTTCTTATACTAAAGGAGTGCTTGAAGCTATACAGCTTATACGATGTACCTTGGTACCTGGGGCCCCCCATGTCTCCCAGGGGCCCCGGGGGCCCCCCTTGTCCTTAGGGGGCCCCATCCCGGTCCCATAGTTCTTCCGATCCGAATTGGGTGGGGCACCAACCTGTAACCTGGTTGGTCCATAACACAGGATAAGACGATGGATACTACGTATATTCGTGAATTAAAAGAGAGAAATCCTGGCGAACCTTTTTTGTTCTGAGTTTTAGGGTTTGAGGGCATTAGGGTTGTAAATACAGATTGCGATTACCTTCTCGATGTTGTGAAGGTTTCCTTGCAGGCAGGCACCAGATACTCTCTGCTGATTAAGGCTCCCGGTTCCCATGTGCAACGCGGACGGGCATTAGCGGTTAGCCGCCTGCCGCTCCATTTTAGCTGATTACTAAGTCTAAAAAAGGATCATTAAGGTCGTTTATCCAATTAGGTCCAGAAGCAATGGATTCGAATTTTCAGAACTTGTAGGGTTATTACGTAATGTATGAGATAAGACCAAATTCTCTCGTTTCAAATCAGCTTTCTAGAACTTTAGAATAACAACAACGTTTACTCCACAACAAACTACTATCCGTTAATATGCGAAACAAATATAGTAGTGCAACCGACTTTATACTAACAAACAAGCCAATCCTGGTAGCGCCTTTTCCGTGAACAGGCGAAGTTGACTTAAAATGGGGTAATGCCGCAAAATATGATACCCTAGCTGAAGCTCAAGCTTGGCCCGTGTATAGAATCGACCGAAAAAAAAACCATACAATAACTATTAGTAATCTTATTAAGGCAAAACGCCACGATAGTCACGACAGTGGATCTCGGATCACCTGAGCAGTAGGGCTATGATTCCAAGGCACCTGGACTTTTCGATCTTTGAAGGGTACGTATTCCAAAATCTGTCCTCTTTTGATAAGTTTCCCGATGATTTCCACCACTCTGTCTACGCCGATCCAGGGATTGACGAAACGATCGAAGAACCAGTCCGCCCAGGTCTCCCAGGTGACGCCACGGATCTGTTTTCTACCAACGGCATGTAGTCGGCTGGCTTCGTTGTCCCTGATCTGCTGATACCGGGCGAAGGCGTCCTCGATCGCCCCCGTGCCCGGGTCGGGTTCGGATTTCAGGGTGCGGTAAAGCTCGTTAGCTAACACTGCAGCTGAATTGATGCCGGTGTTCACGCCCAAGCCCGTTACAGATGTAGCTTTATGCACAGCGTCGCCCGCAAGCACAACCCGCTCGTGATACCACTTATCGCAGTATCCTTCCTCCTGATTCACCATCGCAGCGGTCTCCTTAACGGTAAGCTCCCACATATCTTGAAAGCGGACGCCGGGCCCGACCGAGATGTTTGAAAGCTCTTCGGCGAGGCGGTCCCGATCCTCAGTTGTATACCGCTTCAGCCCTGCTGTCGGCGGAATGGGGCGCAGAATGGCAAAGTGCCCTCTGTCTGCACCGACCATAATCTGCGAAACAATTCCACTGCCGCGTGATTGGTAGAAGGTACCCGGCTCAAAGCCGTGGCAGGAATGAAAGCACCCGTAGAGGCCCTGGTAGGTGGCAGTCATAGGCCATGTGTCAGGCGGTGTTTGAGCTAGCTGTTGCATTATCTGGCGCGTCTTGCTGTAGACACCATCGACGCCGATCAGGATAGAACCCTCTTCTGTCCTGCCATCTTTTAAATGGACCTTGACACCTTTCTCATGTACTTTTACATCAAGGACAGCTGCACCAGCTTTTACCCGCGTCTCTTTCTCCGGTAGATTCTCATAGAGGAGGGCAATCAACTGCCCGCGGGAGAGGCCCGCCATCGGATACGCATGACTGGTGGATTGAGACTTAGATATGCGGCTATTTCTGGAAGATCGCAAAAGTAGCAGAGTTAGGTACTCACCGTTCTGCTAGTATCGACCACAGGGGAGTTGACTTGATTACCCGGCCGTTCCCGGTCAGCAGATCTGTGTGGGTGTGGTTTATGATGAAGTCTTTCTCGGCTTTCTCATAAAGGCCGATCTGGTCCAGCAGCCTAAGCGTTTGTGGGTATAGGAGAACGCCAGCGCCTTGATATCGAAGCACCGTATCATGCTGCTCAAGCACCACGTAATCGATATTTGCTCTACAAAGGGCATGTGCCAGGTACAAGCCCACGGGTCCCGCGCCGACAATGATGGCGCGGAATTTGGTTGGGGTCGATTCGACCATGGCATCTAGTAGGAAGTTCGCTGCGTTAGACAGGTGGGAGATAGAGCTTAGCTAAAAGGGAGCGGGGCAAGCAAGGCAATGGGGTTTGGGGCAGAATTTATAGAGCCGCTCAGACAACATTTTTGTTTTCATAGGTAGATCTATGTAATATGATAGATTGGAGTGAGTGGTTGGTGGGGATCGGGAATGAACAACCGTATCGTCGGGTGAAGTTTTTATTTACTCTAATACAAAGCTACCCATCTCGGTACCGGTACAGGTACCCACCTAGGCAGGCAGATCTTTGAGTACTTTGTATATGTAGGTACTCACAAATACCTATGGATGTATCCAGCCCTAGAGCGGGTACCTAGTCCAGGTTTGGGGCTAATTCACTGGGATAAGAATGTTGTGTTGGTGTTCTTTGGACCATGAGCAATACGTTCCTTGCATACTAGTGCGAGCTCTAGGTGTTGGCTTCTAAGCTACTAGGTATTGAGGTACTGAGGTAGTTATGCATCTCCCGACAGGCCGTTCAAAATGAATTGCAGGAAAGAGTCTTGTCATCCCTTACTTCCCACTTGGCTTCTTGGAGGAGGCCGGGGTTGGGTATAAAGGGATCTTGGCAGGGGGGCCAAACTCTTCTTGTAAGCTTTTTGGAGCTCTTAACCTCCAAACAGCCAGAAATGAAGATTCTGCACGTAATTGGTTCTGAGGGAGATGCTAAAAACAATCCAATTTTTAAAGGAACTTTTTAACTCTCAGCAGGGAACGATCGATCCCCTTTTCCCCTGCTTAAAGCTAGTCTCTAGCTCTTCAACGCCTCAAGGCACAGACACCGGCGCGTACGATCTTATTGTCGATTCTTATGTATAAAAACCCCTTCGTAAAAAATTCAGGGCATTCATGAACGCCTTACCACGTTTGAATTCTATTTACTAGCAACTGCTTTGTCGATACCGGCTCTTCTTGGTTGCCTCTGCACTAAGCTGATCGAGTGGCATGTTCTCCATCAGCATGAAAACACCCACATCAGCTCCGATCTCCCTCGAGAACCAATTTTTCAGATCAATCGCTACTAGAGAGTCAATCCCATAGGTATGGATTGGCTTGCTGGGATTAATTTCTGTCTCGGGAAGGCCTAGGATGCTGGCTACCTTGGCTGAGAGCCATTCCGTGACGAGGTGGATGGCTTCTTGTTCTGACACTGCCCCTTGCAACTGTGCCCCTTTATCCGCTGTAACTAGGTTGTGGCTGGTGCCAGTGGTAGCCTGCCCGTTTTCCTTCAATCCTAGGCGATATAGATGACGGAACAAGGGGCGGCGAATTGAGTGATGGAGATCAATACCCTTCTCTAAAATGGCCGAAGGCATCTCAATACCAACGAGAACTTGGGCATAAGTGTCGCTTAGAGGTAGGTTAGGGTCACAATAATGATCTAGCAGCGCAAGGAAGTCTTGCTGCTCAATGTCCATAAGATGGCCAATACGTCGCATCGATGAGAGAAGGTCTTTATTTTCGGATACCACACCCTCCGATACCATCATGCCAAGGTCAATAGATACCGCTTTTTGTCCGTGCGATATTCGATAGTGAGCTAGCGCATCCTGGTACGTGTTTCCAGACGCGTAGTTGGCTTGTGCGCGGCCGCCAAAAATGCCGTTGATGGAGGACAGCATAATGAAGAAGTCAAGATCTGAAGGGAGAAGTTCATGGAGATTCCAGGAACCAGCTACTTTAGGGCGCATACTAGCAACCCAATCGTCATAGGTCATATTTTGAAATAAGTTATCCTGAAATGGGAGAATATTAGTTAAATCTGTAGTGTCCAAGAAGTGTTCTTGGGGAGAGAACAATACGAACCCTCAAAACCACCGTGGCTTGGACGCAACCCCTGATAGGGGGCATGGTTATTCTCAAATTTTCAAGTACGCGTTTAAGGCTGTTGATATCGCTGATATCGGCTTCAGGCGTTGAAACATAAACATCTTTTTCTTCCAGTTCCTGGACAAGAGCCTTAGCTTTTGGCCGGTGAGCCCCGGAACGGGAAAGGAGAACGAGGTGTCGAGCCCCACGACTTGTCATCCATCGCGCAATACTTCTACCCAGACCGCCAAAGCCGCCAGCAATGACATAGGTAGCATCAGCAGAAAAGGTGTATCTAGATCTCGTCTTGACGTCTGCAAGGATGGGAAAATCAGGATCAAGCTCAATGATCCTCTTGCCGATCGTATTACATGCAATGAAATGATCAAACGCAGCATTAATCTGATTTGCGTTAAACACACGAAGAGGCTGTGGGTTCTGGAAGTCCTCGGAGAAAGCAATCTTTATAGCTTCTTGAAAGGTCCTGTAGAACATGGAGGGCTTGCGCCGCAAAAGGTCAACCATATCTATACGTGCTCGTGAGACATTCGCTGGTGTATTGATTGGCTCCGGTATAACACCTGCGTGCGACCGTGAGTTCAACTTTGTGCCTTGGAGACTGATATCTACGAGCCGACCAAATGGTGCGAGACAAGGCAAAAAGTCGTCTGAGCTGCAAGTTGCATCTGTAAGTGGCCCCATGACGACGTCAACTCCGGACCCCTCTGTTTCTCGGCATAACTTTTTGATCAATGAGCCACACTCATCATTGCTATCTATCTGCAGGATCGCCGTCTCGGGCACGTGGAAATGGTCGCGGAGAAGGGTGCGGCTTGATTCTGAGCTGACTGTAACTAACACGTGCGCACCAAGCCTCCTAGCAAGTTGTATCGACATTTGACCAACGCAGCTTGAGCCCTTATGGATCAAGACGGTCTCGTCCTCCTGTAACCTGGCTACATGGACGAGGGCGTGATAAGCTAACCACAGCGCACTGGGCATTGAAGCAGCCTCGGCGAAGCTCATTTGTGAGGGTATTGGCGAGAAGGCACCCTTTCTACAACGTACTGTGGACGCCGTCGTCGGACAGGCGATAAGACATATCCTGTCTCCTGGACGTGCCCCTGAGGAGCCGCCGGCTGATTGGACGACCCCTGAGCACTCTGTCCCCAGTCCGACCTGGTCCAATTCCCCGGTGATAACAAGATAATCTCTGAACGTAAGACCAATTGCTCTTACTTGAACGAGAACTTCGTCATCATTGAAATGAACGGCGTCGCTTTTTTCTGTGACTTCTTCCTCGACCCATTGGCACCCAGCTGTGTTAAGATGCTTTAGTGAGTCTTGTCGAAGCGACAGCTGTATCTTCCCATCTGGTCGACACTCTTGCTTTTGATATGGCAAGATGGCCTGAGAAATGGTACTATCTAGCGAAGAATTCTCTACAACACGCGGGATGAGAAGGATACCCCGCTCAATGACATAGTTGGTTTCGAGGTCTTCAACCGATGAGTCAATGAGACGCTGGGCGAGCTCACGAATGACATGTGAGATTGGACGCAAATCACCTCCATATTCCTCCTGGCTTAAGCGAAGGATGGCAAATTTTCGCGAGGAATCTTCTGACATCAAGACTCGGCCGAGGCCCTCTATTAGAGAGTGCCGAGGATCCCGTGGCCTTCCTCTGGTTACCCAAATCACGTTAGGAAACAGCAGTAGAACTGATTGTAACTGATCATAATCCGCCTTGGATATCCCATCGATGAAATAACCGTCAAACTCCAAGAGGGAGATGGTAACTGAGGTTTTGAGACCAAGGTCGGTGGGCTGTTCCGTGTTGCTGAAATCGATCAGTGTGTGTGTCGTACATACGAAAAGGGATGGATGGAATTGGTCGCGGAGAAAGCTGGCCATTCTGTGTTGGGAATTTATGTTTCCATCGACCAACACATTTATATCTTGGAGCTGCGGTATAAAAGACTGTTCTGTGCTTCCATTCGGCTGTGCATCATTACTGACGGCACTAGATATTATGATGCTGGTATATTGACATGCTGGATTCTCTTGACCTGCAAATTCCACGTCCACGCCCGAGAATCCTGTTCTCAAAAGACGCTGATGCCACTGCTCGACTGTTAAGCAAGGGCTGTTCTTAGAGCGGGACGTGTCATGGCCAAGAGGATTCCACCAACCCTTCAACAGACCGAAAGCGAAGCCAACGTGGACTGCCTCAGGATCGGTGGTCTCTAGCAATAGAAGCTTGCCACATGGCTTGAGAAGCTTATGGATGTTACGCAATGATTCGTCTAGATCGTCTGTCGCGTGTAAGACATGTGACGCGATTACAAGATCATAACTTCCTAGCTCGAATGATTGTGAAGCTGGATCTCTGGAAATGTCGCAAACGCGGAACTGCATCTGGTTGAGATATTGACTAAACTTCTTTCGAGCTTGATCGAAGAACTCGGGCGAGATATCGGTATAATCATACTGAGCCCACTTCCTGACATCATCGGTGCTCATCGCCTCTAACAGACGTAATGTTTGACCACCAGTGCCTGCTCCCACTTCTAGAATCTTCATGGATGGGTTCTTGAAACTGAGCAACTCCATATACCTTAGCGTGGGGTAAGAGTGGATGTCATTGGCGAGGACTTCGGAGTAATAGCGTTCAGATAATTGATCTCTAAACATAACATCAAGAGGATCAACATCACCGCACAGAATTCCTAAATGATTTCGACAAAACTCGATGAAGAAATGCCCTTCAGCGTTTGAATTGTCAATCTTATTCATTAGCTGCTCCCTAAAGGTGCCATCCTCGAGTTGCTGAACAGATGCTGGAGAAACTGCCGCTTCTCCATTGTGGAGTCGCTGCCGCTGATTCTCCATCCATCTTACATACAGCCCGAGATGTTTGGGAAGCGTTGACTCCGGGTGATGGTCTAGGAATTCTAACGCCCGTTTGATAGTATACATGATGACGGAGTTTATTGCAAGGAATGTTTGGGCAGCGTTTGCGGGTTGCTTAGGCCTCTGCCACAGACAATAAAGGCGCAAATTCTCATTATCCATCATGCCAACGTCGGGCTTCCAGATAAGTCTCGTATGTAATCTTCGCGGGCTGAGTCCCTGTGAATCCGAAGCCTCGGTGCTACCAATGAAGGCTGTCTTCATCCCGTCTAGATAGATAAGAGGAGTCGTAGAGCCAGGAGCTGTTGCTGCAATATCGGCTGAAGCGCCACGGTAACCTCGTAGACGGCATTTGGAAGTCACAGAGATTAAACCATTGCGCAAGCTAGGGCTACTGCAATCAATCCAAATGCCATCGGCGTGGATAGGAACCATGGGTGGGAGGCTCTGGTGCATCGCAGTCAGGCTTGGCAGCATCAACTGTGCCAGCCCATCAAGAGTGCAGGGATGAACAACGTAGTGAGGGCCGAATGTGTCCGAATTCGCAGCTTTACGTTTCCATGACTCTGTATTTATTCGAGCAACAGCCTCACCTGTCTTTCCAATGCGCATATCCTCGATATTCTGAAAGGCTGGCCCATACCGGAGTGCCGCTCCGGTCCCCATTGACATTTTATAGGGGTCTTGGCAGTCTAATCCTTGGCAAGCCCCTGAAACTTGATCAATCCAGCTGGCCGTAGACACCCAAGAAAGTTTTTGCCTGCCCGTATCTGTCGTGACGGCCTGAATATAACCACTGCTACATTCCACGTAGGTATTGTTCTCTAATACGAACAGGCGGAATTGAGACGGTGCTGCTGAATTAGATGGGTTTGAAGACGTTGATATGGTTAACTGGACCTCGACATGGCCTTTATCGCGTGGGAAGCTAATGGGGTGGGAGAAAGAGACGTCTTTAAGCTGGAATCCTTGTATAGAAGCCAAGCTTGAAACCCCAAGCAGCTCACGGAGACCCTCAATGGCCATGATGACCATCCCGGCGGCTGGAAATATGATAGAATCGCCAATGGTATGATCTTCAATCCATGGAACTTCAGCTAGGCGCATGACGTTACGCCACTGCGCTACATGTGGATTCCAGTCAAGAGAGCGCGTCCCAAGAAGATCATGTCGGGCAGTTTCGCGAAATCGGAAGTTCCTACTCAGGCGGCCCTCGTGCCAATAAGATTGCGAATGATTGAATTGGTACCTGGGCAAGTTTTCTGGTGTTGGTCTCGGCGACGATCCTCTAAGTTTATTAGTTGCCATAAGATCTACCGGGTAGCCAGCACTGCAGAGGGTTCCTACTGCATGAAGCAGTGAGATTGTAGCGCTCTGGTTACGTGTGAGGGAAGAAAGGTATGTCGGCTTCTGGAGACCTGTAAACGTCTCCAAGTTCTCGCGTATTGGACCACGTAAAGCGCTGTGTGGTCCAATCTCCAAGAAGTGCGTAGCAGTTGGGTTGAGAAACGCAGCTTTCCCAAGCTTTTTGCGCGGGGCCTTGCCTGCCTGAGATAGAAGTCTGAGGATTGCCGCTTCGAAGTCAACGGGCGAGGTTAGGTTTGATACCCAATAGCGAGGGGTGGCAAGCCACTGTGCTGTGATAATGTCACCAGTGACTGATGAAATCATGGGTACAGACGTCATGCCCGAGACGCGGCCGGATCCTCTATCAATTTCACCAAGTGAAGAAGTGTATTGATCGACAATTGAATCCATAAAGCTCGAATGATAAGCAATAGGAACGTGAAGTGTTCGAGAAAAGACTGCATCATCCTGAAGCCACTGCTCTAGCTTTGTAAGTCCAACAGCGTCACCGCTCAACGTAACGCTCTTAGGACTGTTGATGCAGCCGATGGAAACTCGGAGTGAGCCATCGTACTTCTCTAAACGATTCAGATACGGGATTACTTGCTGCTTTGAGAGGCCGACAGCCATCATGGTCAGGCCCGAGGCCCTAGATGCAAGCTTGGACGACAAGACGCCTCGGTGATAGGCGATTTTGATGGCTGAAGTTTGGGAAAGCGCTCCAGATGTATAAGCTGCTGCGATCTCCCCGGAAGAATGTCCCAAGACCACTGAGGGAAGTATGCCAAAGCTCTCCAAAAGATCCACTAGCGCAATTTGTAGGCAGGTCGTGAGCGGTTGGGCATACTCAGGTAAGTTGACTAGGGCCTCATATTTCTGGTCATGACAGGTTTCCATCATATCAAAGATAGACCATCGGCAACCAAGATTCTTGAGAATGCCGTTCGAAGCACCGAGGCTCTGTCGGAAGACAGGGAAAGTAAGCAGCTGGCGACCCATACCAAAATACTGTGCCCCTTGTCCCGTGAACACAAATGCAACATGTACCCCATCCGTTGCCCTCGTAGGGGCAGCGATTTCTACATCTCTTATGGTTTTCGCATCAATTTTACCCGTACCCATGACGGAAAATACCCTCCAGCCAAGATTGCTTCTCTTCTCTACCAAGTGATATGCCAAGTCATCAATACCCGATTGGTTTCGGGTGAGAAATTGACGATAAGCATCGGATAACTTAAGTGCGCTCGACTCATCATGGGCCGACCAGATAAGCAGCTTGGGTTGATGTGTTTGGAATTCTTCGCTTTCCGTGATTATGTTGTCTTGATGCCAATTGGAATCTGAGCTAAAGCCGTTCAGGGCTATGCTTTCTCGTGTACGGTGACAGCCATGCAGGCCATGGAGCTGTAGATAATTACGAGCATCGTCAATAATCAAAATCGCATTCGTGCCCCCAAATCCGAAAGAGTTAACCTATTTGATAGAATCGTTTAGCTTCTGTGAAGACTTCGAATGTTTAAATATTTAGGTAGGTAAGTACTAACACAGGCTCGACGGATCGATGATTTTGGCCACGGCACAGTTTTCGTTGGAAACTAGTGGAGAACAGGGGTTAGTCCCTACTAGATCCGCATGGACGACTTCAAAGCTCACCTCAAGATGTAGTTCATGCGAGTTAATCCAGCCATTCAATGATTTGAAGCCAGAAATAGGAGGGATGACTCCGTTTTCAAGAACCAGAATGGTCTTAATCACTCCTGCGAGGCCACTACAGCCTTCTAAATGGCCAATATTCGCCTTCACGGCCCCAATATAGAGGGGGTCCTTCGAGCTTCGACAATGGCGAAATGCTGTGCCGATTGCATTTGCCTCGATAGGATCGCCAACTGGTGTGCCAGTCCCATGAGCTTCAAAGAACCTGGTCGGTTCCATATCGAGGTTAGCTTGCCGATATGTTTGCTTAATGAGGCTGACTTGTGCGTCCCCGTTTGGCTGTGTGATGCCGGGCGTTCTCCCATCTTGATCTATTTGTATTTAACGTTAGTTTAAGGCAATCAGTTCTAGATTAGGACGTGGTGTAAATACGTTCATCTTGTAGTGTTATAGTAAACTCGTATAGATGAATAGGCCCCTCCTATTGTTAGAATGGGAAGACTCACTAGACCCCGTATTCCGGATCACTGCTCGAATTGTGTCCCCATCTCGCAGCGCATCCGACAAACGCTTTATAATGAGTACGGCAATCCCTTCTCCGCGGGCATAGCCATTTGCACGTTCGTCAAAACTCCAACAACGACTAAGTCGAAACACCCTCTTGTGGGCCACCCCCTCGTGGGCCACCCTTTTCCCATACAAAACCGTTAAAATCCAACTATTATAATTAATTAAATAAAATAGATAAAAATATATGGATGGAAGTTTCACACTCTTATAGCTATATTATATGCGTCAATTTAATTTTGTAATTTTCAGATTTTTCTAATATATTTAAATGAAAGGTTTTTTTTGCTTTAACAAATGTGCATATAAAATATACGGAAAACTGTTAAAGCTTATAACACTTCGGATTTTTAATATATAAATTTAATTTTAAATATTTTAAATATTTTAAATACTTAATTATATAATAATAGTGAAATATTTTAAAAAAGTATTTTATTTTATTTTTATAATTTAAAATATAAAGATTTTTTTAATTTTTATATTTTTTTTATATTTTTTAAAAATTAAAAATTCCGTTTTTTTATTATAATAAACTTAATAAATTTAATTATTAAAACTTTATTATATATATATAAAGTTTAAATTTTATTATATTTAAAACATTTAAAATTAAAATATTATATATTATTTTTATAAAGTTATAAGCCTTAACAATTTCGTATATATTTTATATGAAAAAATGTTAACGAATTTTATCTTTATAATTATTTAAATTTATGAAACGAAGAAAATTCCAAAAATTAAGCCGCTTTAAAATCTTTAATACTTGAATATTATAAACTCATAAACCGTTAATTATATATTTATAAGTATTTTATTTAATTAACTATAAGCATCGGAGTTAAGCCGTTTTGTATGGGAAAAGGGTGGCCCACGATGGGGTGGCCCACAAGAGGGTGTTTCGACTTATCGCGTGACAAGAAGTTGAAATCAGACATAAATTTCATGAAATGAGGGTGATAGACAAGATTGGCACCCCCGACTAGTGCCATGGACGTTGTACCCGCCCGTAAGTCCTGGCAAGCTAGATGGAGCGCGACAAGACTACTAGAACAGGCAGAGTCTAGATTCATCGATGTCCCCTTGAAGTTGAAGAACCAACTCACGCGGTTCGCTAACATAGATGGGGCGATCCCCATAACAGCGTGTCTCTGCTCTGCCTCATAATCTTGCTGCAGGATGCTAAGATAGTCATTCGTAAAGCATCCAGTATATACTGAGGTATCGGAGCCAGAGCATTTGGCGATTGGAATACCCGCTAAGATTTCGCGTCAATACAATCTACCACATTGACTTCAGAGATAGGGGTTTGAGGTAGCTACTAACCATCTTCTAAAGCGTGATAGGCAGCCTCGAGCATCCGGCGGTGTTGTGGGTCCATACACATTGCTTCCCCGGGCGTGATAGAAAAGAACGGAGCATCAAATGCACCTAGATCTTCATCAAGAAAGTGCCCACCCCGGAGAGGTATCTACTCCATGAGTCAGTTCTTCTTAGATTCTTCCTCGGTTCTCAGTCGGTACCTAGGTATCGAAAAGACGGCTTACCGAGCTTGGGCGGCCCTCCTCCGGGTGATAGAACGCGTCGATATTTAAGCGGCTTTGAGGAAAGTCGGCACTTGCGCATTCCCCGCTACATAGCATCTGCCAGAAGCGCTCTTCCGAAGCAGCTCCCCCGGGAAATTCAAAGGCCAAACCGACTATTGCGAGTGGCAATGTGTCATCTTTGTTGAATTCATCAGGTGGTTTGTTCGCCATGGCTTCCACTATGTAGAGCGTTGAATTCTCGTTAGGTACCTTCACTGCTATAGAAAGATTCGGACTTTTAGCCACAAGATAGTGATTTATTCAAGAGGAATACAGATGGCTCCCAAATGCTTTATAGTTCGTGGTCACTGCGATGAGAAGGGGCTCAATTGTGAGACCTCAAATACTAATTATGTACTACCTAGGTAGGTAGTTAGGTAGGTAAGTGCCATACTACTACGCCACTGCCTGTATGCCTATGAACACTCCGAGCAAGGCATACTGTCCGATCTTCTTACGAGGCTATGAAGTTATTTTTATTTTTCGGGAAACATACCTAGTACCGAAGCCGTAGGGTAGATGGTAGGCGGCTTCTGATGAGGAGTTGTTTCCTATTTTCTAACAAGGTGTGGATGCTATTGTAATGTTGGTGTCATTGAAAATAGGGGAGCATCTTAAATGCTTGCCTAGCAGCATCGTAAATTAATTACCGCAAAGGCGCATGTTTGATTTGGCGCAGCTCATGGGTACCATTTTTGTATACTGAAAGGTCAGATTATTGCGAGGTAGTAATTCGTAGTAGTACATTATATACTTAGCTTAATATAGGGGATGGCGTTTCTATAAAAACTGTTGTTCAGCTAATTTCCAGGTCCTCATTGGACTCGCTCACGCATTGATCGGATCATCGAGACATAGAAAGGAAAACTTTTGGTATCATGGAGTTCCCACATGTATCTGACATGACGAAGCCTAAGATTCTCTTCCTACACGGTATAGGAACCAATAGCGATGTAAGCCCTTCCAGTCTCTCCTTCTATTTTGCCGTTGATATAGATACGGTCTAACTTACCTAATCGCCACCAACACAGATTTTTAAAGTACAGACAGGTAAATACCTTTGACTTCAATACCTGCAACAAATCTTCAGTTTGGCCATATGAGAATCTGGTAATTCCCGGCCGGCTCATAGCGGCGATCCGCCATAGATTAGGCAACGGTTTCCTATACGATTTCGTTGAAGGGGAGCACCCCTGGCCTGCTGCGCCTGGGATAGATCGCGCGTTTGGTTACCGGCAGATGTGCTACTCCTACTTCGACGGCTCGGCCCGAAGTGCGCTGACAGCAGTGAAGGATCTGAAGGATTACGTGGAGGAGAATGGTCCGTTTGAATGCGTCGTCGGTTTTTCTTTGGGGGCTGCAACGGCGGACGATAGTACCGAATCCGCCAACCTGCTAATTCATTTTATATATTATAATATATATTGTATAAATGTATAGTAAACTTTAATTATTAATATTGTATTTTATTATTTATAAGGGCTATAGCATTAAAAGGCGTTATAAATTATAAAAAATTATAACGTTTTTTAATTTATATTATTTATAACGTGTTAAATTTAAAGTTATTTTATTTAAACTTAAGCGTTTCGTATTTAAATTATTTTAAAATAATTTTTAAAATTAATTAACGATTATTTTAATATTATTACTATAAAATTATATTTTAATAAAAAGTTTTAAACATGAAAATTAATTACTTTATTTATTTAATAAATTATTTATATTTTATAAATTAAAATTGCGAGAAAAATATTAACATATATTAAACATTATTATTTACGAAATTATAACTAACTTTTAACGTTTAAAATCTTTAATTTTATTTATTATAATAAATAATTAAACTTTTAAATTAATAATTACTTTAAAAGTAACATTTAAAATATATTATTATTATTAAATATTCCTTATATTATTTTTAAATATTAATTAAAATAAAAATAAAATAGGGATAATTTTAAATACACCGGTTATTTAAATACGCTTACTTAAATTTATTATTATTAAAACGATTACTTTATTATTAAATAAATTAATATATATTAAATTAATGCGAATATTTATTTTTATTATTATTATAATAATATTTAATATAAATATTATTAAAATAATTAAGTAAAATAATATAATATTAAAAAAAATTTTAATTAATTTTATAACTTATATAAATGCGATTTAAAAACAAAATAATATTAACTATAATAATGTAAATAATTAAATTTATTAAAAAATATAAGTATAATTAAAAGATATTTATTAATTTAAATTTACTTTTGTAATTATTAATTAATAATTAATATTATAATAATTTTAACTTTTAATAATAACGTTTTTAATTATAAATTTAATTATTAAATAAAAAAATCCACTTAACTTAAAGTTATATTTATAATTAATTAAATTTATTAAATTAATAAAAATTAATAAAATAAATATATATATTTAAATCTTAAACTATTAATATAATAATTTTATTAATAAACATTTTTTTAATTTTCGTAAAAACTTAAATAATATAATTAATTAAATTAATATTATTCGTTATTTTTAATTAATTATTATTATTATTAATAAACGTATTATAAATAAATAACTTAAATAAAATAAAAAAATATTTATATTTCGTCGAATTTTAGTTAAGGGTTTTTATTTAAAACTAATTAAAACTTAACTTATTATTAATAAAAGCTTTTAATTCTTTTTTTAAAAAGTTAATAAATTCATTATTTTACTTAATAATATTAATTTTTCGTTTTTAAAAATAAATAATTAATATTAAGTTAGCTTTTTTTTAATTTATTATCCTTAAATGCGATTTAATGGTAAATATAATAAAAATTTCGGGTATTATTAATTATTTATATCGGAAAGATATAAAAAATATACGTAATATAATAAATTTAAAATATTTCTAATAATAAAAATAAAACATTTAATATTAATAAATAAATAAAAAAAAAAAAAGGGTAAATTATATTTATTTAAACATTTATTTATAAATATATTTAAATATATAATTTATACGTTTTAAAATTTTTCCTTAATTTAATTAAACTTTAAAATAAAATAATTTAAAAAATTTATTAAAAAAAATAATATTATAAAAAGGATTAATTTAATTTAATAATGAACACAAGTGGATATAAATGAATAAATGTAGCGGTAAGTTTTATAATAAATTTATTAATAATATACAAGGATTTTATTTACATAATATAAAAATAAAGTTAATAAAATCTTTAAATTATATTATATTTTATAATAACATTAATTATATATAAATTATTTTTAAATTAAATTATATTTAAAGCTTAAGTATTAATATAAAATTAAAAATAAAAACATTATTTACTTATTATATATGGAATTTAATTAAGGAAATTAATTTTACGGGTTAAATAATTAAAAATTTAAAAATAATTATAAGTATTACTTAATATAATAATCTCGTTATAACCTTATTAAAATTTTAATTATTTATTATATATTTAATTAAAATAATATTCACTTATTAAAAAAAATAAAAATATATATATATGGATTAAATGTATATATAAACTTATATTAAAAAGTAACAACCTTAATTAAAAAAAAAAAATAAAAAAAAACGGGGTATATACCTTGTTTTAATATTAAACAAACCTTTTAATAATTATTTATTATTACTTAAATAATATTAATATTAACTTTCTTAATTTTTTTAAAACTTTTATTACGGGCTTTTATACCTTTTTTATAACTAAACTTTTTTAAAATTTAAACCTTTTAAAACGGAATAATATATCATTTTTATAAAGTTTAATTTTTTATTTATAAATCCTTTTAACACGATTTAATATTAAACCATTATTATTTTAAATAACTTAAATATTTATAATATTTTAAATATATAACTTATATATTACGAAATATAAAAAAAATATAAAAGGTGATAATTTCTTATTAATAATATTAATATACATTATAAACTTTATTTTTAAAATATTTACTTAATTTATTAAAAATGGTACCTTTTTTATTTAACTTGGTATAAAAATGATAGCATTTTAATTATTTTTCTTATTTACTTTTTTCGGTAATATTAAATAATATTTAAATTCATAATTAACTTTTTTTTAAATTTTAATATTAAAGTAAGTCATTATATATTATTTAATAATAATGTTTTTAAATGTTTTATATTTTATTTTTTTACTTTATTTATTAATTATTATAAAGCCACATTTTTTTAAAAATATATTCTTATTATTTAAACATGTTTTTAATATTATAATTAAGTTTTTTCTTAATGTTTTTAATAAAATATATTTTATAATATAATTTTATTAAATTGTTTTATAAGAAATTATTATTATTCTTAACTTAATATAAGCATATAATAAAAGTAATTTAAATATTATAAAAGAAAAATTAACCATTATTTATTTATTTCTTCTTAAATAATAATATTTAAAAAGTTTAAAACGATAAAAATAAGATTTTTTTATTTTAAATTTTACTTAATATAAACTATATTTTTAAAATAAAATAAGAATTTACTTATTAATTTAGTTTTATATTTTTAAATGGGAACTACTTTTATACTTATTAATATTTAATAAAGATATATTAAAAGATTTTTATTTTAAAACCGGTAACCGAAAAAGTTTTATATTAAGAATAAAATTTAAAATAATGTTAATAAATTAATATAAGTGATAATTATAATCCGGTTAAACTTAAAAAAGTGGTTAATAATTATAATTTTTATATTATAAAAATAAATAAGCTTAATATTTAAGGAATTAAAAAATTATTTAACTAGCATTTATTTTAAAAATAAAGTTAATTATTATTTTTTTAATAACCCATAAATATGTTTAAATGTTTTTTAAAAGTAAAAACATTTTTTAAAAAAGTAAAATAACTTTAAATATTATTAAATTTATGTTATTAACCCTTTTTTCTTATATAATATATAAGTTTAAAAAAGTTTTAACATTAATAAATCTTTTAATAAAGAATTTAGTAATACATTAACGTTAATTCTTTATAATAATTTTTATTAATTTATGTTAAAAATTAATTTATCGTAATATAATATAAGAAAGTTATAAGTTAAAACACGTAAAATAAACCGATTAATAAATAAAACTTATATTATTAAATTAAAGAATAATTTATAACGA